ACTATAACCTTCAAGAGTTTGTGGATCGGTTGAGAAAGCATTTTGAGCATCGGAACCACTTGCACCAATGAAAACACCGGTCTTTGTTCCTTTTAATTTCATGGGATTGATGCCTGCATCGCATATAGTTTCATATGTAACTTCCAGTAGAAGACGTAATTGCGGGTCCATATTATGTGCTTGCTTTGGGTGAACATTAAAAAATGCAGCATCAAATCGATCAACTTCTTTCAATTTTCCATTACGTGTCGGAAGACCATATTGACCTTGTGGCCAACGACGATCATCAGATGTAACCATATCAATACCATTGAAAAGATTGTAAGCAAATTCATCAATAGTATTCGCTTCAGGAAATCGGCCACTAACACCAGTTATAACGAAATCATCGTTCTCATTTATTGATAAAATTGGACGATGATAACCATTAGTATGGATATCATCAGCCATCGATAATGACATGTTTTTAGTTTTTATCTGAAAAAAAACAGTGCGTAATAGAATAGATAGAAAATGTATATTTAAATATATACTACTTAATTTGTTGTCTTTTGCATTCTACTTTTTAAGAGTGTCCTTGACTGTCTTGGAGACCAATAAATAAACGAAAAATGAAAAAGGATGAACCTGTTTTTCAGTGCATATTGTAGAGAAGAGAGAGAGAGAGAGAGAGAGAGAAGGAAGGAGGCAGAGAAATTCATGACTCTGCCTATATTACATTGACTTTTGTTGAGGTAAACAATAATATTTTTTATCATCGTGAACTACAGTTGAGAATATAATCGAACGAACATTTTTCGTTTCATCCTGTCAGGGCATTGAAGTGCACAGGCGACCGATGATCGAATAGAAACATGAGTCATGAACACGCTTCGCCCGCATGTACTCTTCGGTGCACAAGAAAAACAGATAAAAGACATGAGATATTTGTTGGACAACGACCTATCTGATTACACATACCCGATTAACTATGAGTCATCGGACAACTAAATGCACTTTTTATATAGAACGAAATCTTCAAACTAATTTCAAATCATCCGCTGTATGTGTCAACTCGAGGGTGTGGGTGTGGCTATGGGTGTTCTTATTTCTTTTTACACCCACACTCACCCAAGATATTTTTTAAACTAATTTTTTTCTTATCACTTATCGTCATTTCCAGCTCATATATACTCTTTCAATTAATTAGACAACTCGATAAATTCATTGATAGTCATTTGTTAAAAGTGATAATATATTGAATTAAAAGACAGAACATTTTTTTTAATTCAGATATTTAATTGATTTAAAAGATGTTGAATTACAAAATTAGCTTAAACAATGTTTTTAAAGGCATCCTTTCGCCAGAATAGATACTACTGTATTAAGTTAGGCAATATTGATATATTTTAGATATTACATTAAATGCATGACTTTCGAAAATTTCTCTCCTTTCATCATTCGAATGAGAAACTTAAAGAGATTTAATTCAGCTATATTATGTTTTTCTAATGTTCTCATTGACATCATATAATATGTACAAAACATAACACTTACAATAGTGAAAAGAAAATGAATAAATTCTATGAGTGTCACCTTGATCTATCAGCGTTGATACGTCCGAACTAGTTCTCAAAGTAATCTATTGCGTCTAAAACTGCTGAATCAAGTATTCTTCTACTTATATGAGCATTGATTCTCATATTTTCTCTCCGAAGAACGCAACTCTATTAGGTGAATTCATGGCTTGTTTACTTCACAAAAATTGTAATTTAAGACGAATATCTCCCCGTATGTAATTTATCAGAATTCTGCAAATTATGATCAAATCTAAATAAAATAAAAAAACAATATACTCGCTTCGTTCTGTTTAACCATAATACAATGATTTCTTTAAAATGTGCTTTTGATATTCGTTCATCTCTTTTTAAACAACATTTGATATCTAATCGACGATTGGCTAACTATGTTTCTATAATAAACAAACGATTATTTGTTCAAATCGACCCATTTTGTTTGCCATTTGGATTTGTTCATATATATATATTTGTGCAGTCACGTATATTTACTTAGTGACAAAAATGTAACTTCTATTCGATGGGAAGTCTTACGACTACATTCATTAGGTGTCATTATATTAAATAGAATCCTCGTGTCAATCGTCTCCTGAACGTACCAGAGTATTAATACATTTTTCTAAAATTTCCATAAAATGATACATGTACTATTGTTACCTTTTGTTTTTTGGAATTGATCGAATGTATCAAGACAAGATTTTAAATGCAGATTCCATACAAGTATACTATTGTATGCCACATGTTTAACTGTGGTTACGACGTTGTCAGCTGTGAATACTTTTAAAATGTTTTCTAGTACTATTAGCTACCGTAACCATACTTTTTTTCTTTTATGAGCTAAAAATAGAAATTATGGGCATATAATGGTGCGGTTTTTCTTGTTCGAAAAAATGTGTCATCGATTATGCTGACTGTATAATTCTTGCTGTTAAACAGAACCGATGAATCATTTTCTCGAACATGAAACGCGACGTCAATCTAAACTCTTAACTTCTATGTTGAGTTGCTCAAAAGAAAACATGATGGGGTGATGGTTACCGTAGTTATTATTAAAAGCTTTCAAAAGTAATAGGCTATTGAAGACTATTTATTCATCGAACAATTTTTAACGAATCCATCACATAACATAGTAAGATGTAAATATTCAAAATGTCATGCTTTTGCTATTTAAATTATTGAAAGTAAAACATAGAAATAACAAGAAAGCTACAATTTACAATCAAGTTCTTCTTCTGTAAAGAAATCAACGAAAATGTTTTTTCGACAAACTATGGAATTTCAGAAAAGATGAGAAATAAATATTTAGCTCGGTAGAGGAATGAAAGGTTTATTCTTCTTCATAACCAATAGGAAGTTCTAGGAACGCTACAGAGAATAGTTAAAAAGATAGATCATCCTTAGTGTTGATCTTGATATCGTTGGACTAAATGCTCGAACGGGATCTTAAATATGTATGCTAGGCAAATTTTCGAATTGTATTCATGTCATAAAATCTGTTTCCGAGTCTTTTTCTTCTTACAAAGATAAAGATAATAAACTAGAACAGATTTGACGCGGAAACAGAAACAGAGCTAATGATGACTGACTGTCCTACAGTTCTTCCGGTGGTATTCTATGGAATAACAAGACAAACCAATAGAATCAGTTTTATTTGAGGGTGTGTACAGGCACACGCATACTTCTGCTTCTTACTGTAAAAATAGATAGTTAAGAGGTCGAATTTAACTTGAATCTCTCAAGATTTTTTCGATTTTCCCTTTGCTGTAGGTGCATTTGACTATCGAAAACCTAGATACGATCCAGACATGCATGACTTGTTTTTCTATTACATATCATGCATGAAAAGTTCAAGTCTCAAAATTATTCTAGAAGCTACAGTACGAACGATTTACGTTTGTTTATGTTGAACAAAATTGATAATAAAATGGCCAATATTGAAGAGTATTACTAGTTTCTAGTGTAACTAGGATTTCTGTATTGCTGAAATCTATGCCTTGAAATACTTTCAACCTGATGAATAAATCTTTTGATTTAGAAATCATTTTTCAATGGATAGACATTTTCTCCGATGTATTATTATAATATTTATAGTGTACAAGCCGACAAGACATTTTTTGAAAGTATTAAATTGTGATACATCTTTATGTTTTCCAGTGTCGTTTGCATAATAATACTACCAATAAAACGGTAGAGATAACGACAAATATTATCAAACAGAATCTATTTTTGTGTCATTCATTATTAAAAAATGATATAACGAGAGCCGGAAAACAAAATGATTGATTTGTTTGTTCTTTTGTCTTGTATGTAATTATCCAATATATCATTTTAGTTTAGTTTAGTTTAGTATCTGCACAACTTATTTATCAAATACAAATTCCGTCACTACCGTTTGTCGATAAATTCTTAGTATAGAAAACATCAAGTGTCCATTTCTTTCACTTTGACGCTTGGCCATGTCTCATCTACCCAGCAACTTTCAAGTTCTAGTTTTTGACACGATGAACAATATACCTGTATAGGACATGCGACATCAAATATAATATATTCATTTTTCGAACAAAAAATATTTACAAAATAATCATGTCAATCAAATTTCTCACGTGTTTTTTAAGTACGCATAAACCAATAATAAAACACACATAAAGATTCAAGATAGATGTATTTTTGTATCAACTATTGATGAGCTGGAAATCAAGTCAATCATCACTACTATAAATTGATATGTTCTTGAACTCGATTGATTATTTGTTTTTGTTTGATTAAAAGCAACTTAGTGCTAATTTTTCTCCTTCCGAATGCTAGCATCATAAAATTGTTTTTTTAATCTTGATTTAAATATAAATATCAGTCATCGTACGAATCTCGTTTTTCTAGGCTTGATATTTTTAATTAACTATTCATTTACGTATATCGGTATTTTGATAGTGCAAAGCTATTGCACAACCGTAACTATTCTTCAGCAGCCCCTATAGACATTGAAAAACATGCATTTGAATATGTATCAAAATAAGCAAATGTGACAGAAAAAAAAATACTTCAGCCATTTATTTGTTTTTTCGTTTATACCTCAATCGGGTATAAGCTTAGAAAATCTTACACAGTATTGAGTTTTTGTTTTGTATAATAGCCAATCAAGCGATTTCTCAATTCGCAGTATACCTATCTCTATTTTAAATCTATAGGTAACTTATTATTCGTTCTTGACGTACGTACTTTTGTGAACTTTATTGATAAAGCATATAGTACAGCAACAATATATATCTACATTGAATTTGAATAGGATGATAGGTGATCATAATATCTGTCGCAATTATACTGCATGATTATTCAAGTGTGAAAAAGCGTGACGCTGACACGTTGATAAAAACACAAAATATAATACATCAGCAAAATATTCACATCCTCTTTCATTCAGTACTTTCATCGAATGCACGTTGAATAATGATTGATAATTACAATGAAAAAGTATCTAGCGAAAATGGAGATATTTCTGATTTAGATCCACATGAAATTATCAACAGGAAGTATGATCTGTGAATAATTTTGATTATAATATTTTTTCTCGTTCTCTATTATATAGTGATGTTTCTTCGAATAATGCACAAAAACTCAAGAAATCTAGATTCTTTCAAAAGTTTCGTAATACCGGAGAAGAAGAAGAAGTAGTAGCAGCAGCAGCAGCAAAACCTAATGAATCTGTAAGCTTACTTAGTTTGGTAAGATACTCTTGATTTATTTTGAGTAAGAATTTCAACATACAGTTTAGTTTCGATATGCCACAAAACTCGATTTAATCTTAATGCTCTTTGGTACTGCATCAGGTCTAGCCAATGGAGTTATTTTACCAATCATGATTATTGTATTCGGAAGTGTTCTAAGTACATTTACCAAACGAGCGACGGACGCATGTTCATTCAATTATACGGCGCTTGCGATTCAAAGCTGCCCAGAAAATTATACATTATCAGCTTCGAATTATTTCTCATCAATGGCGTAAGTAAATGTTTAAAAGAAGGAAAAATGCTCAAAAACTTTTTTATCATTGACTTTTTAGTATTTGCAAATTTAATGATTCATTCGATCTTCAAGGCCAAGTAACTAAGCAAACATTGTATTTAGCCGGCATTGGTTGTGCTAGTATTGTGCTCAGTTATTTTCAAGTCGTATGTTGGAGTTTTACAGCAGAACGACAAACAAGGGCAATAAGACAAAAATTATTTCAATCAATTCTTCGAAAGGAAATCGTTTATTTTGATTTTCATAAAACTGGTGAACTGAATACAAAATTAACAGATGATGTAGATAAAATTCATGATGGAATCGGTGATAAACTTGGTGCGACGGCACAATTTATAGCTTCATTTTTGACTGGATTCACTCTTGGTAAACTTATTCATAAATACAAAACATATTTTGTAATATATTTATTATATAGGTTTTGTTTATGGATGGAAATTAGCATTGGTTATATTATCTATAGCGCCACTACTATTTATCTCAGCTGCTCTCTTTGCCAGAGTATGTTTTGTTTTGTTTTGTTTTATATTGAAAATCAAAGCAAATTAAAATTGGTACTTTTTATAATACCTTTCTACAGCTTGCTTCCGGTTTGACAGCAATGGAATTAAAAGCTTATGGTAGAGCAGGAGCAATTGCCGAAGAAGTATTTAGTTCAATACGAACCGTTCTATCGTATGGTGGACAAGAACGAGAAGAGAAAAGGTTTTTATCCAATAATAAATATGCTAATATCTTTCAGTGTTTTCTGTAATACCATTTATCTTTTGTTTATAGATACGAAAAACATCTCGAGGACGCTAAAAAGAATGGTATAAAGAAAGGTGCCATCAATGGCATTACGATCGGTACAGTATGGTTTTTGATCTATGGTGCATATGCGTTAGGTATTTAGTATATACTATGTTGATGAAATTTTTATGCATTTATTATATATTGTACAAATAGCATTTTGGTATGGAGCCAAATTAATTCGAGAAGATAACTACAATGTTGGTGATGTTTTTATTGTAAGTTGAAAATACTTGCCTGAATTTATAATTCAGTTTACAATGATAGTAACAATAATGATCATTTTCAGGTATTTTTTTCAATTATCATTGCTGTTTTCAATTTGGGTCAAGCTAGTCCACATATTCAAGCGTTAGGTCAAGCTCGAGCTGCTGCTTACTTAGTATGGGAGGTTATTGATGCAGTATGTAAACAACTAAGTTTCATACAGATTAATTAGTTTAGTTCGTGTTCATTTATTTTATAGCCATGCAAAATCATCAGTGATTCAGAAACAGGTGTGACAAAAGATGATCTTGCTGGTGATATTCGCTTTTCGGATGTTCATTTTTCTTATCCATCACGATCAACAGTTAAAATTCTAAATGGCATTTCATTTGATATTAAACGTGGTCAAACAATTGCGCTTGTTGGATCATCTGGTTCAGGAAAATCAACATGCGTACAATTATTGCAACGATTCTATGATTCTGACGCAGGCTCAGTTTTTATTGATGATCAGCGAGTCGATGAGTATAATTTAAAATGGTTAAGAGAACATATTGGTGTTGTTAGTCAAGAACCAATTTTATTTCAAGCAACTATTCGAGAAAATATTCTATTTGGAAGAGATACAGCAACTGATGCAGAAATTCATGAAGCAGCAAAAATGGCGAATGCACATAATTTCATTATGGAGCTACCTGATGTAAGTAATATTAGAAATATTAATAGTTTTGATTATTTGCGTGTACATGCATCTTTTGTAGAAATATGAAACTCGAGTCGGCGATCGTGGAGCTACACTCTCCGGTGGACAAAAACAAAGAATTGGTAAGTGTACATTAAGAGTACATATTGTAATTTTATAATTGTTTTTATAGCCATTGCTCGAGCCTTGATTCGAGATCCAAAAATTTTACTTCTAGATGAAGGTAAACTAAAATATTCAATTGTTTGTCTTTTCATAATTCTATATGTTTCTATATAATAGCGACGAGTGCACTTGATAATGAAAGTGAAAAAATAGTTCAAGCAGCATTGGATCGTGCTGCTCAAGGTAGAGCTACTAGAAGTTTCATCGACCTATGTCTATTATAACATTGCGAGTCATTATCATTATAGGTCGTACCACATTAGTGATTGCGCATCGTCTATCGACAATTCGTAATGCTCATAAAATTGTTGTCTTGCACAAGGGTGAAGTTGTTGAAGAAGGTGATCATGAATCATTGATGGAGTTGCGTGGAACTTATCATACTCTTATTGAACAACAGCATTTACGTCAAATTGAAGAAGAAGAAAAGTTATCTTTTGAACGCAAACAATCTTTGGCAGTTGATCCAATTGAAGAAAATCAATTAGATTTCTTACGAAAACGTGCTGCAACTATTATTAGTATGACTCCATCAGCCAAGGCTGAATTGTTTGACAAAACACGAATTTCAACAACCGATGGCAATGTAGTAAGAGAAGAGAATACTGACGAGAAGAAGAAAAAGGTAAAAATTAAAATAAAATAATTTCTATTTCATTCACTATGATTTATTAGGAAAAAAAACCTAGTATTACATTCCAAATGTTCTTAATGAATAGACCAGAATGGTTATATATAGCGATTGGCTGTGTCTCATGTCTATGCAATGGTGGTATTCAACCAGCATTTGGTGTTGTTTTAAGCAAGCTCACGGCGGTAGATTTTTTATTCATAATATTCTAAATTTTATTTAAAGTTGTTTATTATTATTACTATTGAATAGGTCTTTCAAGAATGTAATCCTAAAGTTCAAGAAGATCGAGTTATGCTCTATGTACTTTTGTTTATTGGTTTTGGTTTTCTTATGTTAGCTACGCTATTTCTTCAGGTACCTTCTTTTTTTTAATAATTCCAAAAGTATTTATTTCTTTGATGATTTAGGGCTTTTTATTTGCTTGTTCAGGAGAAGCTCTAACAAAAAGATTACGATCTAAAACATTTCATAGTATTCTACGTCAAGAAATCGCTTATTTTGATGATCCAAATAACAATACAGGAGCATTATGTACACGTTTAGCAACTGAAGCATCTGCTGTACAAGGAGCGACTGGTGTTCGTCTTGGTTTAACAATACAAAATTTAGCTGCGCTTGGTACTGGTATTATAATTAGTTTTATTTTCTCTTGGCAATTGACATTGCTTATACTCGGCTTTGTTCCATTGATGGTTATCGGAGGTTTTTTACAAAGTCGTTTGATGACTGGATTTGCTAGTAAAGATAAAAAAGCATTCGAAAATGCTGGAAAGGTTCGTTATTCTTTTTCACGAAAAATCCTATTCGTCTGACGGTACCCGCTCTTTAGGTAACAGTAGAATCTATACAAAATATTCGAACAGTCGTACAATTAACTAAAGAAGATTATTTTTACGAAGAATACTGTTCACTTCTTCAAGTTCCTTATCGGTATCATAATTGTTTTTGTTTTGTGAATTTAATCTGAAATCTATTATAATATTTCGTATTATAGATCATCTATAAAACGAGCAAATCTCTTTGGTATATTCTTTTCAATAACCAATTCAGTCATGTTCTTTAGCCTAGCGGCACTATTTCGATTAGGTGCTTATCTTGTGAATCAACAACAAATCACATTTCAAGACCTTTTATTGTAAGAATCATTATATTTCGAATATGATTATTTTATTGTATTTCAGGTGTTTTAATTGTATTGTATTTGGTGCACAAAGCGTTGGACAAACAGCATCTCTGTAAATATTCGATATTATTCAATGAAAATCCTATAGATTTTTATTTACTTTATTAGTGCTCCAGATTATAGAAAAGCTGTTGATTCGGCTGAGAAGATTGTCGAACTATTCAATCGACAACCAACTATTGATAATAGTTCACGTGATGGTGATGAAATAGTTAGTCAATATGAATTATTTTTGATGATATCAATCTCTTTTTATTATTATCTTTTCTTTAGTCTAACTTTGGTGGAGGATTAGAATTTGTTAATGTCAATTTCATCTATCCAAATAGACCTGAATCTATTGTTCTGAAAAATTTCAAACTCAAGATTTCACCTGGTATTTTATATTTCGATTTATTCATTTCTTAATATTAGCTTTCTGTTTGTTATAGGACAACGCATTGCACTCGTCGGTAAAAATTAAATTGTTTCGTTTTTGTATAATGTTTTCCATACGAATATAGCCCTGTTTTATATTTAGGTACATCTGGCTGTGGAAAGTCAACAACTATTCAGCTGATCGAACGTTTCTACGATCCAACTATTGGTCAATTGGTTAGTTCATTTCTTTCATCACATATTTCATATGAATGCTTCGATTTGTTTTTGAATAAAGTTAATCGATTCCAAAGATATTCGAAGTCTCAATCTTCAATGGTATCGATCACAAAGTATGTAATTCACTTTATTCTTCATCTTTCTTTTATATGAAAATCGATATGTCGTCTTCAGTTGGCATTGTTTCACAAGAACCAGTTTTATTTGACATGTCAATAAAAGAAAATATTGCCTATGGCGATAATAGTCGAGATGATATTCCAATGGAAGAAATCATTGCAGCAGCTCAAAATGCGAATATACATGATTTTATTCAAACACTTCCAGATGGATATGAAACTAATTGTGGTGCAAAAGGAGCTCAATTATCAGGTGGACAAAAACAAAGAATTGGTAAGATCAAATATTGAAAAGACTAGCATCTATTGTTTATATTTAGCTATTGCTAGAGCATTAGTTCGAAATCCAAAAATATTGTTATTTGATGAAGGTAAGAAACGGATGAAAACAATTGTTTCATCAAATATATCAATATAATTATTTAGCAACAAGTGCACTGGATAGTGAAAATGAGAAGATAGTTCAAGAAGCATTAGATCTTGCTCAACAAAATCGAACTTCAATTACAATAGCACATCGTTTATCAACAATTCAAAATGCAGATATAATTTGTGTTTTACATAATGGAGTCATAGTTGAAAGTGGAACTCATGAAGAATTAATTGCTTTACAAGGTCGTTACTATCATTTAGCGATTGGAAAACTTAAATAAATGTTACATTTCGTTATTTTTTTATTCTATTTAAGAAAAGAAATAAAATTCCGTGGGATTTTAACTATTATTACGAAAGGATATAATGGGAAAATATTTTCCATAAACAAAATCTCTATTAGATACATGCGGAGTGTGATTGCCCACATGGGCATTTAAATTACAAGTGATACTCAAGATTCGTATTAGCTTCCTAATTCCAACTCAAATCCGTCGATTTACCCTTATAAATTGGAATAATATGATGAAGATCATATTTTCGAAGAGACGAGTGTTTGCATTAAATTGATCTCTTGACTAGTATCTTTTTTAAACCCAAGAAAATGTTTAGACATTTTGCCCATGTGGCGAAGTGTCCAGCGGCGTAACCAGGGGGGTGGGAGGCAAATGGGCAATCGCCCATTCAAATTTTACTTTTGAATAAACTAGCTACTGTCTTTTTTTCTTTCGTTTGAATCGCATATGGACCCTTTACTTGTTCTTATGAAGAATTAATATAAGAAAACAGAACAAAGAAAATGAATAATGGACAATTGTACATACATATCTATATGTATGCTTTTTCTTTTCTTTTATCTTTTCTCAAAATGCTGATATGACAGAAAACGATTGAACTATAATCTATCTCGTCCAGTTTACCGTCTTGTCTCTTCTTTCGCGCTACTATATTATAAGAAAAGTTTAAAGAAAAAAGAAAAAGAACAAATATGCTTATATAAAATTGTGCGCTTACACTTATAATTTTGTTGTTCTCTTTTGTTCTGTTTTAAAAGACTAATACTAAGCCATGCCAACCGAAAAACGACCCAATACACAGTGTCGGATTCAGGAAATCAGTAAGGGGGTGGTACTCGCGGCCAAAGAGTGTTTTTTGAAGCCTATTTGAGGCAATACGGCTCTTTTCTGTTTCATTTCTGCTGGAAACAGGCGAAAAAATTTCATGAAGGGTGTGGCCCTCGCCGGTTAGCTGTAATGGTAGATCCGCCAGTGGCAATTCGTTATTAAGCTATTACTTTTCTTCCAAATATTGAAATTTCATGTAAAAATATACAGTGGTCGTTTTGATTTTGGTGTTTAAATTTCAAAACCAAATGTTATAAATAGAGACTGAAGATAGAATAAAATATGTCTAACTCCCCGTGTCAGAAAATACTGTCAGTATACGGCCATTTACGGTGAAAAAAACGATATCTAAACCAGGGATGGACGAGTCGCGGTGTGACACCGCCTCGCCCCGTGGCGGGGCGGTGGCGATGCACCGTATTATTTCGCGGTTTTCCCGTCCAGCTTACTAATACTACTGTTTTTTGTCACATTACATGCAAATCAACAGAGACATCTTTAAATATCTTTCATGAATGTTTTTCGCCCTTTTTTTTTGAGACTGGAAACGTTAGCGACGAATTCGAAGATGACACTGATGATGAATTAAGCAAGTATTTGGAGCAGCGGATTGAAATTGAACTTATTGATGAAAATCCTCTGAAGTTTTGGTACGAGCATCGACTTATTTACCCTACTTTATCAAAGCTCGCACATTCGATATTTTTCTATTCCAGCAACTACAGCCAATGTAGAGCGGCAATTTAGCGCCAGTGGTCTAATGATTAACGTAAGACGTACTCGACTGAATCCTGAACAAGTGAATAACGCTTTGCTTTTGAGATCGGTGAATAAAAACTGAGCGTTTGTTTTTGTTTTTATTATTATTATTGTATCTTTCAATTTTTATTATATTTTTCTATTGTGAAACTATGTATATTTGGGTTATGCCTTTTGATGGCATGCAATAAAATTAAAATTATGAAAGGTGACTATCAATACTTGCTTCCTAAAATGTATTTTACGAGCGGGGCGGGGCGAGACGGGACGGTGGCGGGGTCAGTATTAAAAAATATACGGTGGCGTTGCGGTGGCGAGGCGACTTTTTAGCTGCCCCGTTCATCTCTGATCTAAACGGACCGTATACGGCCATGATACTGGATGCAGGAATATGGCCGTATCGTAATGAGAATCCGGCGTATATACGACCGTATACGGCGAAAATACGGTATCGTTTATAGTGCCGTATTACTGCATCCGGTGCTACGGGAAAATACGGACAGTTTACTGCTATAAAGATGTCGCTTTCTTACCGTTTATTTTCAGGAAACGGACCGTAAACGATATCCGTTTTGATCGACCTGAGTCAGCAAGTCTGAGGCAGGCTTAAAATCTGAGATTCTTTTCCTATATATTAGGTTAAAAGAATCTCATGTTTTTCTTTTTGTTTTTTTTCTACGTTATGAATACTTTGCTCGGGTTAAAAACTTTTGGCCTATCAATAAAAATCTTGTCAATTTTGTCCATGGTTTTCTTTTTACTTAATAGAAGTTTGGCCAATGGCCTAAAACTTCTGGTTACGCCGCTGAAAGTGTCCTAGCCCACTATATTTTTATTCTATGTGTTTTTTTCTGAATTAGTTAGAGTAATTTAGCAAAACGAAGATATCTCAAAAAATTTAGGATAAATAAAAAGCAGTGAGTAAAAAGAAACCAAAAGTTCTATTGATTGAAGTAACAATCAATCGTTGATACGCTAAGGTTGCAAAAATGAGTATTACTAACTGAAAATTGTTCACAATATCTATACGAAAGTATATCATATATTGAGCGTGAGGGTATGAGCAGTATTTTGTTTTCGATTATTTCCATCTACGTATATTATCATGTGGACTAAAATGTCATCTACAAGTAAGTTACACAAATTCTTACGTCTAATCTCCACCACACTCCAAACCCCCACTCGGATCCAGATTTCCCTTCCTAATCTATTTTGGCTGAAGTCTATATCCACTATTCTTATAGGCCCCATGAAGTTGAACCAATGTAAAGCTGATGTTCCAAGCAGCATTTGGTTGGCCGCCATCTTTTGCTATTTCGAAACAAAAAAAGATGAAGCGTTAAGGTTTGAACCAAACAGGTCGTATTTTCATTTCTGTAGTTTTCAACGAATAGTTTTCACCCCTAAAAGTATACCAATTGACACCTGCAGCAAATAGTATCGGATGATTTCCACGCAAATATCCACCATTCAGATTAGAGTCATGACAAGCATTATACCACCAGGCTCCATTATGGCGTTGTGCACATGACCCGAAAACTGCGTCATTATCGTGATCCTTCGTTGAAAACTGCATGTTATTGTGTTGGCTTAACGAATCTCCTGCGTCGCCCTTCAAATAAGATCCAAACATCAATCGATATTTGTCAGCTTCGTTCGATACTTGAAAAGAGCTGTACTCTGCAAACCGTTTCTGTGCCTCAAAGTCTTCGAGATCGACTCGTAATCGATACGAATCTTGATTGGTCAAAATCGATAAACGATCATTGCCTAGCCAAAACTGCCGTTGTAAGTCACCGAAGCCTCTTTTATATTCGAGCCATGTTCGATAGAAATCTAGTTGAGGAGTGTAATCGCCTCGCTTTTGGAATACAGTCCATCCACCATCATCAGTGTCCATATCGCACAGAACTTTAATCGGTTTTCCTACTCGGAACAAAAGAGAAAATTGAAGAAACGAGGATGAAAAAAAAAGTGAAATACCTTGTCTCGGCCAAATTTCATAAATACCAGTGGGAGGTGGAATATTATGTAAACTTTGTTCTTTCAAGTAGATTTCTGCACAATCTTCAGGAAAGTCACTAAAATATGAACTGTCCCCACGTAGCGGGCGATGTTGTGTGGAAAGATTTCCAACCAATCCACGAGCTAAATCTGCATTGAGATCATAGGCATGTCCCAGTCTACAAGCAGCTACGAAGATTATAAATGCAACTAACGTTGACGTGCGCATTATGGGTTTGTTTTCGAATGAAATTTATGAGTGCTGAGTAGCTTTCTGTACACTAATATATATAGTATCAAAACACGTGAAGAGTAATAAATCCTCGCTGTTCGTTTATTAGCATTAGATAAAAGTTGTCAAAGATTTATGACCGTAATCGATCGTTGCTTAAAGGTTTTTCTTCGTCGATTTGCAGAAGAGCTCGTCTTAGGCTATAAATTTATATAGCATTTTACTGTGTTTTTGTCAATAAACTTCCCCTGATAATATCAATGGCACACGCGCTGAGATGAAGGGTGTATTAGTACATCTTTTAAATGATGGTGTACAAGAGCATTTTTTCCATATGATGATTTATCTGATGCATACGTTGGCAAGGGTTTTCTTTTAAGAATAAAGTAGTACAAACGTTTATGAATTGACAAGAAATGAGAAACCACCGATAAGCTCGACCGAGGGGAAATCTTATTCTGCTACTAATTCATGGATAGTAGGGTTTATTTTTCACAAATCGTTTTGAAATGGCAAAGCATTTATGTTCATATTACAACTTATACGATAAGAATTGAAGATTTATAGATGAAAATTGACGCTTGACTAATTAGATCTTCCACTTTAAGTTGAAACCTGATAACTAATGTACCATTCAAGTTTCACTCACAACCTGAATTAATGAGACTTTTTCGCAGATGTTGCAGCTATTTTATGTCTTACACGATCTTTTTCAAACGGCTCGAATTAAAAATATAGGGAGCAGAAGGTTTAAATCCACAGCTAGGGTGCTGAAATTGTTTTAGAGTATACGTTGGTAGAGTTCGTAAAACTATCGCAGATAATCACTCCTAAACAATCAGTGACTTGTGTTGAATGCAAAACAGGCACTAGCATCTATGGATGTTATTGGGCGCAAGATTTAAAATGGAGGTACACCGGCATGTGAATGTAGCTCTGAGTGTAGGTATGAGATCATTGAGTGGATAAAGCAGATAGTCAGTAGTATCTTTTATGACTAGTTTTAGCTTTTCAGAGTAGTGATTTGTCATCGTGGACATTAACTATGCTGATGTATTGTCACTCTCAGCGGTACACCAAAATGCATTGCTTCTAGATAAATTATGCTTGGAGTATACTACATCGTATTTGATGCCTATTTATAAAGGGTGTTCCGAAAGTTCTGAAACAATTTTAAAATTCATTGTTTAGTATTCTTAACTTTTCCGACAAATCCTTTACCCCGATTAAAACTTCCATTTACCGTTTGTTACTATCTTCTTCTTGTTATTATTACATTCTCACAAGAAGTAATCCCCTTCTTTAAACACTAACACTCATTTAAATAGAATATATACGAGACGAAGAATGGAATGATTGTAAACGTCATAGAATGAAACCGAGAGAAGAAGAGAGAACATACTTATGGCAGGACATATATCTCTTGACATAACACTGTTTTATTCAGAATTAAATTCTCTATGGGATGATATGTAAAGTATGTTCTTTCACGCTAAAAAGATCATTCACAATACACAAATCATGTTTACATAGTCAAGGTCAAAACCGACCTGTAACTCAACGACTCGAGTTGAAACTTATAGGAATGGTAGAAAACGACACTTTCTTCAATTTCTGAACGTTTTAGGTTGAATCCATATATTTTCGTAACGCTTACAATTTTTTTAAATAATATGTGACAGTGTTGTTACAGTTTCTCCGCCACAGTGAAAGCTATAGACTACAAACTTCACCGTGATATAGTACGACATATGTGCAATAATCTGAGAATACTTTAAACAGCTTGGTTTTGTTAAACACGAGAACGATGAATTTCAAAATCGTTTCGGAACTTCTGTAACACCCTTTATTTGTAATCAAGTTCCAGTGATAATAAACTTTGCGTAGCATCTGTTGGATTCAGAAAAGGTCTCTAATTCGGCAAGGGGCTAAATCATTGCAAATTATAGGAGAATTCTCTTTCAATAGTGAAGGATTTACTGTTTAGATAATTTATGACGAAAAAAATCTATACTAATCAATAAGGATCATAACAAGAAACTTATATGGACATCAACAAAATTTTATCCAAAATAAAACGTACGCCTCATGAAAAAGATGCTATTAAAAAAGTGGCAGCTTTCACAATTCAACATCTGTAGAGTTCTTGATATTCATGTAAGCGGATTCAGCTTGTTTAATACGGAGGTTTGAAGACAATTCTACTCTCCATCAGGCTTAAAACATCGTTCTTACACAAAATCGGTAGTATTTTGACTGTTAATAGAAAACATGGAATGATTCATTAGCATTCTCATATACAATTTTCGTTCCATTTAAAAGAAACTCATGCGGTTATTTTCACAAACTCCACTAAGCGCAGATTTTCCGGCGGCGGTACCAGGAGAGTCCATAAGCAGCCGAGAACAAATCCGTCTTGCCAATCGCAGACAACCTGAAGAAAAAAGAGAGAAGACCGTGCTCAATAATCGCCAATGAAATAGTTCTCATCAATGCTGAATTCCAAGCGATACTCAATGTCTTTCCGATCCTAAGAGCGTGGTACTGAAAATCACTCCTATGCAAGACTATTTGTTTCATGTTGTAGAATATACGAATAATTTTTTTATTATGAAACTACATAGAGGATCATTAAGGTTTGAACCAAGCAGGTCGAATTTTCATTTCTGTAGTTTTCAATGAGTAGTAATGGCCTCTAAATGCTAGCCAATTGACGCCTGCAGCGTATATCGTCGGATGTGGTCCACGCAAATATCCACCATTCAAATTAGACTCATGGCAAGTATAATACCACCACGCTCCATTGTATAGTTGTGCACATGACCCAGGATTTGCGTCATTATCTTGATCCTTCGTTGAAAACTGCATGTTATTCTGAAAGCTGAATGAATCTCCTCCGTCACCCTTCAAATAAGATCCAAGTGTCAATCGATATTTGTCAGCTTCGTTCGATATTCGAAAAGAACTGTACTCTGCAAATCGTTTTTGTGCATCAAAATCTTCAAGATCGACTCGTAGTCGATATGAATCTTGATTGGTCATAATCGACAAGCGATCATTCCCTAACCAAAACTGCCGTTGTAGATCACCGAAGCCTCGCTTGTATTCGAGCCACGTTCGATAGAAATCTTCTCGAGGTGTGTAATCGCCTCGTTTTTGAAACACAGTCCAACCACCGCCATCAGTGTTCATATCACACAAAACTTTAATCGGTTTTCCTACTCGGAATCGAAGAGAAAATTGAAGAAACGAGAATGAAAAAAATGTGGAATACCTTGTCTCGGCCAAATTTCATAAATACCAGTGGGAGGTGGAATATTATGTAAATTTTGTTCTTTCAAGTAGATCGCTGCACAATCTTCAGGAAAGTCACTAAAACCTGAACCATCCCCAAGTATCGTGCGATGTTGCGTGGAAAGATTTCCAACCAATCCGCGAGCTAAATCTTCATTCAGATCATAGGCGTATCCCAGTCTCCCAGTAGCTACGACAATGATGAATATCGTTATCAGTAACGTGCGCATTGTTGACTTGTTTTCAGCTGACGATGTTTCAGAACTGACTATCGTTGTGTATACTTATATATACCATATCTTTCTTGATGTGATTAGGAGGCAAGTCGAAACTGGAAAATATAAAAGTTGGAAATTGAGTCTTCACATATGACATCATATCAGTTAAAACTTGAAACTCTCTTGAGGGTGTTGACTTCATGACACAAATAAATTACAAAATAATTCAAAAAATGTAACGTACTCAGAGTCTGCCATTGGTAATCAGGGTCTGCCATAGGGAATTAGGATCTGCCATAGGAAATCAGGGTCTATCATAGGAATCAGAGTCTGCCATAGAGAATCAGGGCCTGTGAGGGTCTACCAGATTCTACCAGGGTCTACTAGCGTCTACTAGGGTCTACAAAGGTCCCAAAAAGATGTGGGCTGTGATGTGTGTGTTCTCGCTGTGTACACCCTACGTGACTCCCACATCATGGTAGACCCCGATTCCCTATGTCAGACGGTGATTCTCTATGGTAGACCCTGATTCTCCGTGGTAGTCCTCATAAGAGCTATACTGGTTATTGTTCAACGCAGAATTACTTTTGAATCGACTAATCTGAATTACTTTGTAATTGATTTGCGTCATCCAGTGGGGGTGTGAGTATTGTGTGACTGATTTCAGCTGTTGGGCGTTATGAATTTTCGTACACTCCTGGAACCACGCTAACGTATATTCGCACCCAGATCCATATACAACAGTATCCCGCTTCTAGAAAAGCTGCGATTGTGGTATCATATACTATAAACGATTCTGATGCCATTGCTTATGTATATTATATGTGATCAATAACTTTACTAACGAAGCGTTTCATTCTTGAAAGCGTCAAATGCTTTAGAAAGACACACTAATAACTGCATACTTTGCGAGAAAATGTCTTTTAATTGTAGACGGCGCTTTCTAGTAATGATTTGCCGCACTCACTTCCGCTCTGACTCGCGTATACAGAAAAAAAATAACTTATCACCGTTTGGCGTCAAGCACAGTGCCCTTTTGATAAAGTGGCAGCTTTCACAATTCAACCAGTGTAGAGTTACTCATGTTTATTGAAACGTAATGAGATTGTTTTGGAAGAAAAACAGGAAATGGTTGCACCATCCCCGCGATCCTCGGAAAATTCTTCCTGCAAGAAACGCTGACTGTTATTTTCACAAACTCCACTCAGCTCATATTCGACGGAGAAGTGCTAGGATAGCCCATAAGCAGTGTAGAACACATCCTTCTAGTCAATGACATGGATACCTGGACGGAAAAGAGAGAAGACCGAGTTCAATAATCACCAATGAAATAGTTCTCATCAATGCTGAATTCCAAGCGATACTCAATGTCTTTCCGATCCTAAGAGCGTGGTACTGAAAATCACTCCTATGGCAGAGTATTTGTTTCATGTTATAGAATATACGAATAATTTTTTATTATGAAATTACATAGAGGAGCATTAAGGTTTGAACCAAACAGGTCGAATTTTCATTTCTGTAGTTTTCAACGAGTAGTAGTAGCCTCTAAATGCTATCCAATTAACGCCTGCGCCGTATATTGTCGGATGATTTCCACGCAAATATCCACCATTCAAATCAGACCAATGACAAGCATTATACCACCACGCTCCATTGTATAGTTGTGCACATGACCCAGGATTTGCGTCATTATCTTGATCCTTCGTTGAAAACTGCATGTTATTGTGATAGCTGAATGAATCTCCTGCATCACCCTTCAAATAAGATCCCACCATCAATCGATATTTGTCAGCTTCGTTCGATATTCGAAAAGAACTGTACTCTGCAAATCGTTTTTGTGCATCAAAGTCTTCTAGATCGACTCGTAATTGATACGAATCTTGATTGGTCAAAATCCATAAACGATCATTCCCTAACCAAAACTGTCGGTGCAGGTCGCCGAAACCTCGCTTATATTCGAGCCAAGTTCGATAGAAGTCTTCTTGAGGTATGTAATCGCCTCGCTTTTGGAAGACAGTCCATCCACCACCATCTGTGTTCATGTCACACAAAACCTTTATCGGTTTTCCTACAGGGAATAAAAGAGAAAATGGAAGAAACACGGATGAAAAGAAAGTGGATTACCTTGTCTCGGCCAGATTTCATAAATTCCAGTGCGAGGTGGGTCACCATATATGCTATGGTGTTTTAACCCTTTCCGCATCGCTGTTTGAAAATTGCCGTACCCCCCTAGGGGAAAATGTTGCCATATGGCAACACCGGACCGGAAAGGGTTAAGTAGACTGCTGCACAATCATCAGGATACTCGCTAAGAGACGTGTTGTAACCAGTTTGTTTCGAAGTCTCAACCAAAAGTCTCCCGGTCAATCCACGAGCCAAATCGTCATTGATATTTTATCCGTGAGTCAGTCTAATGGTAGCTGTGAAGAATAGAATGATCGGTAGCAAGAATAAGCTCATGATGTAAATTTTGTTGTTAAACATCGAGAGGCTTTCTGAGGCAGCTATATATACAAGGTCCTATACATAAAATGGGAAATGCATTATTTCCGTTGTGTTTAACATGCAATAGAGGGTCATTATCATAATACAAGGCGTAGAAAATAAGAATATTTAATTAGTGAGGAAAGGAAGCATAGAGCACTTGTATGGAAGAGTGGTATGAGATACGCCTGCATGATTCATGGTATTGCTATGCATCGCTTAATGTTATTACAGTGAATTCACGAGTCATTACATTATGTGGCTATTGTTGTTTTTTAGTTAGGAGCAATTAATCGAATGAATTTTCGTCGAACCATATTTAAAATATTTTGTTATGACCGAAGTGTTCCCCTTCGATCATAAGACGGAATACACGAATAATAAACGCTCCTTTCTAGTACCGTGGTAGTATAGCTCCCCGGGGAGCAGAATACTTTGGTTCGATTCCAACATTGATCTTAATCTTAAAGTTGAAACAAAGAAGATCAAGAACAATTTCAACAAGATTTAATAATTGTTTAGTTACAAGTACAATAGGAAAACGTGAAGAAATTGATAATGAGAGTAAATATAGGGATTTTGTTTTCTATCAGGTAATTCATTCTATCTTTGCTGCAATAAACGGTAACAGCCTAGAATGTCCTTTACGAAATGCCCTCGGGATTTGGTCCACAGAAAAAATGCTTTAGACAAAATGTCCTTGGGACATATGGTCCTTTCTGATTTAGTCCTTCGAAAAAATGTCTTCCATTATGGAAATGTCCTTTCACTAAAATAAAAATAATGCTAGAGGATAATGTTTAAAATGCAGTTTTGTTTATTATGACGGATTAAATTTTATTTTATTTTTCATTCTCAACAAAAAACGAAAGTGCCCAGGTCGACTGATCCGGCATCGGATCCGATAGGAACCTGGAAATATCCTACAATCTGATACAATTCTGTTGGATTCCAGTCGGATCATGGGTTCCGATAGGTTCCTACTGTAGGATTGCTCGACCTGGGTAGTATTTGATCAGTTTTCAAACTGAAACATGCAAGCTTATCTCTCACTTTTAATCTTTTTCTATTCACTGGTCCAAATTTAGTGCGACAGTTTGTTTATAATTAAATCATATAACAGATTCAAATGTCTGACAAAAGTGAGAAGAGAAATTATTCGAGTAATCATTTCTTACATAACTGGTTGACAACAAAAAATACAGATGTCAACACATATTCAGATTCCTAACGATGCATCTGATGAAAATGATGTTCAGTGCCAACTATTCAACGTTACACGACCAGCCATCTCGGTAGTCACATTGTTAATCATGAGCGTTACGACCAGGTCATAATCACTCTTTGAATCTGAAGGTAGTTTTTACTAAAACATGAAAAACACTTATCAATTGACTATTTCTCTTTCTTTCTTTTGCAGAAAAATCATCAACAAACGAACCTGATTGTGATTCAACAGAAGCTAATCTAACTTTCATAAAAAAATTGTTATGTTCATTGTTTTCTGGCTTTTCTTGTAGAACTGATCGAAAATTAAACAGTATTTTACCTGATACTATAACGGATATGTTGTTGTTTGGCAATTTTTTTTGTATATTTCTGTTAAAATTTTTAGTACACTTGCACCCCCTCCCCCTAATTCTAGACCCTTCGCGCGGCCCTTGACCACACTCAAGAATCTATCCAACTATTGAGTTTCTCCTCTATGGAAATATTTAAATTAGTTCAAATCCTGTTTTTCTATTTAACATTTCGTAGATAAAGCACGACTTTAGACATTTGATTTTATTCAAAATAAGTAATATTGTTCATTATTAGAATAATATGTCGAACATATGATATAAATTAAATTTAGAGGTAAAAAAAATCTTTATTCAAGAGCCACAAAGAAGAAACATCTGTAATACAAATTCATTTAATTCAGGAATGAAAATCTTGTACAGGCAACAACAAAAGATATAATTACCATTTCTATCGTGATTAATCTCTAACACTACACATGATTATTTACGTCGGATAGTTGTAAGTTATATGATCATTGCTATTTTCTCAATATTTATTAGCATTAAGTAAATTTGATAATTTATAGGCCAATCTAATAATATATGCCTAAAATTAAAAATGATTACATCTTTATAGAAAAAAGCATATCTTCATATGACAATAATATTTACCTGGAGAAATAATATTACAAAGAATATCATCAAAAAGATCAGAATAAAAATGATGACTGGAACCTTACCCATGGAATATTTTTCAAAAGTCATTGGTATTATAATAAAATTTATCAGACTCAAATAACTTAATATTAAATCTAGCATAAGTAGCATGGCGAACTAATGCAAGACAATAACTTATTTAAAATAATTCATAAGAATAAATAAAAATAAAGCATACTAGACGTAAACCTGTTACGTAATATCGATCGGCAGCAATTAATCCAAAGCCAAAACATAAAAATGATAAAAATGATAAGAATCGAAAAACTACATTGTACGATTCAAATCCCAATGTAAAATCAAGCGCATACGAATAAATGACAGTAATCACACTTATCGTAGATAGAACCTAAAAGTAGATTTTGGAAAATTTTATTTATCTCATATACTTTTCAATGAAAAAAAAACGATCGTATTTGTTATAGAATTTCTAATTGAACTAAAAAATGTTTTATAGTTTCCTTTAAAATAACTTACAAATTCCATGGAAATTAAGAGAAGAAGGATTTTCCGTGTACGATCAATTTTTGACAGTTGAGACATTGTTGAATATTGATATGTTGCATCAGAAATATCAATGCGAACTTTCGTATCATTATTTAATGGTTCGATATCCATAATACTCATAGGAGATTTCTGTTATTTGTTGGCAATACTAAATATATAGAAATAAATTTAACTTCTATACTGAGGGAAAAGGTTGCGACTGCCAATTATTCTTCTTTCTATATGCAAATATTTATCAAAGAATTTTTTTTATTCTGAGATGTACGATCTAACCAATCCGAGATCTATTTTATGTTTTTAATTATTTTCCCACGTATTCTTTACGAAGGATAAAAATAAGTCTTTTGTGATTAATTTAAACTATATCACGAATAATCACGTTCATGTCAGGAAGTCACTCTTTGCAATCTGTGTTTTATAACTATTTCATGATTAATTTTGTTCATTAGATTTGATTTATGTATTAGAGGTAATGTTGAAAATGCAGCAATAAATTTTATTGTAATGAAGATCGATTAATATTTATTTACCTACTCTATTCCGTATTTAGAAAACATCAAAAACTTTGATCACACATGTTGTGTTTAAGCAAAATTGTCATAGAAAATGACTTTTTTAACAATGTGTTCTATCGCGTAAGTTCAAAAGAAAAATTTAACTTTTTCTTGGATTTCGAAACTGAAGTGAAAAACAGAGCAGATTATATCAAATGACTGCAACATAAATTTTATGGGTGCTTCCTTACATCATTAATCGACTGTAAAACAAAACAAAATGGTACTGCGGGTTATTGACTAGTTTGGCAAATATTGTTGAGTTTTCTTCAATGATAATTTAGGTAATAGACTTTGTTAAAATTAAGACAAATCTGATAATCTCAAGGGCTAACAAGCTAGCAAATATCAGATACTTTAATTTTAGAAGTTTACTATTTGTAGCTTTGGATTAAATCTGTCAACAGCTGGAGTTGGATGATTAGTAATGAATTTGTATATCTTATTTGCGAAGCTACTGCCGATATTTGAAAAGAGCAATCAACTCAAGATGAACGATGATAAAGGCACAGAAAATAAAGTACGACATATAATCAACATATTGTACCTGTGATTTATGCAATAGAGGAGTCTGAAATAGCGAAAGAATTGTCAAATATAAGTGAATAGTATCATAATGAATACGATTAAGAAAGGATAGAGGAAATGAATTTTCATGTGAATGCACAATGATTATTCCATATTCAAATATGAAGCTGCATTAATTTTATGGTAGAAAACATACTGATTCTTCACATCGACATCAGTAACATTGATTTACTTTGAAAAAATAAATATTTGTTGTTGCCATCAGCAATTTATTATGATTCTCTCATGTAATCTAGGTAGTGGGACTATCTCATAAGATTAAGTCATTCAAGAGCAGTCATACTCTTAGACTTGATATCTCAATCGAATAACGGTGCAAGTTTTGTGACGGATGCTTCGAAATATGTTATTTATGATTACACATGACTGTATTCGTTCAAATTTCTCAAGATCTTATTAAAAATCTTGAGCAATATTTTTCTATTGACTGAAAATAAACCGATCTTAGAAATTAGATGTAGCGTCGAAAATTTAATAAAATGATTAAAAATGAAGAGACTATCTTTAAAAGGCTTTCACATCTGATTAGTTATTCTAATGCAAAAATCTTCCGAATGATTCGGATTATTGAAAATCAAATAAAAAATGCAAAGTAGAAGTAAAATTAATACATGAATCATGAACCAAGTGAATAAAAATGAGTGCTAAAACACGCTATAGTCCTATTGATCACTAGGAAAAACTATCAGCCTTTGTGTTTAACAATATCATTCAAGCATGTTTTACTACAAATAGGAATTGCACTTTGTGAAGATACATCGTACATTTGCCTTGTTTATTTGAAAACAATCATTTTAAGGAACTAAGATCAATATAAACAAAGAAATTAGATGAATACCTTCTAGCAAGTCTTCTCATCTTTCTTTTCAGAAAATAATATTTATTAATATTGATTTCGATTATATAAAAAAAAAATCTAAAATTTGATGGCGATCTCTACCCAGTTACGAACACAGCTGAAAAATGTGCGCACGAAAATCATTGACCTAGGTTATGGTGTTCTCTCTATTTCATGAGCGAATTGTTGCTTCATTAGTAATTCGTAAACAAAGTGAGCCGATATTTGCTTAGCTTGACTCTTGTCAAATTCCATTTTAATCAGATGTTTAAAACACAATACCATTGATCCGATTTCAAGCACACGATCACATAAGCTAGATTAACTATCATTGGTGATGTTCAATTATCACAGCCAACTGCATTCTAATCACGTGAAGTATCAATACTGACTGCTTCCCATATACCAGCTATTTCATCATTCCAAGAAATAATAAAAAGAATCTTTTCGCCTAATATTTTTTTGCGCTTAGTGATTTCCTAATCTACGATTAAATACTCTTACCGATTGCTTTTCGTACATCCTTATCAATAATGATAACGAGATGAACACATTTTTATACGAAATAATATATTTCTCATGTTTTTTTCTTACGTTTTAAAAAAAATTAATCTTACAAAACAGAAGATTCTCGTACTACAAAAGTCCGTTCGCATTCTTTTTTGTTATTACTAAGATTGGTTATAAATGAACCAATAAAATTATTTTTATGTTAGCCGATGGTCTACAACACATCCAATTGCCATTCTTTTTACTACATATGCACAGAATATAATAGTGATTTACCTTCATCTCTATGCCGAATTCAAGACAATAACACAATATAGAAAGAAAGAGGAAAAAAATGAGTCCTTCTTAAAGTAATAGAAAAACAAATAAAAGTAGAAAACATCGCAGCCGGTCAAATTTTTCGTTCTTTTACATGTTCACCGGTTCATCAGATGAGCTTATTATATGAAATAATAAACTTTTTTTTTTCTTTTCCCTTTTCTTTCTTATTTTACATGTAATTTTGTCATTGCTGTATAGGTTGTAGACTTATTCTTTTTTTTTTCTGTCTCTGACGGTTAAATTTAAATGTTGACATAGTTGATTTAGTCCTTCTTTTTATCCGCCCGTCCTTACATAACTAGTGAATGCGTGCTACTCAACACAAATTCTCGATGTTGTATAAAAGTTGAAATGAAGATATCTGTAATCGAAACTTTAAGTTGGCTGATATGTGCTTGTAATTGATCTAGTCCAAGGCTAACATAGTAAATTCTGCAAGATTATATTGATTCGTCCTTTTCTCTTCTTTTAGCTGTTTAAGCATTGAATAGATTAAGTGAGAACATATGTCGAACGAACATCATTTTCATCAACAGCGAAATAAAGCATTAATAAAAAAAAGAAATGTATATAATCTACAATTACGTATTGCTTTTGTCTCGTCGTTGATCACTCGTGTGTGACAGTACGTTTACACAAAAAAATAGATCATGTTATTCAATATATTACTAACAGTTTCTGATGCCTTGGAAACAAAACCAATCAATGAACAGCCGAATTCTTGGTAAAGAATTTCTCTAATAAAAAAACTTTAATTAAAATTTTCATTTCTTTCATTTCTTAAGGAGAAATAGTATTTTTTCTGTTCTCGATTCATCACATCTATCAACATTCATATTGGCTATTGCTCTCATTGTCTATGGAAGCTTTCGGTATTTTTCAATTCCAATATTGAATTATGAAAATGTTTTTTTTATTTGTTTAAAGAGCATTAGATCACGATAAAGCAAAAGATTTTGCATCTTCTTATAAACTTCTATTTGAACCGTCGGCAAATGAACAAGGTTACTTGAATGAATTAATCAAATTAAAATAATTGCTCTCTATTTAGTTTCACCTGCAAATGTTATTGAAACAATCCATGCTATTGTATTTCCTTTAGGTGCATCTTTATCATTAATGATTATGTTCTTTTATTTTGATTCACTTCAAACGGTATTTATTATTTGTACGGCAAGTAAGTTTTCTATAAACACTAAAACTAAATCACGTATGCTGTAATTGATTATTTAGTATTGTCAATTATGGGTTTTTCTTATCTTTTAACACCCTGTTGTCAAATGATACTTCGTCCATGTTCTAATAATACAAAGTAAGATGTCAAAATATCGATCTTTGCATACTTTTACTGTGTTCGAAAATAATTACAAGCAGTATCTTGATTAGTGAAATCGATCCTTGTCAAAAAAAATAAAATATGCTTTTTCTACTCTTGAATAATGCTTTTGTTTTATCGATTAGAATATCTTTTGGTATATTTGGTCGTCATACATTATCGGAAATAGTTGCATTCAGTTTATCAATAGCTCTTGTTTTAATATGGATTATAACTGGACATTGGTTTTTTATGGATGGTAAAGGATAGGAGATAATGTTTCTCTCGTATATTCTTTTTGTTTAGTTATAGCAACAGGGTTGTGTATATCATTCATAGCTCTTGTTCGTTTACCTAATTTAAAAGTATCAGCACTATTATTACTAGGTCTTGTAATATATGATGTCTTTTGGGTATATTTTTCTCACTATATATTTACAACAAATGTTATGGTACGAGTAGCAACTAAAGAAGCAGAAAATCCGGTAAAAATTAGTGAATATTTTAAAAGTTTCTATTACAATATCAGAACTATTTAGTTAACAACTATTGCAAGAATGTTTAATTTTAATCGTTATCATGCACCAAAACTTTCATTACCTGGCAAAATTGTTTTTCCTAGGTTTGTATAGAAAAATATTTGTATGATTTTGTTTTCTTAAATGAAGAATAAACGTTTAATCTGTAGTATGCAACAACAAGGTCGATTTTCATTACTTGGCCTCGGAGATATAATTATGCCGGGACTTGTTCTTTGTTTTGTTCTTCGTTTTGAATCTCAAAAACGAATTCATAGTTTACATAATAATGATCCATTATCGTTTATCAATCGTTTAACCTACTTTCAATGTTGTCTATTGGGTTATTGTGCTGGTAAAATATTAATTTTATTAATTGATAAAATTACTGTTTCGTTTTTGATGAATTTAAGGCTTACTAGCAGCAACTATTTCATCGGAAGTATTTAAATGTGCTCAACCAGCACTTCTATTTCTTGTGCCATTTACATTATTACCATTACTATTAATCGCTCATTTAAAGGTAAATTTTGCTGATGGATATAAAACAAAATTCATTATCTGTTAAACCTAGGGTGATCTTCATTCAATGTGGTCGGATCCATTCGCTGAGAATAACGAAACTTCATCTACTTCGTGCAAATTATTGGACGTTTAGTGTCAGATGTTTTGCTTTTTGTTGTCCTTGATATCAATTTTTTCAGTGTGCATTTGTAAAGTTCAGATTATCAATGTCCAATGTTATGGTTTTTTCTAGAACAGTTTTTTTTGTCACTACTTATCGTCGTACTTTGATCTGTTTTTTCTTTATTGTACGCACAGTTGCTAGATAGACACAATTTCAAAACACTGCTTCGTTAATGCAAATACATGTTTTTAGATAATTTGAGTAAAAAAAAGAAATGGCAAAATCGACATCAGTTTTATCATCAATTTTTTATCTTGCTCAATCCTCTCATTCGCGTAGTACCGTTTTGATAACTATAGTCACCTTGATTACTTGTATTATGGTTTTTACAATGGCTGGTCAAGCTAATTCTATGGCTTTGCAAGCATATTGTTCTTTATGTATATTCGATTTACTTTTCATCGGAACAGCCTTAATTTCTGCATGGATTCTGGAAAATAATAATACAAACGTTCTTAAAAGAGTTCAAAATCCAAATAATTTCGATAGCACCGCCACGAATAGTGCAACGTCACTTTTTATTCCAACACAAACCATTGCAACATTTTCATATGGAACAGCTCGTTTTGAAGTATTAGCTGTTTTTACATCAACGATGCTTTCAATACTCGGAGCATTTTTTATTCTGAAAGAATCTATTGAAAAATATCTTGAAGATGAAACAATTCATACTGAATATATTATGTTAGCATCAATGTCAACATTAGTTATTCATATGATTGTTATTTATTTTGTACGAAATCAAGCATTTGATCATGTGATTGCTGCTAGCTCATCAAGCTGGTTACAAGAACATGTTAGTGATATGTTTCAAAGTGTTTGTCATTACATTCCAGGTTTAAGTCGTCTTCTTTTACCGCGTATTAATCCATTAGCATTATTGTGTTGGTGTGGTCTAGCTATTGTATTATCCGATTCATTTCTTATAACAATGGGCTATGGAAATTTTGTTGATACATTATCATCAGTATTCATGGCTTTTATGACATTTGGTACGATGGTTCCAATAGCAACATATAGTGGCAAAATATTATTGCAAACAACGCCAGCACATATGATTAGTCAAATGGATAAATGTCTTCATGAAGCATCAAGACTAGATGGCGTGTTAGAACTTCGGCTTGAACATTTTTGGGCTTTATCATTTCGAACACTTGTTGGTTCGCTACATGTTCGATGTCGGTTAGTAATAATTATATAAAAATACTTACTAAAATTAATTAACAATCCTTTCTCAGAAGAGCAAACCTGTTAGCACACGAATCCTATGAGATTAATATGTGAAATACATTGTAACTGCTGTTACTAATTATAGAAAGGCTATTTTATTGCATCTGTTTTAGAATATATGTCTTCTATGACCTTTTCATTACTCTTCTAGCAGTGTACTAAGCAACTAATTCGTAGAGTGTAAGGAAACATGCTTGACATACATTAATTTTGTATTGCATCGCTCTCGTTTCCAGATCATATTTTACACTATATACTACAGATAGTTTTGTATAATTTTTTGAACAATAGAAAAATACGAAAGTAACTTCCTTCCTCATTTACTAAAACTCCATCAGCGATTGTTGAATTTTATTACGATTCAATATTTACTTTGTGACCTTCGAAGACGAAGAACGGTGAACAATGCACAATAATTGTAAACGAACTAAACTAACATATACCTATAAGCGTTCATTTTCTAGAGAATATTTACCAATGCCAGCAGTAAGGTCTACTCAAGTGTTTAACAAGTGCGTCAGAACAAATCAAGAATATTCAATAGACACATTGTTTGCTCTGCATACACTTGGTTCAAATATAAGAAATAGAAAGTAATGAACATGTACGTATATCGACAGTACACTTCAACGTACACACGTTAACAATCAACTGACTGTTTCATAGATTTACAGTATCATCACGAAAAGACCTATAAAAAATGCAGGATTCTAGTAAAAGTGATTTGAACAAGTCTAAAAATAGCTTGAAAGATTCTGCTCAATGTTTTGATCTATCATTCGAAATCATCATGTTTTTCTTAATACTAACAGGAACGGTTACGGATAATCATGCGTATAGAATTGCAAAGAACATTCAAAACGTCTTACAAAACATTTTGTTACGTTTCCATCCGTTAGTTTTGAATTTTAGTGAAATTATTTTGATAAATGCTAGAAGATGATGATATCTGACAACAAAGAATATCTTTATCATTCAACTGCGTGACACTATAATAGGTTCTCTATTGATAGATTGAATATAATGCTGTACATCTCGTACAAGTATCACCAACTGTAGGTATAAGCACAGGAGGCTGACGTAATGTAAATTTTGGCGTGTACAATCTCTTGAGTCCTTGATACATACTACGTGACTTCCAGAGTAGATATATGGCGCTATTTAGCCTACATGCTATACAACAAATGATCTGACGCAAATAGTCTTTAGCGATTTGTACAGAACTATTCCAATACTAATAGTACTGAGATTTTCACAAAGTACCTCATGTGACCTTGTTTAACAGCTAATTAAATATCTAGTTCTAGACGTTTTTTTCTATACATCTATTTTCAAAAGCTAATTTTTTACAGTGCACAAAACAAAATTTACTCTTGTTGATAATTATTTAGAAGAGATGCTGATGAACAACTAGTCTTAGCACATGTATGGAACAAACTAGCCGATGTTGCTCAAATTCTAACAATTCACATATTCAAAGATGATTGGTTACGACGGCAAACACATGCATTCATGCAACCTCAAACCGGTAATTCAACTATTCCACATAATCCTTCCAATTATAACGATTTTGTTGTTGTTAGATAGTATTCTTTATTTTCTTTTTATTTAAAAAAAATATATTCAAAAAGAGAGAATGAACTAAACAGGTGGTGATGATGTATGTTGTCGCCAAAAATCTTCTACAACATCATGAATATTTCTATTTGCATCACGCCATTCACGTTGCCATTGTCGTAGTTCTTGTACGTCAGGTTGTTTTCGTATACGATAGCCACGATAAAATGATTGAATTATTAACGCAGCTTCTTCTTCGCTCCATAAAAGTGATTTAGGTAATGGAGCACGTGGATGTTGTTCAAAATGCGTATGAACAAATGGAATATTTTCTAATGATTGATCAATATCAGATAATTGTTGATTTTTTTCTTCAGATAAATTAATTCGTAAAGGATTTTTATAGAATAAATAACGTGTTAAATAATCAAGGGCATTAAAAGCACTACGTTTACGTTCTAGACATTTTCGTTTTTCGGCTTCAATTAATAATTGTTCAATACCTTTTAATAATATTGGATATACAAATTTTTCAAGATATTCAATAGTTGACAGTTCTTTTGGACCTTTTTTTATAGGTGTTATTGGACGATGAACAAGAGTTGTCGATCTTGTTAATTCTCGTTGAATATGGTCTATAGGTATCAAGGCATAATTAATACAAGCTGGATGAGATATGCGTGTATCGATTTGAATTTGTGTTATATCATCAATTGTAACATGATTATATGAATAATTACAAAAAACAGGTGAATGTTTCGATGGATCATATATTTGTTTATCTGTTAATGGTTTTTTTATTTCACTATTGTCAGGATATTTTTTTTCGAAATTCAAAAACGATGTCGATATAGCACCTGTTTCAGCTTGTGCACGTTTAGTGGCAAATTCGGAACATATGTCTTGCCATAAGTTAGTTTCTTTACCAACGGTTATGATAGGCATAATTAAGAATACAAATGAGAAGAATCTAAAATAGAAATAGAAATAATTTTTTTTAAGCAATACTATTTGATTGTATGCTAAGACGGAATTTTTCGATGACAGTAAATCTATGTAAATCGATTAATTGACCATAAAAAAAATAATTTTTATGCAGAATTTCAAGTGTTATTTTTGGAAATAGCAGACCTGAATGAATGGAATATTTTAGTAGTCTAAACATCGTAGACTTAACTTATTTTTTTATTTTCAAATATTCACGATGGTAAGTTGATTTATGTGATTCATATTTATATTTGAAATATCTAGTATTTCGAAATGAAACCTTTTTAAGCTCATAGTATTCTTCTAGGTTCGTTTCAGAAATGTAAGATTTGGAATTCAATATGTACGTTTGTTTTTGGGAGACTTGATAATGCATCAATATAAAAAAAATCTTCTACAGCTCCGCTAATCCTTTTTGAAAGGAAATTAAAAACGATCTGTTTATTTGCTTTGCGAAATCCATCTAAAAACTTCTTATACTTCTAGAAAAAATTGACAGCGAAAACGAAGATACGTATCATGGTTAGATCATTCTATACTTTTTGAATGCATTTCATTGAGTGAGCTATGACTTTTGTATTTATTTATTTTTTTTGTCAAAGTTTGTTTGATAGAGATCAATAGTATAATTTTAACATTAAAAGAAGAGCTTTAATTCTGATCGTTAACATCATTTAATATAATATTGTTCGACAGTATCGGTGACAAGTATAAAATTTGGGATGATCTATTAACAAATAATATTCAAAAACATATTTTAAAAGATCAAATACCTTATCAACAGTTTATATCTTTATCTTAGATTTTTCTAACGTAAATATTTACTCGTTTACTGCATAGTCATATATATCTGTACACGCGCATAATTGAATAACTAAAACTAAAATCTTTAGTTCACTTTTTGAAGAAATATGTCAAGATCTATTGAATCTGTTCTTTTTTATTCTTCGAAAAATTTCTCGATAAGAAAAAATTCAAACAACCATCATAAAATCATTCTCCATGCAATTGACCTTTTTCTATCGTCTTTTATCAATAGATGTCGTTCATAACGATGGCTTGCTATTCCTAAATGATTCGTTGTCTATAATATCCAATGTACATGAACAATCAAAGTAGGTTTCTTTTCACCATCACATTTTTTTTGTTCTTGTTCTTTTTCTGTTGATGCTTTTTCTTTCTACGATTGCTTAGAACTGAATTTTTTTTTTCGTCGTTTTCATTTACCACCGTACGTATACATTTCGAGCATAGGTAAAGGTATCATCTAAATGACTTTACTCTGTCCTTGTTTATCAAAACAAAAAAAAAGAAAAACAGACGAAAACGATATTTTGATATGACACACGCAAATTTATTTTTTCATAAATACAAGTGAATACTTCTTTTTAACTATCTTTTCAATTAGTTGTCAGATTAATAGAGTTTGACGCGTAAATATTATTGCCGTAGGATATAGTCGAGAGAAATCTGTATTAAAGAAAGTATAGACATTTTACTTCTTGTTTCTACTGACAAGTACACAGATATTTATCGTCATTTTTCTTTTCCGTTTTTTCCTTCTGACGGTTTCCTGAAGGCTGTAGACGAGAGGGAGAGAGACAGAGAGAGCGAAAGGAACAAGGTTGTAGGCATGAATCAAAATCCTTTGGATAAATAATTAGACACAATGTCGTCGACAGCATCATTACCATCGTACTCTTATTGTAGTTGTTATTCTTAGCCTATGTAGATCATTTCGTTCGCTATGAGTGTTAATAAGATACTGTTTCAAATCGAAATAGATCATTTTAGATGGTCTCCTGTTAATTTGTTTACAAATATAGAACTCATCGAAGATTGCTCTCTCTCTCTCCCTCGTTTCTTCTTCTTCTCTTTCGTTTTTCTTGTCTTTTTTTTGTCTATATAAATCTGCAGATCAACACCCTTGACATTCGGATTAATCAAAGTAGAACAGTAGTATATACTAATAATAATCAAAGAAGGTCGTCTAATGTTTGCTATTTTCTTTCTTTTAGATTTTTTTTCGTATACTATATCTTATTATAATTTTTTTGTGTTCATCGTCAAAAAAATGTGGTAGAATAGCAAAATGCACGCTTATATAGACTTATCGAATATAGCACGTACAGATTCTGTAATACAATCATTGTCATGGATGCATTATTTGCCTACTCAACAATCATCATTAAATGTTTCTAATGATGAAAATAATGCTAATAATGGCGAAAATAATAATCAATCAAACCCATCACCAATAGTAGCAATTCAGCCATTAATAAACCTATATGACGGATGGTTAGCAACAGGTAATACAAATCATATTGTCAGTGTAACATACACATCAATACGCCCGGATGAAAAGTTATCTATGCCTGATCGTACGAATTTTAATTTACGTGCACATCGTACTGAAGTTCGTCTCGTTTCATGGAATGTACCATATCAAAAATTAGCTACGGTCGATGAAAAAGGTGTCATTTTTGTTTGGGTTAAGCATGACAATCGATGGTCGTTAGAATTAATTAATGATCGTAGTCATTCTGTTATTGACATGGCATGGTCACATGATGGACGTATGACTGTGATATGTTATGAAGATGGTTTTGTTCTTGTTGGTTCGGTTACAGGACAACGTTATTGGTCAACAGTTGTTAATACAGCACAAGCGAAAATTTCTGCTGTTACGTGGATGCCTGATGCCTCACAGTATGTTCAAATAAATAGAAACAAGATCATTTTTCTATATTTTCAAAAAATTCTCTTTGCAGTGTTATTCTCGGTACAACAGCAGGAAATTTGATTTTAATGGATCATCATGGAAATACAACTGATGGTTTTTCATTATCAACACAATCAATAACACAATTACTTTATTCATGCAATAGATTCTATCCTGGAGCACCTGATAATAGTAAATTTAATTTTTTGTAAATTAGTCTATTATTTTCATTTTCATTTTCGTTTTTAATATATAGATGCATCGAAATTTGTAAATGATGACTATGTACTTGCTTGTAGTCTTGAAAATGGTCAAGTACTTTTTTTGAATAACTATCAAGATCAATCACCGATATCTGTTGATACTGAACTTCAAAGTAAATTAATCATATATAGATTTTGGATTTAGAAGATCTATTTGATTTTAAATAGATATTAAAATGGATTGGTCATCACCTGGTGAAATACTTGCTGTAGGAGGCCATACAATTTTACATGATTCGAGTTATATTAATCAAATTTTATTTTATACTCGCCGTGGAGAATTTCTCTATCGTATTCAAATTCCACAAACGGTTCGTACTTTAATTATACAATATAGTCTATATGTATAAATCTGATAACAGGATTAACTGTGACGTTATTGCCAGTAAATATTTTCCCATGTGGTCGTGATAGACAGATTATGTACGAGGCAAAAATATAGAGATTAAAATGTTTACCACGCGGATACACCCGACCTCATCTGTTTCCTTTTTTTTTGTTCTTCTGTTCATTGTTAAATGCATGTAGGGAAATCATAAAATGAGAAACTATTGATGAAATCTTATTTTATACATCAAATATAGCGCGTTGGCATTTGATAGTATTAATCTTTAGATATTTTACTGTAGAATATTTTGATTAATAGACAAAAACTTATAGAATATCAATACTACGAAATAGTAGGCGATTGAAACTTGTCGTTTCATAAAAGGACACGAAAAGTATAATTATTATTTGAGACTATTAGTAATCACTATAGTTATATATAAAACAGGGTTCAAAACCGACAGTTTTTCATAGGAAATTATACCATTTATGATGTCATAATTGATATGTTATATAAATATATATTTATATAAATGTGTAAAAGATATTCATTCTTGATGCCGTGCTGTTTGTGCCTGATCTTATGTGCAATACTTTTAATAAAGATTAATCGCATAGATGGAAGTGATTCTTTTTCGATAATTTGTCACGAATGAAAATACCATTTATTCTACTATTGGAATTAATATGTCTAGAGATTGATTTGATGAGTTTATTACTAGCTTAAGAGATTATGATGGCCTCAAATTTCTTATCTGCCTTGAAAATTTACTTCTAATTACACTATAAAAATAATAGCTGATTAATTTTCATAATAAATAACATATTTTACAGTGCAAGAAAAAAAAATGTTCTTCTCCTTTGTTTTTAGACACAACCATTATCTGCTTTATGTTGGGCTCATGGGAATGGTAGGAAGAAATAGATTTAATAGAAACAAAATTAATTTTAACTTTTCTTTTGTAGAACGAGTACTTGCTGCATGTGGTTCTCATGTCTATACAATTTGGATAACACATAAACCTCTCCCATCTATGTTAACATTATGTCAGATGAAAATTAAAGAATATATGTTAAATAGTTCTTTACAACATATTGATAAATTATGTTTACCAAATAATCTAAAAGAAAACCTTCAAAGTTTCTATCGTTCAACTATCAAAGGTTTTTTGCCCGATCAAAAAACTTTACGTTCATTTGTATGTAATCCATTAAAATCTCATCTTAGATTACAATGCACTATGAAACGTATTGATAATGAAACAGAAAATTCATCAGCAATACCAACAACTAATCTATCTGGAGCTACTTATGTTTTATATTTAGAATATCTCGGTGGTCTTATACCGTTATTGACAGCAAAACGTACATCAAAAATTTGTCCAGATTTTATTATATTTGATCCACAAATGAAAACGAATCAGTCGACTTCATCATCAAGAACTCCTTCGAGAAAAAGACATTTTTCTTCATTTAAATCACGTTCGGATACATTTCATAACATGTCATCAATACGAAAACAAACAAAATTATCGAATAATAGTCGTTCAAGTTTAATTACAAATAGAAATTCAATATATGTAGCTGATAATGCTGTTAATAATAATAATGGTGATGATTTAGTAACAAATAGAAGTAGTTCAGGTTGTAGTTCTGATAATGATTCGGATGTCGAACAAGAATTGAAACACGATGATGGATCTCGAAAAAATTCACAAGAAAAATCTTCGAAAAAGAAAGCAACTATGACAAAAGTTGTTAAACATAAACACGTAAGGAAAAAACAAAAAAACAACGAGTTTTTAACCTTGATTCAACATGCACGCCTGTATCTAATAGATTGTCATGATACTGATTAATAGTCTAACATATGGTTAATGAAGCAGAATTCTAGCTGCGTTATTAGCTTTGATGTTAAGAACTATCTCCTACAGATTGAATCTGTTAATAGCGATTGTATATATATATATATATAGAACATTGTTTCGGTTAATTGCCTAAAATATATTATTATTCAAATCAGTGTAGGAAATCTCTACTAAACTGTTGGTTTGTTTTTTCAATGAAAACAATCGATCATTTAAGATTAATTGTACGAAAGAAAATCATTATATACGAATAGTCTTATTATATTCTCAGTATATGTTATATTTGACATTATGATAATAGAGAGAAAAGAACAAGCTAAAATAAGATCTTTCTAGTAACTGTAAGAAAAAGAATTCTTCAAGGAGATCTTTTGTTATGCTACGTCATGATTACAATCATATTATTTTGAAGAAAAAAAAAGATCATGGGAATTTTCTAGATCAAAGTCTTGCAGAACTAGGCATAGTTTGATAATAAATATATTCATTGAACTTGCCATTTTCTAGCAGATTATTTAATGGAGCGAAATGCTCTAGTCAACCTACTTTTATTTATAATCATAAAACTATAAAATGATTTCGACTATAAAACACATGAATAACGAGAAGCATAATTATGAAAGGTCTAATCATATAAATAGATATGAAATGAGTAAACTCTTATCGCTTGAGTTTTTCATTTAGATTCTATGCAAGATGCATATTTTTTTAAATTTTCTTTTTAATCGAATATAAAAATTAAATTGAGTTTAACAATTAAAATATTTTCCGTCCCGTCAAAGTTATAGTGTGTTATAATTGCACGTAAGATATCAGACTATCGAATCTGTCTCTAGGTTAAAGCTGTCGACAAGAAGAACGCGCTAAAATACAAGGCTATTCTTCCTTCGTTTCTTCCTTCTGGTTTTGATTTGAGCTCAAATAATGATAGATACTAAATTAATATCGTTTGTATTCATTCAAAGGAAATAATGCATTTTAAAACGTCAGAGATCACATATCATTCTCTAAATTACTATATATACCTACAGTTTTTTTTCGTATTAAAATAATTAAGTATCTAAAATTAGGAAGTCGGAAGTCTTTAATCATCATCATCAAGATAAAAGTATCCGCTCTTAAAATTTTTCGAGTGCATCAAGTTTGTAACTTGTTTCTTTCTTTTTTGTTTTACAGAATAACAGATTATGTACAATAGCTGCAAATATTTGGGGCACCCGTTTTAAATTCTATGGTCATTCGAATTATTTACCAGAGGTTTTAGGAAGTGTTACTTACAAAACATCATTTTTACATTTGCAACCACGACAAATGACAGTTACCGTAGCTAATAGTTATAATAATCGAAAGCCAATACAATCGCCTGCAGGAACGAAAAATCAAAAATTAATTAGTCCAACTGTTCGTAAAATAAAACAGCAAAAGCGTAATAAAATTGATGAAGAAGATGATGATGAAACACTTACAGGTTTGATAAAAATTCATTTCTCTAACAAAGTTTTGTCAGATTTATATTTAGTTCTTTCATCATCAAAATTGAATATAGCTGCAAATATTCCAATTGCTCCGATGTCTCCTCAGTTGCAAAATGTTCATTCATGTTTACTTCGATCACAAAATCAACCTTCATTGTCTATATACGAATCTAAATGTTCAACTCAGGTAAAAAACTTCACAAACATATCATCCTATCGTTCTCCACGTACGTCAATGACTGCCAATACTATAACAAATCATCATTCTCGTCATCAACAAACAAATGCTGATTCCTCAACAGCAAATTCATCGTCAACGTCTCCAATCAATTTAAGTCGTTCAATATCTCCAGCAGCTTCAATAGCAAATTTCATTCGTCCAATATCACCACCATGTATTCAAGTCAAAGAACCACTATCACCAAAATTTACTCGAACATGTTCAAGAACGTCAACACATGATTCAACTCACTGTCGCCATCGTTCGCCACCAATAACACTTCCGTCGATTGTAAATAATATAAATGCATCAACAGCTAGTGCAACCACAACATTACTGATTGATGATTCATCCGGTTATGATAGCAGCGAAAATCAAAATAATCAAATAGCTAGCGAAACTACTGCTGCTGCTACTACTATTCCAGTTGCTTCAATTATTTCAACTGTACCAGAAAGTTGTTTTGAACCAGAAACATATAGAAATTTATATTCACTTAATAGTAATCAACAGAAACAATTGAGTTTAAGTGATCCAGCAATAAATCAAACAACAAAACATACATATCATTGTCAAACACGAACAACGACAGATAATTCATATTTATCTGCATCGTCGTTACAAAGAAAACTGTCCAATGAAGATAATGATATTCAAACAGATAATGAAAATGAAAAGTTAATTTCTCATGAAGATAATTCACGCAATCAAAATTCAACAGCAAAAATAAATACTTTTCGTAAAGTAAGTGAAGTTCTCAATGGAAATATGTCGAACAAAACTCACCCCACGTCCGGAGACTATGACCACTAAAATGGACATTTTATAGGGGCTAAAAAAATGAATACTGAAAACTTTATTCTCTCGACAACAGAACTAAATTCTGCAATTTTATTTTCACCAGTTCCGTGCATATCTAATCTTTATTATTGTTACGTTGGACAGACAATAAAAATAATTTCAATTTTAGCGATATTCAAGTTCTCGGCATCGAATGATGACCTGTACAAGTGGCATGAACGATTCATTGACAAAATTATCACCTTCATCAGAATTAGATCAAATAATAAATCGAGCAGATAATCAAAATGAAAATTCGTTTTATGTCATGCAAAATCGTCCACCGTAAGATTTTTAAAACAGAAATATCTAGAAGTTTTCTTTAATGCTATTTTGCTTAATTTAAGTTTGTGGAATGAACAATCGCAAGTGTATCAGTTGGATTTTGGTGGCCGAGTTACACTTGAATCAGCAAAAAATTTTCAAATTGAATTCAAAGGAAAACAGGTTATTTAACAATTTCTAAAAGCGTGTATACTCATTAGGATTATTTAGGTTATTCAATTCGGTCGTATTGAAAATAATTGTTATACACTCGATTTTGAATGGCCATTTTCACCTTTACAAGCATTTGCTGTTGCTCTTGCTAATATAACTCAACGACTTAAATAAGCTCCTACATCTGTGGTTAATCATTAGTTTTTTATACGAAAAATTTGTGTTCTTTTCCTGTGGTTCCGTTCGATGAATGATCGTATCCTTGGCGTCTGTTATTGTTTGTTTTTTTTGTCAGAAAATTTTATCTGTGCATGTATTCATCTTTGTTCTTTACTTTTTTTTGATCTGTGTTTGTCCGTTATTTGCCAGTATATGTATATTTGAAAGAGAAAAACAAAGAAAGAAGTTTGAACTAAGAAAAGAAGAAAACACTATATATTTATTCTTTATGACAGAGAGTATTCGAAATAATTTGCAGATAAAAATATGATAGTACGTCTGGGATATATCCTATCAATTCTCTGTGTAATTGTACAATGCGAACATGATGAAACGCCCAAAACGCATATTGGTAAGTTTAACGCAATTAACAAGGAATAGAATTCTTGACTTTTTTGGTTTAGCAATTGTTGGTGCTGGAATTGGAGGCATATCAACAGCTTATTGGTTAAAGTATTATTTGAATGATTCTGTAGCAATTACGATTTATGAATCTGATCAAGTTTGTTCATCATAATTTTAAAGAAAAAAAAGCAGTTCCCATCATATATCAAGTCATTGTAGGTTGGAGGAAGATTGAGAACCTTAAATATTGATGAAGATGAATATGAAGCTGGCGGAACAATTATACATGATAAAAATTTATATATGAAACGACTTGCTGATGAATTAGGTGAGAGAATCTTCTTAATTTCTATGAAACTTATAAAATCGAATATATTTATTCACGGAAAAAATCTAAGTCATGTCTAGTACATTCTTGATAGTATCAATAAAAAGATATTGTGCTTAGATAGTTAGAAGAAGAATTATCTAATATCACAGATTCACAGTGTTGATATAAATAATGACAGCAAATGACGAACAAAAATTGGATGGAACAGTTAGCAGTACCGTTTGTGGTATCACTGAAATACTAACTGCAATAGCGTATGTTGTTTTTTCATAGTAATGTAGTCTACTACATAGATTTGCAGTCAGCAAGCTACTGCTAATTACATGTATCCAATCTAAAAGTTATTCGAAAGAGAAGTTCTCCGTGCAAAAAAATGATTTCAAAGATGTATGCGAATTTCAAGGACTTGTATTGTATTGCAGAAAATTTTCACACTTGCTGATTCGTTCTATGTATAGAATACATATTTATGTTACGTCAGATATTCATAATCAAGAGTAATCTCTGGGAGTCATTTTCTTTTTTTTACATGGGCGTTAGAGTTCACGATCGATATAAACTTACTTACTGCTGCTTTGTTGAAGAACACGTATTTGAAACACTATCACTGATTAAGAAATTCACAATTCTTCTGCTTGTAATATAATAATCTGATTTGAACATGAAAACAGCACGTAGCTAATCCATTGCTTTTTGTTGAATAGACATCAAGATGTACGTATACCATTACATGTCTCATGGATCTTATTTATTTACAAACAAAGAATAATCGAAGGATACTAAATCTTTTATTAGAATTATTCGTCTATAATATCTTGTTGACTAATTTTCATATTCAAAAGAATTTCATTGCGTTTTAATTGAGATTTAATATCAAGATTGATACATAGTGTGTGTGTGTGTTTTTTTTCAGTAAATTTATAAAGATTTCGTCTAATAAACAAGAAGTTTATATCAATATATATATATTTATACAGTTGTCTTCTAATACGAAATGAAGTTTTACTAAAATTCATACACATCGATTTTTGCATATTTAGGTTTGAAACAACTTAAGCAGCCAAGTTCATTTTCATATTTAATAACCGATGATGGTTCTCAGACTTTGTTCTCTACTTTATCTCGTTATATTCCAAGTGTATTTCATGTTATATGGCGATACGGTCTAGATGCATTTCGTTTCAAATTTTGGCTTGAAAAAAAACTATCAAATTTTCTTCGGTAATTGTTTTTCGTTGTTACCGAAATAAATTCATGTTGATCTTGCTATTGTTTTTAGCATCTATGATTATCAAGATAATGGACGAACATTTGAGACAGTGGAAGAATTTCTCCAAATGCTTGATCAAGATTTCTATGCAGCCACACGTTATTCATTTCGAAAGTATCTATTTGAAAAAGGTTTTCATAAAAGATTTATTGATGAAATCGCACAAATGGCAACACTAGTTAATTATGATCAATCAGTTGACGCAATAAATGCTTTTCCTGGTAAGATCTGAACTGTCAATGAACGAAAGTTTATTCTCATGAATTAATATCGTTTGATTAGATTTCACAGATCATCTCTTTACCATAACTTGTTTTCTAATCGGACAGAATTCTAATAAGACTAATGATATCCATCTAGGTATCTGTGTGATAGATGATATCATCGTCTAATAATTGTCGACCTTCATATTACATATGTGTCACAACGACAAAAATATTATTGTTATTCGATAATATATGACCAAATTTGAGAAGACAAGGATTTTGTCAGAAGCTATAAACTATCTGAATATAAAGAATTTCTAGACACCATTAGCTAAATATTTTTATCTTTGATTATGATTAGTATATGTCTTTATTGATTTATTCTATTAACTATATTGGCCAGACCATTGGAAATAAAATGTCGACATCTCTAGGCTTTTCTGTCCTTAAATAAATATAAAATATGACCATTCTAATCTCATCTATGATTTTCTTCTATGCGACCGACAAGTTCCGGCAGATACTTCTGAGTAGATTCCAACTTATAGACCGTCTATGAGATAAAATTTTAGAAAAACTGAACTCTAAAAAGTCAGTGTCTTGAAGAAAATCTTTTTTACTTGATTGTTATCTTGTAATCTCCAAACAAGTTCTTTTCTAAACTTTTTATCTGGTTAAACCAAGACTTTTGATTTTTACCAATATCGATAAGCTTAAAGATTTTATAAATGAAAACAAATTGAAGGAAATTCGTTGTTGACTTTAGTACCATATCAACAACGAACGAGGTCATCCGTATACGACCTGCTTTCAGTTACTTTTGAATAATAGATGAAGTTCTAGTCTTTGGTGAAAAACGAAATTTTCTTTGAATGTCACAAAGACTGTTTCTTTCATTGATAATTATGATTACAGTAGGAAGGACGAATATCTCTGTCTGTTTGACAGAAGCTTATTGTTTCATTTAATCATACATAAGCAAGGTTACATATCACAGTTGTTCGTCAAGACATTGGAGACAGGTTATAAAACGGTTAATACATAAAACCTTGACGAAGATTTAATTTTTGACTTGTCATAATTTAAATAATCTAAATGATTGACAGCTGTCAAATGAAAAATTTAATTTTCGTTTTTCGATTGGCATATGCTTGAACAGTCAAATCAATAAATAAATAACTTTGCTTTCTTTGCTGAACCCGTAATATTCGATATTGTAATACATATTCTAAAGATTTCTATAAACTGTAAAAAACAAACAAACATGCACAAGTGTAAAATGAAAACATTTTAGGTTTGGTATCATTGATGGCCTCGGGTTCTACACTTTGGCATGTAGAAGGTGGTAATCATCTTGTTCCTAAGAAAATGCTTGAAAACCTATTAAAACAATCTGACGTTCAATTCGTCAAAGGTTATGTCAAAAGTGTTGCAGAAGTTCATCGTATTGATGCCGACGATCAAGGTGGTAATGTTCGTCTTTCTTATCAGCCATCTACTAGTGACCTCGTACATTCTGTTGATTATGATCATATTGTTATTGCTTTTCCGCTCCATCGTGATAATATTGTGGATTTTGCCCTACAAGCAATTGATAGTTTTAATCAATATGATTATCGAATGCAATCAACACATGCAAATTTTCTGCATGGTAAACTCGATTGTCAAAAATATAATTTAACAGATGATGAATGTCAAAGATTAAATGCGATTTTCTATACAAAATCGTCATTACCATACCGGTGTGTTGCTCAACAGCAACCTGTCAATCAAAATGAAGAACAAAACAAAAAACCTGATAAATCTGTATATAAAATATTTTCACCAGAAGAACTTAATTTGTTACACTACGAACAAATATTTGATAAAGAAAATTTTAAACTTATTCAAGATATTCCTTGGTTGGCCTATCCAAAATATGAACATCCACAAAAATTACCACCTATACAAATCAATAACAATATTTTTTATCTTAATGCAATGGAATGGAGTTCATCGTGTATGGAAATTGAAGTGATTAGTGCAAGAAATATTGCTATGCTTGTTACGAAAAAACTTGGCGTCAAACTTAAACATAGTGATAAACATGCCGAATTTTGATACGTCTTTTTTTTCTAATTCATTCCTTTTTGTAATTCCAATAAAGCTCAAAGAGATTAATTGATTTTGTTTTGTTATTTCAGATAAAACAGAATGAATCAAGAAGAGAGAAAAACTTATGATAATACATCAAGTTCATACCTATCCTTAAAAGCTGAGTTATTACGTAAAAAACAAGATATTCAAAAAGTATCATCATCATCGACTTCTTCATCGGCTATACTTGACAATTTACAATCGACATCAAGTTCATTAAAACTGAAAGCAAAGTCAGATTTAGATATTGAAGTTGTTAGTACATCAAAAAAGAAGAAGAAAACTGAAGATGTCGCGCCTCCACCATCGGCATCAACGTTATCTCGTCAAGATGAAATAGCTTTCGCTAAATCACGTGCAATGCTTGAAGCAAAATCCAAACTATATGATCAAATAATGTCAAATGGTGAAATGAGATTATTAGCTGAAGATGATGGTGATGAGGATAATGACAAATCATTTCTTGTTGATTTCGAACGAAAAATCTATGAAGCGAATCGTCATCTTAATAAAGTTGAATATACAGATTCATTTGGACGTACACGTTTAGTTACTCAAGACGAATTCGAAGAATTTAAAAAATCTGAAAAGAAAATCTCTCAAGATAAACCCCAATCGAACAGCTCTGATAATGAAATTGAACGTGTTGAACGTTTACATCGCCAACAAATGCGTAGTAAATGGGAAGCTGAAATGGATGCAATAAGAGATAAAACACAGCTGCATTATCAAGATGTTTTATTTGATGAGAAACGTGAACATGGTGTTGGTTATTACAACTTTTCTACCGATGATAAACAACGTGCTGAACAAATGGCAACATTAAATGAACTAAGAACAAATACGAAAAATGAAAAATCGAAATTTATTCACGAAAAAGAACAACGGCAATCGATCACGTCTGATCGTTTAAATAAAATACGTTTAAGAAAAGCAAAAGAAATGGGTATTCATTTGCCGGAGACTAACGAATCAACATTAGAATCCATAAAAGAACCTCACATAGAATCAGACATTAAAGTAAATCATGAATATTTGTGCATTTTTCTAATGAATCATTATTTTCTTTTCCTTTTTAAGGAATCATCAAATGTTTCCATGAATAAAGAAGACGAGATTATGAAACCGGTATCAATTGATAAGAATTTCGAAAAAGAAAAAGAATTAAATCGTGTAGAAATCGTGCGATCAATACCAGAACAATCATCACAACAAGTTGATTCTTTTAGCAAACTATTTAAGTTTAATCTTATCTTATGTTTTATTTTTGTTTTAGACGCTACAGACGACTTCCACTCAACTAAAGCCACCTGCACGGAACAATAATCAAATAACACAAAAATCAAATTCATCGTTAGCCTATCCATTTCCAGTCATACGCAGTAGTACAAGTTCATCATTATCGGACACCTATGATTTATATTCATCGAATATACATTAACTATTGATAATATAATAACTAGTTTGTTTGATTGAAATAAATTCTGTTTTGTAAATAAACAAGAAAAATGAAATGTTAATATAAAAGAGAACGATTCATCCGAATTGAATTATAACCTTAAAGTGTTGAGAAACGTATTCATATTAATTCAGCTCAATCACACATATATTAATAGCCGTATTTTACATTTATAAAGAACACAAAGAGGTCTTCTATTCAAAATGAATAAATATAAAATATAGAATATTAATTGTTCTATATCGATATCGATAAACTCACTAGAGTCATAAATATGACGATGCGTCCTTGTGTAATAAAAATAGTAATGATTAATCAAATCGCTTTTATGATAGACTCCTCAGAATATATTACAACGATTCTCTTTCTTTTTCGTGCCATCATGGCATCAAAATAAGCAATTTTTTTATGTTTTAGAAGATGCTTTATTTGATGGTATTAGTAATTTTATTCAGTAAGAATGAAAAAAAAAACAAAGCATTAAACGGACAGAAATTTGCTGCTCTATTTCTTGCCAGTTGCGGCACTCCAAGCTTGATTCCAAGCAGGCCATGTGGCAAGATCAGGACAATATCGTGGATGGAGAAGACGTTCACAGTTTTCTTCATATCTTTAAAAAATAAAATGCGCTCTAATATGTAAATATGAGAATTTTTGTCATTTTTTTTACTTCTTTTTGGCATCCTTCATGTGACTTTTAGTGTCAGATGTAAAGAGTCGACGAGATTGATCAAGAAATTCGCTTGCTTCTTCTTCACCTTGAAGAAATTCGTGAATAGCTCGTTTTTCTTCTAAGAATTCAAATAACTGATCAATGTACAACAAAACAAACCCAGTGAAAATGTTCCCTACCACGTAAAGATTCGTCATCTGTTTCATCAGCATCTTCAATGTTACGAACAACAGCTTCATCACTGTCACTATCATCGTCATTAATACTACGAACCACAGTTTCATCGTTGTCACTACTGTCATCATCATCATTACGTTGTGTTAAGCGTCCACATTGTGCTAATGTGAATAATAAACCAAAGATCAACAGGAGACCAAGATATTTAGAATTCATTTTATTTCTGTAGATGCACCTACATAGTATTTATAAGCAATATGAATATAACACAACAAATGTAACATTTACTTACTCTAATGGTAGACTTCTTTGAATATGAAGAAAATGAATGCGCTGTATCAACGTTTGGTGCTTTGGCTTTTATATTTGGATATAGTCGGATTTTTTCTCCTACCTGTACTCTCTCTCTCTCTCTCGGACTCTTTCTTTTTTCATATACGTTATCGTGTGTTTTGATTGCGCATAAAACCGAAAAAAAAAGTTGTAGTTTTTAGAGATCAATAAAGCGAGGTAATACTAGTGTCAGGTATGATTAATGACATTATTCGTTCTCTCTCACTTTCTCTTTAGACTTCACCGGTACATAGAAGAATATTTGTGTTAGATTTATTCCGATCGAGTGCCATTGCTGTGAAAAAAAGAGCTTGAAAGTGTAGGTGTACAACCGTACTTTGATTATTCTTGGCTAGCGAACGATATCAGATGAATAATTCGAAAAATAAATATGTGATATTACTTTGATATCAAAAGTTTGCCAAGACTATTTGCTCTTTAATAAAGTTGTAGAAAGCTTAACTTGTTTCCTTTTCAAAACGAGGAAGAATCATAGGCTATATTCGAATTAAGCGAATCAAACAGGATTTCTTTTGTTTTTTGCTAAAATGAAATCGATGAACAACAATAATATTTTTCTTCTTAATATTTAATCTTCACAAGCGTATTATTCATCATGACTAAATCATATTTTTCAATGCTTATTTCAATCATTTACTAGTCGTCGCTCTACAACTATTTATTCCTGAAAACTTAAAAGTATATAACTAAAACTTCTGAAGTAAACTTATTTTCAGCTGTATTAAAATATATTTACCAAAATCACTATAAAATAAATAATGGCATTGGGAATAAACTTTTTTTTTGTACAATAATATTCGGTGTAAAGTACACGTAAACATAAAACTAAATTCTAGTTATTCTAAAAGTAAGAAGTCCTACGAAATTATTTCTATACATATGAAAACAAAAATAAATATATTTGTTATCAAATAACGATAGAAAAATTCAAGTACGGAATTTGTTACAGATGATAGAACGAGTGAAGATTGAATTGATGCGAGACAGTGAAAATATTTTAATAAAGAACGTACTAACAACAGCAAAACTTCCAGTCAACCATTTGGTGTAATAAAAATTGTTGGTTCATCTACGATACGAAATATCGAATCATTTTTTAACTGCTTAAGACAAGTGATTCGAAGAGCCGTTTTCGTTTTTTTATATTGTGACATTAGACAGATGTTACCAAATTATTAGAAACAGTCGAAAAAAATCGTTTTTGAACAATAATCTTGCGGTCAACTGCACATTTTTTTATCAAGATAAGCTCCACATGTAAAATAAGTTGTAATGAAAAAGCTTTCATGAGTAAATTTTGATCTAAACAGCTTGCCATCTACTTTTATTTTCACTGATAGATTTTAATGCTTTTTGTATTTTTAAAGACAACTTTTAAAATGTTGATTTTCGTAGAAACTAACTAGTTCTTTGCTTATTTGAACGTTTTAGTCCGGGCAGCATTTGATATTCTACAATATAAATCTAAGAAAATGTGGAAACTTCGGATTTCATCCGAGAGCTATGTGTACTGCAAAAAGTACATGGGACATATGAGTCATTCTAGAATGTCTGAACACCAAAATTGTCATGAGAAACTAGGCACTTTGGTTTTTGGATGCAGTTTTGTGTGCATTTTGAGACCGTTTTCAGGCTATGTTTCGTTAGAAAGCTACGATTTCGTTCAAAACTAGTATCAGATTCTGAATCAGCGTCAAAACTGAGTCGATTTATATATGTTGTGAATAATTCTGAGAAAAAAAGTTTTTTTGAAAAAATCCCTGTACCGCCCCCCCCCTCAGGGATGGTCTGGTCAATAATGACAATTTTTTCGATAACTCAGACATTTCTTGACAGACTACTTTCATCTTCGAACTCGACTGAAATATTGATGAGATAATGCTATGTACAAAATTTCATGATAATCGGATCAGCCTTTCAGGAGTTATCGTGTAAATGACCGGACACACTGACCGATTCTATAGCGTACTCACTTTTTTTTTGTGTACACAAAAAAGATCTAGTATTTTATGTCAAGATTTTCACGCATAAAATAAACAAGTAACGCTCGTCGCTTAGACTCGCTTGACCCTCGACTGTATGTCGTGCTCTTCCGATATTATTTATTGCTTTGTAAGCTTCAACAACACTACTCTCCAGTATTTGAAAAAAATTGGATATGATTTTAGACCCTGACATAAAAATTGATGCTAGATTACTGTATCATATACACATTTTCACGCTTCTATCTGTCCTGACTTCAACTGACCACACTGTGACTTAGGGATAAACAGGTCGCTAGAGTTGGTACAATGTATACAATATCATGCTAATACTAATCGTATAGTGCATACAAGCAGGGCTACCAATTGCATAGGTAGAGGAATAGTAATCTTATGCACTTGAAATCCCTCATCTATCAAGAATGATACCACTTAAGATGTTTCGAACAGTCTGAAATTTTCAGACATGCATGGCCGCATTAAGGAACACCCACAGCACAACTTTCATCGTGATTTATCAAAGTAGACATGATCTACAGCTAATACATAGTTGGATTCTACTATTTCAGATAATCATTGTAACTTCATCCGGAGAAGACGTAGAGCCCACGACCGCTTAAAAATGCAGTTAGCAATATCACCAAAGTTTTTATCCAACAGAATTTCGAACTGCGTTCCTGCTCAATATTTGTGGCCATTTTATTGTGCATCCAGGATAAAGGACGTATAACTTGCCACTTTACAACACCACATCCAGCTTTTTTCAACTTAGAAATGAATCATAGAAAATCTGTTTGGTAAATAGTTAGCTATAGTTTAAAACTTCAAAGGGAAATAAAATAAGTCGTGTCCAACCTGCGAAAAAAAATTTCAATTTTCGTGATCGAAACTCCTATTTGAACAAGCTGCGAAATAATTAAGTGATTAATATACAAATCAGACAGTAGTATGAAAACACTCTTTCGAAAGGCTGCAAAAAGCTACCTATTCTTCAAAAATAAGGACCCTCTTGAATGCTTCGAGGAAACTAAACCTTCCATTGAGTCGAGGAAATCGAAAACAACCAGGGTATGATTCCCATTGAATGCAGTTCCCCGATCAGCGACTCCTAGAAGTAATTTATCCTTCAGTTCATTGTAACACTCGAATTCGATGATAATTTTGAACAATTTTGAAAGCACTTATATCTAGATAGTCGAGGTATATTTATGTATGTCTATTGCTTCTGACCATTCTCTCCATCAGTAAAGCACCACCTAGCCGTTCGTCGGCGCCCCATAGGGGCGCCATTCACGCCTAGCAGCTGCTGCTCTGCACAACCCCCATACCACACAGTACTCATATTTCACAATCTCCAGTCCACTACAGTTTTGTTAAACTCTGATAAACAATCGATTCTGCAGGCACGAACTCTTCACTTGACACTGTGAATTATAATACTTATTCATTAAATCTATTTCTAAGAAAGACTGCTGCGTGACCATTTCTGAGAACCTGCATTGAAACAAAAATCGCCACTCTCAATATCAAGTATCATCAAACAGAAAGCCGACTCCCATTTCAATACTGAACACTTCCCAGATGAAATAGATCTAAAATATTCCCATTAGAAACTATTTGGTCATCAGCGTATCTGGAAATGATATTAAAGGTACGCTTCATCCCAGAACAAAATTCAGTTATTCCTGTATGATCCTTCACAATCTCGAAAACACTGTTTTTCTACGAAAATCAAAGACAAAACTATCATAGCCAAAATGAAGTACAACTTCTAAGACCTCGATTATCTATGGCCAAACTAGATACAGTCTAAATATCTTCCTAAACATACTAAAATCTAGAAAATTCGTTTTGAGATTTAAAAATCTGACTTCAGATCGGGATTCCCCGACCCCGAAAACCTATGGTAAATTTTCATAAAAAAAGAACTGAGAAGTTTAGAAATAACGTCCACGATAACCGATGTTTTTTTGACCTGCCGCAAACATACAAACGCATTTTTTGTCATATGACCCTCCCTACAGACGAGGGAACAAGAATAGACATAAATATTATTTTCTCACATATGCTTTTCCTATTCAAGACCAAAATGTCGACGCCAGTCAGAATCTCTATTCGTTGCTTTCATTCATTTTTACGCAATCTCAACCTAGTTAGCAGCACAAGCACAAATATTCTTTCTTTAACGAAATGTTTTTGCTTCTTCTTACGTAGCTCTTAAGGGGGAGGGGGGGGGCGAGCGACGGATTGTGCTCTTTCTTTCACATAGTTTCCCAATTTCAATTCTTTACATTCATAAAAAGAGGAGTATGATATTTTTTAATTTGGCCTTGTCCTCGATGAAGTACTCATTGACATAATATTCTTTTTGTACATATACTTTTTACTTCTGTCCTGTCCGTCCATAAAATTCTCCAATAATATTTTCACTGTCACGCATGCCCGTTATTACATTCGCTTCGTCACGATCAACACCATTTCCTTCCGATTAAATATTGTGCTTTTATTTTGTCCACACAATTTATACCACGAGATAGTTCCGTTCGTCAACCTTTATGAAATATCAACGCTTTCTCGAAAAAACATTTCCTTCGTCCGGAAAACTGAACCCAAAATTTATAAAATCTGACTCCAGATTCGGATTCCCCGACCCCGAAAACGTATAGTAAATTTTCAGTAAAAAAGTGATAAGCTTAGAAATAACGTCAGCGATAGTGGATGTTTTTTTGACCTGTCACAAACATACAAACGCATTTTTTGTCATATGACCCTCCCTACAGTCGAGGGAACAGACGTTTTTGTTTTATTAAATGCATCGAAATTTATAAATATTTTAAAACATTAAAATAAATATATATATTGTTATTGCATTCTATCAACGAAATACTGCACTTCAATTTTACAAATATGAATGGTTTTCTTCCAATATAAATATATATATATATATATATTCACAACAGGTAACATGCACATTAGATTTTTGAAAGAAAGCAAATACCCTCAGATACACTTGACACATATTCAATTAAAATGTATATGATTTCTGATCGGAATATTATCACATCTAGTAGTTTGAAAAAAAATGATATTCTACGATATGACATATTTTTCTTTTGAACAAAATAAATAAACAGAAAAACTATTTATTCACCAGTGATCTGTTTCAAGACGAACAGCACATTGTATATGCTCTAATAATAGCCTTCGTATTCATCCATAAAATCATATATACAAATCATTTTTTCCTTGGCTTAAAGCATAAATTTCTCATTGATTTCCTATCCACTTGATAACATGGAATGTAAAGATATTTTCTTATATAATTGAATTCTTTAAGCCAATTAATACTGTTATTATTCATCGGCCACCCTACGTACGAAATACAAAAGACAAAAAACGAGAAAAATTTCAATGTCTTAGATTTCTACGTCAATAAAAGAATAAATTATATTATCGCTAGGAAGTATCATCGGCACTCTTCGCATATTAGGCGCAGTACGAAATAGATATATAAATTCATTATCACCTCTTTGCATTTCTCGTATCTTGTCTTTAAATTGAAATAACAAGTATGAAACAATTCGTAATTCTCTGCGTTTTCATCGCCATTCTATCCACACTAACATTAGCACGACTAAACAGTGATAACGATGGTTTCGATGTTGGTAAGTAAACTAGGCATGTCCTTATTTGTAAAGAACTAGAAAATTAGATTTTGTTTTAGCAACTGATAGATGAATTTATTATTTTCATATAATTTTTAGATCGTGAGAATGCAGTTGAGTTTTTAAAACGAACAATTTTTCATCCAGGCAAGACTAAATGTGAAGAACAAAAACGAGAAGCATCTGAAAAATATGAGGAACGTTGTGAACCAAGTATCAATAAATTAACTGGATCACGTTATTGTAAGATTTATACAATGAAGAATAATTTCAATCAATCTTTTTATTTCACATCTTTCGATGTCTAGGTCCCGATATTAAAACATGGGTGGAATTTAAGAACTATGAAATAAACAGCGGTCACGGTCGTTAGAAATAAGCAAAAAAAATTGAATATTCTTTCCAGCGTAAACCATTTGGCATTTTACTTCATTTGAAAATTCTTTTTTTTTTGTTTTTGAGAAAGTACTTTTGCTACTAATCAATAAATTCCATTTATCATGCTTTCGATAATGAAAGTTGTCATCATCAACTACTGAGAGGAGTAGTAATATATGATAATATTCTCTCTCTCTCTCTCTAGAGAATTTTGCATAGTTATATTTTATACTGAGACCGATGGAAAAAATTTTTAATTATCAACTCGCAATTATATCAATAATTCGCATAAGTGTGGGTGTGAGTGTAGCTATATTAAATTATTGTCTCGTTTATAATCATTAATACTTAAAGAGAAGTTCCGAAAAAATCTTATCTTCATAGATATAAAAAGGCTAATTTCTTTTTTTCCGGTTTCAACTCTCGGCATGTTAAACTAGATTGATCGATGCTTCTAATTTTTCGAAGGCGTTTAACTGTATAACCCGTCATGAATCTGTCCTTCTCCTTTCAATTATGCACTTCATTTATTCTCATACAGATAATATGATAACAGCATCTTGCAAAAAATACCACATTAAAGTAGCAAAGAGACGATAATCAGAAAACAAAACTTTCTTATGACTAAGGCTCGAATGAACCTATTGCTTTTTTCTTGATTGTATTAGTTCTGTTTGGGTTAATCGAGAAAATGTTACCGTGATAACCCAAACAACAAGACGAGACAGACAACCAAATGCGCAAATAAATGATACTAAAATAACAGACGCTAACATTTTCATTCGGCAATCAGTTTTTCCAAAATAAAGAAGACATATTACTATTGTAATGTTTTGGACTTAGAAACGGTACTTTGCCAGACTAGATTAGTTCTACGAAACTTGATTGATGTTTAGTTAACGCGTTGGTTACTAAAATAGAATATGTTTATAGGAGTAGTCTGCGATAATAAGACGATGTATCAATGTTTGATTTTCGAGACATAACATAACACCTCAGTCAGTACTATTGGTCTCATCTTAAGCTGTAGAAGATATTGATTATAGGATTAGATTTATTTTTAAATAGTTTTGATTCTAGTATTTTCTTTGAGCTCTTAATAATGAGTCATTTGATTAATAAATTTTAAACTTTAAACTTTAGTGATACTGCAAATTTATCGAATATATTTATATTTGTATCTCTTGGCCGATAAAAAATATTAAAAAAGATTTGTATTCATTTATTTATATTATAATAAATTTTGATACAAATGTTTCTGATGGCACTATTAAGAAGAAACGATAGGAAAATCTGGTGATTACACTGTGCTAACAAATTATTTCTTCAAAAACATTAAAAAATCTTAGCCGTATAAAAAGTATTATTTTAACATTTATGCCAAATGCAAGAGAAATTATACAATCATTTTCTGTAAGAAAGCAAGGCATAAGCCATTAAAAGAATTATATTTGTTTATCGTTATATATTATCATCGATGGAAAACATAGAACAGACAAGTAAGAATGATTGACAGAGGTAGAAACATTTAAACAGAATTCGCTACAACAATAATAACTTGATATTTATCAAACCGAAATTATTCAATCAATGGAACTTATGAAATTCAATCAAATCCATTTCTAGATGATGGTGATGATAAACAGAAATTTATATTTTGACAAAGATAATCATTTATGTGATTAGTCAAATAGATGATAATGTTAGTGTGTCAAATTATTATAAAAACTAGTAAATTGGCACTGGTTAATGTTACGTAGTGGCGCTATTTTTGACCACTAACTATCTTCTTTCTGTTATCTGTGTCATAAGACGGACTAATTGGTTTAACATATGTATGGAAAAAAGGGTCGAGATAAGCTACATGCAATTTCTGCATGCACTGGCAGCAATGTCAACGTAATTCATGTTGTTGATAGCGCTCGTGTATTTACGAATTGTATGTAACGTATCTCAACCGGAAAAAAGGAGTTGTTGGAGTCGTCAAAGGGATTCTAGTTGGTGTTGATTTGAAGAAATAAAGAGTTAGGTAGACGTAATTATCTAACTGTTAGTGTAAAGGATTTTAGAAAAAACATCTATAATAAGGAATACTCTAAAGATGATGATACTTTAGAATATTAGTAAGAGAAAAGATTGCATAGAGTTGAATAAAATTTTAATCGGCGAACATTTTGATTGAAAACTACTTATGTTACAAATATCATTGACCTTTCATTTTATCTTGCTTTCCTCGTTAAACGCCTACTAAATATTCTATTTGAAACATACTCACATTTTTTTAATGTTATTTTTGCCTATCTCAATTCAATTCACATGTACTTTGTACTTGTAAAACCTATTTTTTATAGATACAATCTTGAAGTTCTACTGATTCATATCTCTATGTACTACTGTGGCACAGGGCGTCTCAAAAGTGTTTTTAAAACAAAATTTTAATAAATCCAACGGGCTCATATGATTAACATCAACACACTAAATTAGGTTTTTAACCACACGTTTAGGAATGTCACTAGAAAATTAGAAACATCAAGCTTAAGTGTGCTCTCAGGTCATGTCAACTTTATATTCCACGCTTGTTTACATATTGGCAAGGGTTCTAATAGGAATTCCAGAGAAACATACACATTTAATCTATATATGTATATATATATATATATATAAGAACCGATTATAAGATTGCCATGACCTCATGATAGATTGCCTACATTAGTTTTATCCAAATGTTTCAAAACACGCCTTTTACTATAGAATATATGTTCGTATTTGTTAATAGGAGCATAGGGAAAAAATGTGGTGTAAAATTGTGAAAAGCTCATATAAATCATTTTTGAAGATATCAACGTTTTGTTTCATAGAAGACTTTCGAAACACCTTGTGCTAAACTCTTATTCTTAGTGTAGATTAATTATATACAATATAATGAACATTTCGTCTTATTATTCTATCGATGAAACGTTATTATTTGCCTTCATCGATAACGATGGTAATTAAGAAAATAAGAGAATTTCTAACAAATTATGAAACAGAAAAGAAATTTGATTGAATTTCAAAATGTAATCTAATTCTTCAATTTCCAATATAATGTCGACGGTTTGAGTAGAGACATGCGTCATCTGTGCGATTGTCAAGTAGAATTCTATTGAATAGTTATGTTTGCTCGATTTGCTGAAAGGCTCAAATGGCAGGAGTTCTATTGCGTAGTTGGCCTTAGAGATAGTGAAAGACGATCTGATTGCACTCATGGGATAGATCAAAGTGAAACTGAATGAGTTGAAAGAATTCAAAGTAATGTAACAATTCAATTGGATTTCTATTCTTTTTTTTTTCTAGAGAGTGACCTGAATTACTCTAGTACTTTGAAATAATTTCGATGATATAGCTGAAAAAAATCATCTTCCAAGATAATTAAGTTGAATTTTGGATATTCTTAATTGTTGTTAAATTCTTTACATACATAGAATTCTATAGAAGTGCCAATACCTAGAGATCATCAGCCTATCTAATAGACGATAGTTATTATTACAGATAATAAAAAATAGAATAGTATTACTCTTTACTTTTTATTATCTGCAACAAATAATAAATTCACATCATCTCCAATTATTACACATAACTCACAATGGTATCCATCAGATCATCAAATTCATTGTTCAAGCGTTTGATGATGGTGATGATCATCATCATCATCATCGCCATCATTTGGTTCACCATTGGGCTGAACAAATGTAAACAATAGTAATGATGATACATCATCAATATATTATAAAAAATCGCAGTTAGTTCTAATAATAATCGCAACGCTTTTATATCAACAAGTAATATTGATACTGCTTTACCGTGATATGATGAGAAACACGTTGCAGCTGGAAATAACTTTGAATATCACTAAGATTGCTCAATATTTAATCGTCTTTCATTACATCAATGAAATGTGAGATATATATATGCATATACATCTATTCATCTTAAAGACGATGAACCATATGTCAATGATAAAACAAGATGTTTTTTTTACTACAAAACTTTATACTCAATCGAAGGTTGTTGATATTCGGGATATATACAAATACGTTTCTGTAGGCATCGCGATTTCTGTGATATATTTCTTAAAAATATTCTTTAGAAAAATAAACCCAAGAAACAATATCGAACTTTATTTCTTTTGCATTAATGATATAAACCATCGATGTTGCATAAAATAAGAACTGTCAGAAAACTAACATTGCTTTTCTAGTTTACTATAACGTCTACGTGACCAACATAGTTTTCATTCTTGAAATGATTTATGAGCAAGGATTAGTCTCAAGAGGAACGAAAGAAACATAGTTTGATATAATCAATAAGATTGATTTTTGTCTTTTGATCTTAAACTAATGAATATTTTCAATTCCTATTCGTTGCCTCCGAATAAATATAACGATAATGAAAGAAAAATCTCTGTTGCTGTTTATCATAACGATCGACAGCTGTATTTACATGGCATACGTCTTTAATGTCTATCTATGCGTTCATTACTTATTCGAAGAGTAAAACGTGTATGACTAAGCTCAATTTTTATCCAATTATTATGGTATGCACATTAATCTAATGTTCAGTTATGTTTACATTTTGTTTCATATTTTCATTGTAGATTGCTTCGTTCTAGTCATCAAGCAGGATTATTATTTTTATATTAGTTATTATCAAGCAATTTTACCATAGTCGAACGAATGTATTCGTTTCAGTAAGAAAAACAAAACAGTAGAATATTTTGTCAAAACATTCAATAGTGATCACTGTTACATCAGTATAGATACTTTTCATGTGATACTTAGCTTGCAGAGTTCTTCATTATGAATAGGTCAACTTCAGCAAAAAAAAAGAAATTTTTTTCTCATCAATAACTTCTCATAGAGGTCATTGGCTAACAACTGCTGATGACGGGCATAATGCCTGATTGATATCTAAGCGAGTACATTTTCATCACTTAGACTGAAGAACTAATATAGAAAATAGCGCAGTAGTTCATCTTCGTATGTATTCGCTTCTAATTGACTTGAAAATGAGTGTTGATGAGAAAAGGAAAAGGAATGAATAGTATGCATACACATTTAACTGTACGGTCGCACCTCCTTCTTTTTTTCCTTTACTTCCTAGAGCACGTAACGTCTGCTTATCATCATTTTCTCTTCATTTTTCTTTTTCTAGTTCCATTGGACGTATATCGAACGACAAAGCATCAGACTACAAGAAATATTGTCTTATATATATTGATGTAAAGAACGCCCACGATCCGTCTTGTCGAATTATCTTCAAGAGGTATAAGCCAGTCAGAGCGCATTCAGTGTTATCCTTTCCTGTGTGTATATCAGAGAAAAGACGAGAGAGAATAAGAAAAAAAAATGGGATAATATACGAGGAAAAGAGAGAGGGAGAGGGACGCCGATATACATATATATAGAAGCCATCTGCCTTTCTGATTCTGGTTCGCCGAGCGCAAAAGGCAGCAAGGCATATTTGTGTGGCATCATCCGTTGTTTGTTCGCTAAAAGGATTCGATTCTGGTAAGTAACTAAAACGAGCAATCTTTCTTCTATGTACATTTGGGAGGAAAAATCCATTACTAGATAAGGAGAACCATAATATCCTGACTACAGCACAAGAAAAACATATACATAGTGCACTTGTGCCAGTTCTGCTTCACACACACACACACACACACATATATATATATATATATATATATATATATGTATGTGTATTTGTAGAAAAATTAGCTAATTCTTTTTAAACATGCAGCCTTTAAGGCAAGGGTGCTCTTTCTATAAAAATGTCAAGGATTTACAATACACAATTTTTACATTCATTAATCTAAATGAACTAATTGATAAATTTTTTTTTCAAAAGAATTACACGATTATTGGTTATGTGCCAACAATAATTTCAATTTGCATTCGGGTCGGCAACCGTCTTTTAAAATAGACACTCGTATTCGAGTATGTTACACAGCAACGGTACGCCACCAATAGATAAGAATACGAATAACAACGGTGCTCGATCAACGAAAAAAATAATGGGCCGTAAAAAAATTAATATAACTCGTATTATTGACGAGCGCACTCGCCAAGTCACATTTACGAAAAGGAAATTTGGTCTAATGAAAAAAGCGTATGAACTATCAGTTTTGTGTGGTTGCGAGATTGCATTGATGATATTCAATAGCAATGACCGTTTATTTCAATATGCATCATCTGATATGGATAAAGTTTTATTGAAATATGCTGATTACAATGAACCACATGAATCATGTACAAATGTCGATATAATCGATGTAAGTTTATTTTTCGATAGAAACAACGAAATCTTATTTTCTTTTTCTATGCTTTGCTTTCTTACAGATATTAAATAAAAAATCAAAACCAACACAAGTAGCAACACCAAATACTAGTGAAGATAATGAAATTATGGATCAACATGATGATAATAGTGGCGAGCAAACTGATAGTGGCATAAGTAGTACGTTTACTAATGATATTGAACAAATGTTTGCTGACACAGTCAATAATGTAAATAAATATTATTCTATTTTGGAAAGATTTTTATGCAAAATCTTATTTTTGTTTTTAAATTTAGTTTCTTATTAGCAGCAATCTGAATTGTTCATCAACCAATGGACATGATATGACATTCCTTAATAATACGAATACTACTGTTCTACCAGATTTTCAATACTTAACATCTCCATCAGGTGAACAACAACCGCAACCGCAACCGCAACAACAACATCAGCAAATCACATCACCAACAACAAAAACAACGAATCACATTCCCATTTATCCTATTCGGAAATCTGTTGATTGTAATCAATTTAACAATAACATTACCAATAATAATCATTCAAATACAAACCATGTAATAAAATGAAAGCATATAATCATCTTTTCATATGAAAAATTTATTTTAGATCAAGCAACAACAACAACAACAACAATTATCAATGAACAGTTATACAACTCAACAACCAACGACAAACATAGGTCGTATTATGACAGGTAAAAAAATCAAGACATTATTTGAATAACAAAAGAATTCTACCCTTTTGTTATCCTCTCTAGTTGGCCCAGATATGAGCGTTTCAGCTATTGACATAAGCGCATTGGCATCACAATTGACATCAAATTTTTTAGCATCATTAACTAATGCTGCTGTGGTAACAACTAATAATAATAATAATAATAATAATAATAATTCACTAACAAATTTACCTATTAAGTAAGAATACTATTTTCTTTTTATTAATTATCTATTTTCTATTTTGTTTTTGATTTAGTATAATAAATCGTGATTGTCAAACAGCAAATGTTGGTTCAGCACAAACAATAATGTTAACAAATAGTCCGAATTCAATTATTCTCACTGGACAACAACAGCAACAACAGCATCAGAATATAATGAGTCGAAATTTAATTAAACAAGAACCAATTTTGTATACAACAACAACAACAACAGCAGCTGCTAATACTGGAAGAAATGAGTTGTGCTATGAGCCAACGAGCGCTAAAATGGCTCGTTTATGGCAATAATACATTTCCATCAAAATTGATTCCGTACAGACAAAAGACATTTTCCAACGAAAAAAAAAGAAATTTTTTTTGACAAACAGAGTTCCTTGGTTCTTTCCTAATTCCGTAAACCGTTCCTTGTTTTGCTCTTATAAATACAACCTTAATTATACTTTGAATTATTTCTTTTTGTTCTTGCTTTTTATCTATTCCGACATATTATCTATTTTCATTTTGTTTGTCTTCTCTCTGGTTTTTGCATATAAATTATATATATATATATATATATATTTTAGCAAAATTCAATTTCGACTTTGTTTGGTTTTGTTTAAAAGAAAGAAAAATAGTTATACAAAATAGACATGATTAGATATGAAAGAGTTATATATATATGTATATATGTATAAATACAAAACTAAATCTGAACCTTTAATCATCAATAATATCTATATCAACATTATCATCGTATTCAAGTTCGTTTAATTTGATTGTTGTTGCATGAGTTAACGAAAAATTATAAGACGTCTCATCTGTTTGAGTATTGTCGGTAAGGAGTGCAATTGAACTATTTTTTCCAGTTACCATTGAATTTATGTCGTTGCTAAATAATGAAAACAAAAATTATTTTATATTTCTTTATCATAAGATACTGTCAACAATCTAATTTGTATTCGATCGTTATAATTATCCTGTTAACTAAGTATAATCAGTAGTATCAGATAAAAAATAAACATAATTGATTATACTACATATCACTGTATACTTTGCGATCTAACATAGTTTTTACTAAATAATACAATAGAAAATGATTGATTTTCATTAAACAATAAATTTGTTTTTCCTTGAATGATTTCGCTCTTTTTCTTGTGAAAAATGATGTTTTAAACAAAAAACAATGTTCAATAAGGTTCAGATTCGAATAAAAAACCAAAAGCAGGTAGTGTGAAATCGATGTCATATAGTAAACGAGTATCTTTTATTAATCAATAATTTGAAAACTAAAATATATTTTTTTAAATTCTTTTCATTTCTCAAGAGGAAAAATAAATAGAGCTTTTTCGTATTCACGAATCTGAAGATATCTTGAACTCGAGAGCTAATTTCTTTTCAGGATAATATATTCTACATGTAGAGTTCACTGTTTGTTTAGTCTAACGAAGTAGAGCGTCAGTAATCTGGACGTTTGTAAATATTTAGAGCTGAGCAGGAAATTGTAATTATGAATTGTGAACGTCTTGAAGATCAGTTCGCTGACACAAATAAAACATGTTTAGTATCTGCACATGATTTATTATTTATTTTGCAATATATGTGACAGAAACTTATCACTTTTAACCTTTGCTTTCTGAGAAATCAATCAATTTGATTACTCGATAAGTGTTAATTCGATGAAAACTTACCATTTCTTCGCATGTCGATTAATAAAACCAATATCAAGAATCGAACGATTTGTTGCATCTAAAAACATTAATTTGTTTGAAATATGTTGCTTAAGTTGTAGCTAGTACAAAAGTGTAGAATTACTGAGTGATTCGTCTAACTATTTAAAGTATTGTAACGTTTAGATAATTAGTGAACGAAGAGCGGCGCATGATGATTAGAAGATTATTTTTCTATTACGATTTAACTTGGTCGAAGATTAGTATCTCATTGCAAGTGACAATCACAATGATTAAATTATTCCATCCCAGGTCGAAAAATTTGACGTAAGATCTTACAGTTCGAACGAAATCTTATACGCATCAGACAAAAAATTGTCGTCTCTGTAATCTTGCATCAGATCAAACTATATTTTCTGTAAAGATCCCACACGCAATTTATTTTCAATACAAATTTGTCGTAATATTTTAAGAAGATATTAGTTTAATTAAAATATCACAGTGAAATTTCTATAGGTAGCAGAACCTTTCCAGAATCTTCTGATACGGCTGAGTGTAAGAAATCAGAGACGACGATTTTGCGTACGATTTTTCGTCTGATCTTATCAGATCATATATGATTACACGTACGATTCTTGTAAGATCTTGCCATCTGCTTTCTCGCCCTGGGATAGCTCATTCAATATTGCCTACAGGAGAATATGATCTAATCGTCTATAAGAGTCAGAAAACGAGCGCATAACTAAACTTTAAAAAAATCAATGTTTTATCTTAGATTTCAACCATAGAGTGTAGAAGTAAAAATTTAACGATGGTTTTCTTTAGTACTAGCAAACGAGCTATTTTATCATCGTACAAAACAATCTTTTAAAGCTAGCGCCTACGTTCGGTATACATCAGACATGCCATGTCAATAGCATTAGACTAAAATAGGATAAACAAGTACGCGACAAATATTAGCCTCCCATTTATTGTTCTACTTACTTGTTGTTTCAGAACGCGATATTTTCAATAGAAAAGCTTGATAAGGTAAAACAGTACAAAAATATTCTTCTCTTGAACAGCCATAATCTATAAATTATAATACACCAAAATTTTAATTAATAAGCAAAACAAAAATAACTAACATAATTTATTTGTTGACAATAATGTTTGATTTTTTTGTACCTATAAAAAGAAATCTATCATCATCCTAGCTAAATCAATAGAAACACATACTCTCGTTCTAACATCACTCTCCTGTGGTTTACGCAATGGTTTAAAACCTCGACTCATTGGAACAGAATTGCATAAACGTACTGCTCGACAAGCAATACTTGATGATACAGATAGGAGTTGTGAACGTGACTAGAATTCAATGATTATAAATGGTACCGATATATGAAAATATTTGCTTTTCTCTTTTACCTCCCATTCATTAAGAATATGTTCAGTTATACTGAAATGATCACATAAAGTCGCTGCATCATCAATTGAAGAATAAAAATCAATATAATTTTCAAATAGAAAACCAATAAAAGTTGGTGCTGATATATGACATTGTTCAATAAAATTCTAAAATATTCAAAATAATTCACCGTCAAATATATAACTTGATAATATCTTATACTTCAGGTTGATTTTTATTTTCATCTATTGAATCTTCTTCGGAATCTATAAATAATAGTAAATTAATTTAAAAAAAGAAACAGAACAAAAAATAACCTTTTTTATATAAAATTCGGCCAAGACCTTGAAACAATGATAAGCATGTATCTTTTGAATTCAATTTTCCTATTGAGACTTTTAATTTATTATTACCTTAAAAGGAAAAGAAAGAGAGGGAAAAAACTCATAATATCATCTTTCACTAAATTCTATTATAAATAGATTTACTAGAAAATTGTAATGTATTAATTGCTAAACGAAGGTCACCATTTGCTGTTTGAATAATATCAGTAATGCAATCACGTGGTGGTGGTTTTAATTTCTATTAAAATTCACGAAGAAAACAGACTAAAAATTAATTTCAAAAATATACAAACATACTAATAGAGACGCTTGATGAATAATTAATTCAAGAGCTTTTTTCATAAAAGTTGGTGCAATTGGATTGAAACTAGAGGAAAACAACAAAAAGAAAGCTTATGAGTGAAGATTCTTTTCAATGGAATTTCTAACCTGATCTGTTCAATTTTTAATTCATCAATAATTGACAATGAAAATAAAATATTAGGATTATTCGATGCTGATAATGAACTATTATCTGTTATAACAAATACAATTGGATGATACGCTGTACGTTTTAATTCTCTATATGGAAAATAATATATAGGAAAAAAATTATTTTATTTATTTAGCTTTTTAGTAATTTTATTATGCAGTCCACCTTAGAATAGAATGAAATGATGATACGTCTGAATAAAATCCATTTGGCAAATCCTAAAATAAATATTGCATAAAAAACAAAAAAAAACTTGTTAGTTATATCTGTCCTTATGTCTTATCATTAAACAACAACAGAAAGCTAGTTATTCAGCTATCTTTTCTTTTTTTTTGTGCATCTCGAAGCTTTCTTATCTTATCAGTTTTTTTAATTTTACAGCTAAACAAGTAACAGTTTCATATCATTTTCATTTATTCATTTAGTAAAGTAAAGATGCAACAACACAGTGTATGTGTTTTTCTTGTACTGCTATTTATTGGTAAATATCAAGCTCAAGAGACGGCAGCACCGCCCGATTGGAATGGAGACCCAAAGCTGTGTACAATTAGTCCACCAGTCACGCCTTCTCCACTGCCTCCACCACCGATGCCTAAGTTTCCCAGGCAAGCTGAATTTGCTCTAGAACGAGTCGAAATAAAGAATTTGCCAACATTCAATTTTACTGCACCGAGTGAATTAACTCTCACTGAATATCTTTACGATTACGATGCAAATAAACTAATTATAGTTAAAAATAAAAACGGTTTTATTGATGCCGAATATTTCTACTATGATAAACTAAAGAAATCAACGTATATTGGAACCGATTATTGTGTTGTGTCAAATATTACAGTCAATCAGGATATGGGTATGTTTAAATGAAAAATTTAACACTTTCTACAGTAGTTTTTTTTTAATTATTTATTAGATGGTGCATCCGCAATACAAATCGCACCTAGTACTGAATGGCATGTTCGTCCGATGAATGAATTTCTTTTATTTTCAAGCGAAGATCCTAGTCGACGAATAACACCGGTTTATCTTGGTACAGATATAGCTCGTGGAATTCCAGTTCACAAATGGCAAAGTTGTTATATCAATAAAACAGATTTTCGAACTGTACGACGTATATGGTATTTTGCTCAAGAAACTGTTAAATTACCAGGTAGCACAAATGATAATTACACCACTCCTGTTCAAGCATTAATTAGTGCTTCATATGACTTTCCTAATGGCACACAAGCAGCGGAATTCGATGAAGTATTTAATGTTTATTCATTTCGACCAGGCATTATAGAGTCAGCTGCTGCATTATCACCACCAAAAGGTGTATTTTGTTCCAGTGGTCCCGGTCAAGAATTAATATCACTTAAAGATGTAGGTGTTGAGTGGCCAAATCATTTTAGTGTTCGTGTTGATGCTTCAACATCACGCTCTGCTAGATGGCAACGATTTCATATACGCTATAATCAAGGTCGTGACGGTGAAGCAAGACGTTTACGTTATGATTATATGCCACCTGGCTCCGAGGATTTTGAATCAGTTATTCATGATTATAGTGATAATTTAACCTATACTATTGACCGTCGTGTTGGTAGCTGTAAAATCAGCGCAGGTGTGAGAACATCACCTGTTAGTGCAATCAGTGATCCAATTCTTTTTTTTATTATACACGAAGCTAGATTTATATTTAGTCCGCCTGAAAAGGCTTGGGAATATAATGGATTACGACGTAAGTATAACAAAATAGAGTATAAATTTTTTATTCATTCACTTGCTTTGTATCATTTCAGCGTGTCGTGGCAATGCTATCAAATGTACAATATTAACAACATCTGTTGATAATTTCCCTGCTATAGTTGATCCAGATAATGGTATGACAACAGGTGAAACATGGGCAGTAACCAACATGGAATATGGATGGTCAATACGTGCTCCATTTGCTACTGCAACACCTGATCGACCAAAAGGATTCGATTATCCAGTAAGCTTATATTTAAAATCATTTCGATTTCCAGATCCGAGTAATCCATCACCATTGACTATTCGTACCGAAGATGTCGAATATGAATTTTATGAAATGTCTCATGAACGATATCCAGATGATTTCGATACAAGTTTATGTTATCGCTCACTTGGCTATCCGTATTCACATCTTGTTTTTACTCTCAATCTTAACAAAGGTAATACCATCGATAGTAACAATTTAAATAGACTTAGATTAATTGGACAAGTATACTTCAATTTGATAAATGCAACGCAAATAAAATATTCACGTCTTGCTGATTTGGATATTGATCATGAACGTGTTAGTAATGATGTAAGCGTATTTTTTACTATTCTCGGTCAAACAGTAATACCAGGACCAACTCCTACTTTTAATACTAACGAACCAACAGTCGAAGCAGCACGTGATTCTTTAACACGAGCTATTGACAGTGGAAAATTTAAGTTCGATGTGATATTAGATGATGGTTCTAGCGTAACATTTACAGCTAAATCTAAATCATTGGTAACTTCAAGACATTATATATCAACACATTCAGTTGGAGCAGTAGTTACTAAAGAATCGTATTCAAGTGGTGCACAAACTGCAGCTATTATTGTTGGATTACTTATTGGTCTTCTTGCAGGCATTGCTGCAGCAGCAGGTATTCGAATTATAACGAAAAAACCGATGCCATCTATGCCATCATCAATGGCGAATCCTCTATCAAGTGTTAATTTCAAATCAAGAGGATCAGCCGGTGCTTCATCAACTGCATCAAGTGCTTAAAATAAATATTTATCTTTATGAGCAAAAAACAAACACTTTTCTATTTTTCGTATAAAATATAATCACACGTAGTTGAAATTATATTTTTTTTTCTTTTTGTTTTGTTCGATTAATAAAAAAAATGTGAACTTACTTCAATTAATACAATTTGTTTCGTCGATGATGTTGAGTGTGATTTAACTGTGGATTGTTCATTTTCATCTTCAAATATTAAACCGTTACTACAATTTCCCGTTGATGATGATAGATAGCGAGTTGATTGAAATGCAAAAGTACGAAATGAACGCTTTTGAGATTCAGTCCATTGGCGATCATCTAAATTTGAATTGAAAAACAAATGCTGAGGCATACAAAAAGCATTCTAAAAAATGGATTTATCGAACCATAGTTCGAACAGTCAAGTTTCAAAGATGAAGAAATATTTCGTAGAGAAATCTTTTCTCTCTGATAAACATTGTTAAGAACAGAATCTATGTATAATTCTATCAAAATAACTACCTGGTGTTGTTTCAAAAGTCATTACTTTATTTTCTACCTGCAACGAAACCGATTTCATTTATATTTCGATCAAATTTAGGTTTAGTCTATCATTCAAGGTCAAATGTTAGGTTTTTCTTTGAACATTGTGCGTATATTTATCTTTGACAAAACCTATTGCGTCTATACAGTTACAATTGAGGCGATTAGTTTTTCATTTTCGCAAAGAAAGAACTTGCCACATGAATAAATAGCTTGAAAAACACGAAAAGTTATGTTGATATATTAACTCGCGAACAACTGTTTCAGTTTAAAGTGAGAATTTATTGGAGAGAAAAAGGACAAAAGCAAACACAATTGTACTGTTTACTTATAATATTTAGAACATGATGGATTTAGATGATAAAAATCACTGTTCAAAATTGTTGTTCAACTAAATGAAATTGTTTTTAACTGCGAAGGATACATTATCAGACTATTGTAAAAATTGATATGAAGTTCGATAGAATGAAAGCATTTTGTCTTTCTTTTAGTATTTTATTCATGTTCCCTATTTCATCGAAAGAATTAAAAATTTCCGAAATGTATACATTGCAGTTTCTAAATGCACACATATTGCAGCTGGCACATTAATCATAGCTTCATCAGACACAACTCAATAACTACATCGATGCCATAGACATACGAGATCTAAGACCGCTTTGGTTTTTCGGAATTTTGATTTAAAGATAATGAACTCAAGTTTAGAATCATTTCAACGATGTATAACATTTCTAATAAGTACCAAGTGTCATTCGCAAGCAAATAGGTCTTAACGAAAAACGAACCTCGATATTCATCTTGTGCAGTGTTTGTTAAAGATGATGTTGTTCGAGTTTCCCATTCAACAATATTAATATTCAATGAAGCAGCTAGTATTCGTAAACATGTTGATTTTCCCGAACCGGTTGGACCAGAAATAAGTATTAATTTTGATGGTCGCTGAATAAAAACGATGTGTTTTTTTTCAACAAAAAAGCAATAATGAATTATCATTTACTTTATCTGTTGTAACAATGCCACATGATATTTGTAGTATTTGTTCAAGATCTTTAATTTTTTTTTGATGAAGAATAAGATCGTAGCGTGATTTCGGTTGAAATAGCATTGACCAAAGCTCATCATCCTGTTTCACAATTTGCTTAGCCATTATTGAACGTGCTGTTGATGATGACGTTGATGAAAATTGTTGCGAGGATAATTTTGAAGGAACAGTTTTTGGTATTATTTTCTCTGTAGTTGTTTTCACTGTAGGTGGTGGTGAGACATCATCAAATTGTTCAAAAATATTACGATACGATGAAGCATCAGCAGAAGTTTCAGCTGTTTTAAAACGTTTTATGGGCTGTTGGGTACGGATATTAAGATCCGAAAAAGAAGGTATTCGACGAGACATTGGCCTAGTCGATATTGTACATAAAAGGTAAATGAGACTTAAAAAGAAATCTACAGATAATAAATTGAAAAGAAAATTTTTATTGTTTCCAAACGAATATTCGTCATAGTTAGTGGTGCATAATGCTTTTGAATATCAGCTAGTTTTTCATTCTTGATGTGCACAAACTTGATCTATTCAAATGAAGTGCCATTGCGATATTTCTCAGTTTTGAAATTATATCAAAACATTCTTTCGAAAGTTAAATTCACATTTTCAATTTTCAGAAAACTTAATTATTTCCGAGCGCTATATTCCATTAATTTTTTTACGTCGTATGTAGCTCCATCATCTAGATTTAACTATTCGTTCGTTGGTTCAATATTTTATTGTTCATAAGATCACAACAATGCCTGGATCACACGAAGTAAGAAGTTAGAGTTTTGTTATTTGCATTGCAACTCAAAATAATATCGCATTGATTGCGTGTACATTCTTCAAGCGACGATTGATAATGATGAGTAGTGATGAAAAAAATCTCAAAGGAATCATGAAGTACATTTGCTAGCATGCACAAGAGAGAAGAAAAAAATTGATCAAATTTACTCTTCTTTTCGATGATCTGCATATTGAGAGCCAGAAGAAGAAGAAGAAGAAGAAAAAAAAGAACTCTCCGTTGTTGTAACATCTTCGAAGAAGAGCACTTGATTAGTGAGTTAGACTCTAATACTGATGTTGTTGTTTTCTACGTTCTAATCAAATAACTTTTTTTTCTTCTTCTTATAACTGATTATTACTATGCTCGGCAAAGACGCCTAGATTTTTCAATCAACCTTCAGCCAATCTCGCATCATCGCTCTCGTTTTTTTATGCAAATTTACTGAAATCAGCAGAGAAAAAAAGTTGATTTATAATATATAGATATAATATATTTAGTTTTTCTCTCTATCTCTGCATTTCTATTACTCATATGCTAATATGAACTCTTGAGCCTGACGAATAATATACAATGAAAGATACTGACTTCTTAATAATCGTAAATTCTGGTTATATGCATAGAGAGAAGAAGAGAGAGAGCGAGAGAGACAAAGAGCGAAAGAAAAAAGATTGTTTGTCCCGATTTCCCTTTTTGGGTAGGAAAAGAGAAAAGAACATTCGATGATTATTAGCCGTTTTTATATATTTCCTGAGCGGAATAAAAGAGAAATAAAAACATTGATCTGTGTAACAAATACCAGATCATGATCAGCGATATGCATATTAAAGTTAATCATGGGTTAGAAAAATCATTGAATAATTATCGTTTAAAATATATTCATCATTTAAACTATTGGAGAAATATTCGAAAAACAAATTATTGGATAACGTTTGAAAATCCTTTATTTGAGAATTATGGTAAAGTTGAATTGTCTTCCAAAATAAAAATAAAGAATTCGTCATCTTATTTTTGATTTCAACAATCAATTATGTTTTCTTTTCTAGTTAGTCTAACAAATGACTATCAGTTTAATTCGTAAGAAATAATTCTTTTTTTCATTTTAATTAACTTTCGATTTGTTTTACTTGTTTCTAGAAAATCTATTCTTCTTGAAAATATTTCATCGCCAACGGAATCAACAGATAGTGGAATACAAATATCTAGCGAACGAACAATAATAGTTCGTACCCGATTTTTTTATCTTTATAAAAAAATTAATTTTGATTTTTTAGATGGACGAGGAAATAAATCTTCCATTAGGTTGGGAACGTTTTGAAGGTAACAATTGATAGTCATGTGCATGTTTTATAAATTGAAAATATTTTTCAGATGAACAAGGTATTTATTATTGGCATAAAATTACTGGCACTGTAACACGAGATCGACCTGAATCAATGATAAATTCCCCGTCATTAACCCTTTCGTCATCATCGAACGATACATGTTTTGAAATTAATGCATTATTAAATAAAAGTGAATCTGATATTTCCATTTCAGTAAATCTCATATTGTTATTATTTTTTCTCCATAAATATTTGATTTTCTTCTAGACATTGGATAAGAATTCTGAACAACATCGTTTCTATGTACATTCACTTGGTTGGACAAGTATAGATGAAGAAGATTTAACAAACGAGAAAACTAGTCAATCTGTCAATCGTTGTATTTACGAATTAACCAATGGAATCAATGATTCAATTAGTCGTTGGGGTGATGGTAAAGATCTTTATATGGATATTAATAATACAGATATACTTTTAATCGATCCTATTGAAATGACTATTATACATAAACAATCAATACCATCACTTCGAGTTTGGGGTGTCGGAAGAGAAAATTCAAGGTTTCAACGAAAAAAATTAATTGAATTAATAAAATTTACGTTTAATCTTGTAGAGATTTCGCTTATGTTGCAAAAGATAAAAGTCGTTCCACAATTGCTTATAAATGTCATGTATTTCGTTGTGATAATACATCGGCAAGAATAATTGCGAATACACTACGTGATGTATGCAAAAACCTGATGATTCAACGTGGCTTATTAAATCATACAACGGAATCTTCAAATGATGGAATGTTAATACAAAAACGGTAAATTTCGTTGAAGAAATTGTTTCATTTGACGTTCGAAATCATTTTCTTTAGGCCAACATCATTTCCTGTATCAATCGAGAGTGATATTACAAATTGTAAAAATTTAAACATTTTGTTTTGAAATATTTGAAAAAAAATTGTTTGTCTTTTGAAAATTTTAGCACAATTTCCAACACCTATGGAAGAACAAAAGAATAATTTGCCATGTAAATATTTAGGTTGTACATTAGTTGAAAAGCCAGGTGGAATGAATATTCTACGACCAGCGATTGAAAAAATATACATGACTATACCAGAAGATAAATGGGTTCCAGTTATAGTCAAAATTTCACCCACCTCAATCGTTGTTTGTTCTGATGATGTGCGTCGATTTTTTTCTAAGGCAAAAGACAATTTTTATTTTGTTGTTTTTGTTTCCGGTAGGATTTCAAAGAACAGTTAATCGATTGTCGTATTCGTTATCTTTCGTTTCTCGGCGTTGGACATGATATTCGGTAAACTAATTTTAATCTTCATTGATATTGATCTCATATTTTCGTTTATAGTTTTTGTGGAATAATTGTCCACTGTGCAGATAATTCCTTTAAATGTCATGTATTCAATTGTCAACCATCATGTGTTCAACTATGTAAAAATATAGAAGCTGCTTGTAAAGTAAATTATTATGGTTAAGTTTGCTTGTCTTTTTATTTCTAATATTATACTTGTTTAGTTACGTTATCAAAAATGTCTCGATGCTCATCCGCAGCCAATTAAATCGGTTGAATCACCTAAAGTTTGTTATTTCATCTTTTGCGAATAATTATCTTTTATCTATCTTTTGCGTTTTAGAGTTACGGTGCACAAATAAAAAGTTTAGTTGAATCTTTCTGGCTTGGAATTAAATAATTTGTCCGATTTTAATGTCAATATTTTTTCTGTTTTAATACACGATCTTTGTTTTGTTTTTGTCTGACGTATTTCTGATTTTGATTTTGTAATTGAAAATCAGTAATAAAGAAAATGTTGTATTGTCGAATGCAAAAATGAAAATCATAGATTCGAAGCGTTTTTTGGATCTTCGATATATTTGATGAATAGTACTCAATAGTACAAATATGAATAAAGGCTCTTGATGTAGATATAAAAAACAAAAGTGTCGAGACTACATGAAAATCATTAAAGCATGAAAATAGCTATTCCGGAATGTTGCTTATGTTTTTTCTCGTGTAGTGTGAAACAAGTTTTTATCTATAACTCTATTATTTGTTAGTGCATTCAAGGATAGATATATAAATTCATCTATAAACTATCCTCAATAGTAATGGATGGGTCACAATAGATTGCACTAAACAATTTTGCGTTCTCTACTATTCATCAAAAATATTCATTTTCAAATCGAAAAATATTCAGCTTAACAAATAAATTCTCCTTGGCAAGTTCTAGTTCAAAAGATCTGCATCCATCTAATTCTTAAACTCTGGCGGCAGAGAAACTATGATTGCATATTTCAAAACTTCCGAGGAAAAAATGTGAAAGCATAAAAACTTCTTTTTATGATGAATTCAGAGCACCGATCGTTTTTCAATTCAAAAGAATCTAAGATTTTTAGTTACTGAATTTAACAGTTACATCATCCTATTCAGATTCTACATCCGATGGCATAGTTATAAATAGAGGTGTCAGCCGTGCGGCCGCCGCCACCAAATTGCTGGTAATTTTAAGAATTTTTGGGGAGCCGCCGCTGCGAAAAAAACAAGTTTAGCCGTTGCGCCGCTGCAAGAGATAAACCTTTTTGAGAGCGTCATCCGCCGTCGCTGACATCAGTACATATGCGATCAAATCGAACATTTTTCTTTTCAATTTTCATCAGTGAATTTTTAACTCAGCCACCGCCGTCACATAACGATTTGCAAAAATCAACCGGCGCCGCCGCTGTGGAAAAAAATTTAAGAATTTATAGCAGCCGCCACTGAAAACATTACTCATTCAAATAACAAGCCGATGGAAATCTTTAAAAATTGAAAATTGTTGCCCGCCGCCGTTCAACCCTTCGGCTGACATCTCTAGTTATAAATCTCTCCGAGAATAGGTTTGGCCTTTGACAATTTGATTTTTCAATATGCACATCAAAGTGAACAGAAACTTCTAGTACACGACACCTGCCAGCAAGAAACAGCATGCCGTAGTTGAACAAGCAAGACGTGAATATTTCTTCTTATGCGGCAAAAACGAAAAGTTCTTTGATAAACAAAGTCGATAGTTTTTACAGAGCTTGAAATTCTCTAAGTTTTGATACGCACACGCGTATGCTCCAAAAACAAGAAATGGACGAAAAAAGTGATGAAGATTTAGTGCAATTTACTATGGTCCACCCGTTATTCAGCAACGCATAGGCTGTTTACAAGTAATTCCTTTTGAATTTACATTGACTCAATGCTGTATGTAGAATACGGCTAAGTTACTTTGTATTGGTAGTTGATTTTTCCAGTTTATCCAAACTGACGAAAAGATTAAAACTTTTCACGTGTCCAACTCCGAGTCTTTGGTTTAGAATTTTCTCTTGTGCATTTGAAATCATTGATAGCCGAGTGGTACGATTCTTTTTTCTTTTATAAGTGTTATTCAAGATAAGCCTGAACGTATTTAATTGATTGCTTTGTCAGTGCATGCAAGCAATCAAAGTAGAACTAAAACGTTTATTTATCAGTGTCGTTTGAACAATATATGGAACCGAGTTAGAAATTCTTTTCACTTGACCAACATGTAGCTATACTGCGCCCATGAATGAAAAAAAGTCATCCACAGATAACAATAAATTATTCAACTAAATTTTAAAATCATTAGTGGTTTTATTTTCTTTTTTTTCATAAATTGCCAACACTGACAATGAAATGAAAACTAGAATAAGCGGTTGACGATAACATTCTTTCGGCAAAACATAACAATAAATGATCTTATGTACGGTTGTTAACAATAGAAAAATTTGTCTATTCAGCATCACCAGCTTGAATGGTTTTAAGAAAAGCTGTCTTTCGTTGTTGTACACGATTCTTGCGTGATGATCGAGCAAGTTTAACTTTATTCCATCTAAAATATCACCAATTACACATTTATACTATGAAATATTTGAAGAAAAATTATTTACCGTTTTGGTTTAGGTGCATCAGTTTTCTTCGGCGATAGTGATGGATCAGCACGAATAGCGGCATGTGCAGCTTTGTATAGAGCTTCAAACTAGAAACAATTGAATACACAAAAAGGTCATTTTCATTGGAGGCAAAAAAAGACCATACCGAAGTTGGCTCAATACCAGCTTTAACAAAACGTGAAAATTGTTTAGCATAAAGATCTGGATTTTCTTCTTTAAGTGCTGTCATATAATTAGCAACATGTAAACCAAAAATATGTTGACGATGAACATCGGCATTGAATTTTTTGCTCTCTTGACTATAACCTGGAAAACGGCGAGTACTAAAAAGATGAAAGTTAATTTTCTTGATCATTAATGATATCACAAAGTGCCTCAGAAATTGGTTATCGTCAAGTCAAAATCAGAAGAGATGACAGAAATAAATGAATATTCATCATACGCACTTAATATAAATATTGAGAGAAGAAAAAACATAGTGTAAAATCAGCAAGGGGCGAAAAGTCCATTTAAGTGGAACTCTTCATAGTAAAATAATCCGATGAACTTACATCTCATCATTTTGTACACTATGATTTATAAAAACAGCAAAAAAGAAAGTTTATTTGTTCGAGAATAGCAAAATCAGAAAGGGGCGAAATGTCCATTTTAAGTGGAACTCTACATTATATCGTTCTGATGAACTTATATCTCATCACGTTTTGCATCTTCTATTCGAACTGTTTGTAGTGACCTCGAAAGATGTTAGCTGTTACGAATCAAAAATCTTCTATATAAAAAAATTTGATTTTTTTTACCTATGCGGAATATCTAATCCACCATCGACAGCACCTTTCAAAGCGCCGAAAACTTTAGCACCAGTTGTTGTACGTGCTAGACCAACATCAAGATAACAGCGAAATGGGCGTTTTTCACCTTCGACTGCTTCATTTTCAAATTGACCACCGGTTACATCAGTTGTACCTTTATATATGCTATCTAGTTTATGTTTTTGTAATGTACGTCGAGCTAGAAGTAACCCGGTACAATAGGCAGCAGCGTAATTTGTTAAACCAAGTTTAATACCATATCGTGGTAGTTCATGTGCATATGCTGATGCTATGATATAGTCGCCTTCTATACGTGCATAGGCAATCTAAATAGTAACTAAATAAATGAATAGTTTATTTTATTTGTTGTGCATCAGAATTTGCAAAGGGGTTATCGACATCTAGTCATATTCAGAAGAGATGACAGAAAATTAGAAACTCATCATGTGCACGACGAGTTTTTTCTTATAATATTCTTACTTGGCAAACAATATCCTTGTTCGTTATACGCACAATGAGACGATATTTTGGTGTATTATATTTATTTTTATCTTGGTGAATAAGTGCATGACGAGCATAAAAGTCAGTTTTACCCTCTGAAAATAAAAAAAATAAATAAAACGTTGAAGAGAATTTATTGATATCAGAAACTTACGTCGACGACGTTTAGATTTAACTTGATATCTTTTAAAGTATGCTTTATTTTTAACAACTTTAACAAAAGCCTACGAGAGAAAAAAAGCAATATGTTTAAGAGGTGAAGATAACGAAGAAAGAAAGTTCACCATTGTGAGGGATGGTCGGGCGACTGTTGGAAAATTTAAGAAGCGAAAGAAACAAACAAATGTTCGATCGGTAGTATCCTCCAATTTTAGCGACCTCCGCACTGACGAATTATTTTTAACCAATGAAAATTATCTAAATGATTAATGCATTTCAATAAAGAAGGCTAGCAAATCGCGTTGGATTGGCTTAACAAACTCATCATCTTTGAAATCATTTCGATCTTTGGATATTTGTTGAATCTTGAACATGTCGACGACAATATCAGGTAGATTAGTAATGAATTGAATAAGAATTTTATCTTTATTTCAAACTTAGATGTTGAGCGAATCAATCATTTAGAATGGCGTTTAAAACGTTTGGAGAATTTCATTGGAAAATCGGAGAAATTAGATAAAAGACGAGTATGACATTCGTTTTATTTAGTATTTTATGCATGGAAAACTTCTAGATTAATGAAACAATCAATGATCTTAATGAAAATATTTTTCGATATGCAACGAATAATAATACAGCTAAAACATTGTTAAATAAAGGTAAAATATATCATAAACTATAAGATTTTTTTCGTAGTATTATACTCAAGTTTCGCTTGAACTGATGTCACGTGAGAAACTTGGAGTTCACTCATGAACCATCAATTTGTAAATAACAATACAAATCTCTTGAAGTTTTTCATGCACGCATAATAAGACGAGAGAATGAATCATAATGATAGACTTCAGTACAAGTACAGAAAGTTCATCATAACATTTTCTGATTCATTTTTTTGCTTGCACAACCAGAAAACTATGGTTTATATTGAAATAGCTAGTGAGCAGTTGCACATGTTTCAAAATCAAAAATATTTATTAGAAGTACTTTTCCAAATGACAAGTCACATAAGAGAGTACTTTTCAATTTTGAATCAAATTAAAAATGAGAGCTTTGATATAGCACTCTTATCTATTTTATAAAATCTTTAATTTATTACTATACAGTTGATGAAATCAATCATTTAACAAGTTCTGACTTTCAACGACGTTTATTAACAGATCGGGCAACAAAATTAGAACTCATACTTGCTGGTGAATATTTCTTTTTTAGATGACAATAAAAATATTCATAAGAATTCTTATTATATATTTAGATGAAGAACGTATACGTGAGGTAACAAAGGCTCTTTCCGAGATCGACTCATTAGCACGTGTACTTGATGTTGAACATTTTAAAGGTAAGGAAAAAAAGAAATTTTTCTTTGATAAATCAATATGAACATATTCTGATTTGAATAGAAATACCAAAATTATTTGCAATGTTAAATAAATTATTGGTCACTCATAATGATATAAAGGTTTGAAAGATTGATGATGTATCATATTCCTTTATTTTTTAAATCTATTCTAGATTCATCACAGTGAATTTACACAAGCATTAAGTAGCTTTCTGCAAAATTATGCAGCTTTTGTAAGGAAGAATTTCTATGATTTTTCATTAGAGAATATTTTTTTGTTTTACTTGCAGACATTGATGATGGACGAAAATCTTCAACAATATAAACAAATTCTAAATAAAAACCAAAAAAATTTATCAGAAATTCAAGACAATCCAATTGAATAGATACTTTTTTTTTATTTCAAAAAATAAAGACAAGGGTTCATATGGATAGCTTTGGTGTATATGTTCTTTTATGTTTTTTCTTTCTATTTGCTTTTATTTTTTAAGAATTTGTTTCCATTTACTTGTTTCATTTTTAACATTATTCCAAAATATGTCATTATGATTGGTTATAAGATACATCATTAAATAGGCTGGAGTTGTAAATGTTGCTTCGAATAGACGAAATGCAGGAGCAGCTTGTTGAAATATATAGTGCCCGAGGCCTTGAATAATTAGAGCAGTAAAAAATATTAAGGAACCGTAGAAACTAGCTAAGCTTCCTTGAGAAGAAAATACTGTTGCCGGAACATAAAGTAAAGCAAATAGCGAGAAAAAAGCAAGACCAGTTTTAATATCGAACATAAATATAATTGCACAATAGACGATATAAAATAACATACAGAGACGATAATCAATAGAATGTGTTATAGTTAGTAAAGAAAATATAAGTAAAGGCAATGTAAGAGTGTGTAGAAACCGATTAATTGAATTATTATGATAATAATTCACAAATCCAAATTCATTTTCTAATGATTCACCCTTAAAAAATGGATAAAGAAGAGGTAAACCGATGCGAGTCATACGAGATAGTTACAAATATTAAAATAAATGAGTATCAAATGAAGATTTTCACTCACTTTACTTTTTTCTTTATAGTATCGATAAGACCTTATCAGTAGACGACTTTTGCCTGTGGTGAACTCTCTAAACTATTTTATGATGAAATTACATTTTCAAAATATTTCTTTTAGATAATGAACAACAATGAAGCAACCACACCATCAAAACACGAAAAACGATTTGTTTCAAATACTCCTGTGAGTAATAATTGAAAATTAATGTCTATTCTCGAATTGCTTTGCTTCGATATTTTTCGCAGTTCGTTCTGAATATTTTCTACGACAATGAGTCATAAGCGTATTTCATAAGCAAAACAGCAAATAGAAAGATTAAAAGATTTATCAGCAATGGTAACAGAACAGCACGTACAATACCAGAGATGGGCAAGTACGGGCTTTTTCGAGTACGAGTACGTTGAATATTTCGCCCAGCTCTATGCAGTAGATAAAAGTAATAAAACAAAAGTCAATTAATTTTTTTTTGTCTTTTCGCAAATTGCATTTTAATGAGTTAGCTACACATTGAATAGTTAATTGTAAACGCTGAATATTCATTTTAAGCACATGATTCTGTTTCATTGGGAATTGTAACAGAAGTTTTGCTAGCATTTTATATTCAATATGTCTCGATAGTGATTGATGAGACATCGTTTGGCTAATTTTGGATTATACTATGAGTTCTACTCAACAAATGATTATCTAAGAATAAGTTGTCTGAATAGTATTTTATTTCCTTTAAACAAACTGAATCATGATTGACCTTGAAACAAAATGAAATGAAAATCAGTCAAAACCTAGCTGAATGAAAATTCATCGAATGGAGCTGAAGCGCAACGATGGTCTATATAGACTAGTTATTTTTTCATTGTTTATCTCGTATGTGATTAGCATGGATCACCTAATGAAAAATCGAATTCTCGCCAATTGAATAATCAAAACACAACATCTGGATCAGCTTCCATGATAAGCATACCTATGGATGTCGATGCTGAGCAAACAGTTGCTGATTTAACTGTAACAAGTGCTGCCAATTTGGTTCGTTTATAATAATGTACTTGCTATTTAATCATATTTATTGATTTAGAACCCGATGAATACTGAACTCGAACGACATGATTATTCGCCCATACAACCATATTGGTTTTATTCAAAGAAGAGTCAAGGTCGTATGACATGGATACCATTTTCACTAACCGATGTACGAAGACTTGATGAAGCTTATGCTCAAAGTAAGAGAAAAACAAATAAATAAAATGCTGTCTTATGGAGCCCACCACTTGAAGTGTTTAATCAATAAAATCTTTTGTTAATTTTTTAATAATCAACTAGATTAATAGTTAAATTTAAAATTTTGTAAGAGAATTTCAATCTGTTGACTATTGTATTGATTCGAAATCAAGCGTTTCATTGTTAACTTTATTTCATCTAGATCGAGCAGTCATAGCTACGAATGGCAATCGTTATGATGTTAATCTTGTTGAACGGACTCGTACGCCTGTGTATTGGACCGATGAACCCAATGAAATACGACGTTCAAAATGGTTTTATTTACCTGAAAATGATAGTAGATTTATTCCATTTGATGAAAAAATGAATGAAATACTTGAAGTATATAACGAAGACGCATAATAATTATTTATCATGTTTAGATCAATTTAATTTATTTTTAAATAGAATCTTTACAAAGAAACATGTCATAAACAATTGTGGCATAAAAAACATGAAATGAATGACGGAAAAGAAATTCTTATCTTTCATACTCCTGTTATGATGACAATACAATCCACTGAAGGTGAAATAACGCATTGGTCAAATTTTTCTGTATGTATTTTTTAAACTTAATTTGTATATAAATATACATCCTATTTACTTAAAGTATGAAACTCGAACATTGAAGCGCGGTTTGCCTGAAATGTTTTTTGATGAAATTCGATTTGGTGATAAAGACCCGGTTCAACATGTGTGTTTTGTAGTACACGGCATTGGTGAAGCATGTGATACTAAATTTCGGCCATTGGTCGAATGTGTTGAAGATTTCCGCGAAACAAGTCGAACAATTCTACAAAGTCACTATAAGTCTTATGTAGAAAACGGTGATATCCACCGTGTAGTACGTATTTATGATATTGTCTAATTAGATTTAGTAAGGATTCTTCCCATACGAATTCATGAGTTATGTTCTATCTTTGTTTTAGAATAAATGTTCTGAATGAAAGATTTTAAAATCGAAGGCAGTTCTTTAGAAAATTTTCATTCATCTTTATAAATATGTATTATTGATTAGTTCGAAAAATAGAATATTAGAAAGGTAATAATAAAAACTAGGCGATACATTATTCAAACAATTAGTTGTCCGCTTGTTAAAAGAGTTTGTGAAGTTTTTATTAGAAGATTTCGAGCTGATATCAGCAGATACGAAGATAACTTGACGTTCGATCATGAGTTTTTACTTTGCATGGTGGTTTTTGTGTACTCAAAAAAAGTGAGTACACTAGATTCGGTCAGTGTGTCCGACCGTTAACACGATAACCTTTGAAAGCCTCATCTAATTGTCATGAGATTTTGTACACATAATGATCTCATCAATATCTCAGTCGAATTCGAAGATGAGAAGGATCCGTCAAGAAATGGCTGAGTTATCGAAAAAATTGTCAATATTGACCAGACCATCCCTGAGGGGGGACGGTACAGAGATTTTTTCAAAAAAACTTTTTCTTAGAATTATTCACAACATATATAAATCGACTCAGTTTTTTTCAGTACACATAACAATCGGATGCGAATCCAATGTTTCCTCATTTGTTTATTATTGCTAACGTCTTACAATGTAAAAAATACTCTTTTTTCCTTCTAATTATGATTTTCTAATCGTGCATCGCACAATTCTTGAAGGAAATACATAGCAACTAATTAATTAGTTTTTTTTCTAGTTTAGAAGAACATCTGAAAATGTATAGACCATTTTTTCTTTCGGTTCAAAGCTTTTCTATAAATAGATTACTATTTTTTGTGGTATTCTTATTGACAGAGTATTTTTCCGAATAAAAAACTAATGATATTAAATAAAATGCAGTGCCCATGAGTGCAGTCTTGCATACTTTTTCGATCGATTAACAACCATTGAACTGAAAAATGTCTTTCAATTTGAATATAATTTATCTACGAACAGTTTTGAAAAGAAATAATTTAAATCATTTTCTAAATCTTTTTTTGTAAAATCATTGCAATGTCTACTAATTCAAAACATTAAAATAAATTCCGTCCAGTATTTTAGTTCTTTTCATTATTTTTTATTAAAATGTATACATGCTTTTCAGTGGACTTTTTTGCATTGCTTATCTCATTGTATGCACTAGAGGAAACCAGAGAAAGATTTCGATAGTATGACGATACGATACTTGCCAGATGTTATTTATTGTTCTCATGACTTTCTGTATACGGAAAAAAAGTAATTTGCCTAATTACTCTCATTTACTTGACCTATTAAATATAAAAATAAACTTTCTCGGAGTAAAAATTATTCATACCAATTTTCTCAATATGTACTTCTAAAATCAGCAGAAAAGATGGCGATCACGTTCAAAACACTCAAATTTTTAACTAGCTAGATTAAATGATTTTATTATATAGATGGAAAAAATTAATTTATTATTCTATAGGAATTTTTGCCAGTTTATTGGCATAGTGATCTTCACATGGATGTATGTATTACACATTATTTTCTAATTTAAAAAGAAAAATAATTTTTTGCCATTTTATTTTCAAGGCAACTGGCATTGATAGTCATTTATTAGCATTAACATTGCCAAGTGTAATAAAACTTCGAACATTTATCAATACAACTCTGTCGGATATATTATTCTATACAAGTCCTTTTTATTGTCAAGTATGAAAATAAATTTTTCTTTTAATGCAACAATCAATCAATCAATCAATAAATAACATTTTGTATCGTTTTATAGAAAATAATCTCACGCTGTATAAATGAAATGAATCGCCTGTACAATATATTTTTACAACGAAATCCATCATTTAATGGACAAGTATCTGTAATTGGTCATAGTCTTGGTAAAATCGAGAGAAAAAAGCAATTTTTTTCTAAAAATAAAAGCAATATTTTCATTCAAATTTAGGATCAGTTATAATTTATGACATTCTAGCTAGCCAAACGCCTGTGAGTAATGAAGAAGCTTCGAGTAATATTGACGAAGGTAAATAAAATTAAACTATAAAAACGTAATATTTTCAAAATATTTTTGTTTTATCAAATAAAACTTTAATAGAAAACAGGTAAATAATCAATGAAATATTATTATTTATTTTTAAATAAATTTATAATCTTAGCAAAAATTTATGTGTATCTGGTACCGGTCAAGTATCGATTCAAACTGAAAAACTACAATTTCCAGTTGCATATTTTTTTGCATTAGGTAAAATCTTTCTTTCAAAATTCAAACATTCTTTCTATCGATTTTTGTTATCATAAGGTTCTCCTATTGCAATGTTTTTAACCGTACGAGGAATAAAGTCACTAGCATGCGATTATACATTTCCAACATGTAAAGGCCTATTAAATATATTCCATCCGGTATGTATTTATCTATAAAAATGTCTCATTCTTTTGTTATATGGATTTCTTTCGAATAGTATGATCCAGTAGCATATAGACTTGAACCATTAATCGATCCTAAGTGGACTGTATCACCAGTATTATTACCGCATCATAAAGGAAGAAAACGACTTCACCTTGAATTAATTGATGGACTTTCGAGAGCGACAGATTTAAAACAAAAAATGCTTGATTCATTTAAAAATACAATGATTTCGATTACTGATTTTGTCACATCGTACACGTGAGCATTCCAAACAAACGATAATGATAATTTTTCTTCTATATAAAACCTTCGATTTGTAGAAGTCCTGCACAAGCAACTCCAACAATATCATTGTCAACATTAGAAGCACAAGCAACAACTGTACCGATAATTTCACAAGCAGAATCCGAGCTTAGACATGCTAATGACAATGAAGGTAACTAATAATAATAATAATGATTAAAGAATGTACTAGGTCAAATAGTTTTTCTTGTTTTACCAAATGGACTTTTATTATATTCTTGAGAATGTTTCACGAGAAACAATAAGAAAAGATAAAATATGTTCAACGCATAAAATAAAATGATGATTACTACTTAAGAAAAGTATTTTCAAGTACAATTACATAAATATTTGAATAGGACTATATGTGATTATCGTAATTGAACTTTGCTCGTAGACGTTACAGTAGCTATGCGATTTCGATTTCTATTAACTGGCTGCATACTTCGTAGCTTAATCGAATTCGTTTTATTTCTACACAGACCTAGTTTCTAAAGCTATTCTATATCGCATAAACGACATGCATAAATCATAGGGAATATAAACATAATGTGTACTTCAAAAAATAACAATTTGTCTTAGTATTACGAGAAGTCAGTGGTAACATCTATATTGAAAATGAACTATATTAGATTTTTGTTTCACACCATCGTTGAAGTTACAGTCGAGTGCGTTCTTTGTTCACTTGGCTTGATAAATTTTCTTATTTGATATTAAATTGGATTTACTTGCTGTCCATTCGCTTCGACTCATTTTCGTTGATTGTAGTCAAACAGTCGACATGTATATATTGAACTCTCATTTAAAATACCGGTAGTTTATGTCCAGTCAATTTTCTAAATTATAAATAGTTTCCCTGACTCGCGGTTGTAAGCGGAACTCTTGACTGAAACACTCGATTACACGAGAACTTTGCCTGAAATAATGTACCCAAAAAAAATAATATCACGTTATATTAATTCATTTTCTCTGCAATTGAAGATTAGCGTATCTAGCAAATATTATCCATTGAATGAGATGTTGACTGTTTTGACACGTTTATATTTATGGGTTCATAATTTATTTATTCTATGAAGAAGACATTTCTGGTTAGCTCTATTTTTATTTTGCTGCAAATTCTAAGATTAATTCAAAATTCGATAAGCTATCAACATAATAAATGCTACTGCTAGAAATGATTTTGATCAAAGTTAAACGAATTATTATTTAATATTATAGAAACTCATATTGATGAATGGGACAATCGACCAATAGGAAAATTAAATCAAGGTCGTCGCATTGACTATGTTCTTCAACATCGTCCGATTGAGGCAATCAACGATTATTTATTTGCTTTTGCAAGTCATGTTTCATATTGGTAAGAGAAAATCTTGCCGGTATATTTGTTCTTATTGATTATTTTTTTTAGGGATTCGGAAGATACTATGCTATTAATAATGAAAGAAGTTCTTAAATTAGACAATTTCGAACCCGAACCACAATATGAAACTATTGAGCAAATGATTAAATCGAATGTATTGAACTATTTTGTAAAAAATCAAACGACGAAAGTGAATGAACTTCTGCCATATTTAGCAAAATCGGAACAACGTTCAAACTTAATAATAGACCCGAGCAATATTGCACCAAGAATGTCTTAAAAAACGTTCCCGTCTTTTGTTTCACTTCTTTCTTCTTCTTTCTATTGCATGTATTTAGTGTCTCATAACCGGCTCTTGTTTTAATTGTATTTTCACCATCCATCCATACATATAATACAATAGGATAACTTCATATTTATTCTATTCTAGATGTGTAATGTTTATTACTAGAAATTGTAATTATTCTTTGTTAAGTGTTTTTATTAAAAAAAACTATACTTACCCATTTATTCGATGTTTATCATCGAGTACAACTGATAAGTAAGAATCAATATTTTTAATCTTTTAAAGTTCTCAGTCGAGTGCAAAAAAACGCACACACACAAGGACATCAACGCATTGAATTGAACTTCCTTATCTAATCAATATTATTATTGCTATAGGAATATATAATAATGTTTGAATATTAAAGACAAAGACAATTCTATTATCGTCGTCTTGATATTAAATAAGAATGTTTGCTTTTATCATTAGCTTTTCTTTTGTCAAAACTCATGGCATTGTATATGTCTGTAGATAGCAATCAAGGCATTTTGAGCTCGATGACTAATGACAGAAGTATATGGATTATTCGGCAGTGAATCACATGCAAAAAAAGATTACTTCAATTTATTCACTCAATAGAGAAGAGATTATTCTCTTGCGTATTTTTGGTTGTATTGCCTCAAGGAAGTTAATTTCAGGCTCGTATCTAAAACTTCTTCTCAAATCTAACTAGCTGAGATTATGAATTCAGTTAGATTATACTATCAAGTAAATATTATCTCAACAATCTTTTTACATCGCCAATTATGTATTGCAAAAGAAAAAGAAAATATATAAATCCTTGTTCTCCTCTGAAATTTCTACTGATCTTTCTGATGAACCAAAACCAAATTCTTTTCAATATCAATAATTATTTTAGTCTCATAACTTATGTGTTTCTTTTGTTCTAGGCTACATGAAGTTGGCCTTCTAACAGCTGTTAAACAAGAAGGAAATTATGAGACAGGTCAGGTATGTCATACAATGATACTAGCGTATATGAGAAGTCTATTGATAGCTGTATGACAGAACACGTGTTATCAATTGCTGGTTTTTCTTCTGTCATATCCATGCTGTATAAAAAAAAAAATTCGATGTATACAAGAAACTCTATGTTCTAAATCACAGAATTTTATATTTTCTACGGCGATGAAGATGATAATAATAATAATAATAAAAAGACAAAAATATAATTAAACAATGAGAAAAAAAATATATAACATTATGATTGTAAACAACATACACTTTGTTTTGATGGTCGATTGTTTAATTGTACAAGATTATTTAAAGTTTTTGAAGCCGTTTGTGTATGGAATGAGGTTGAATCGGTTTGCGCAAGTAACGCTTGACTTACTGCTGTAAAACAAAATTCAACATTTAAACCTGTTTTGGCTGATGTTTCTACATATGGTACTTCATATTCCTTGGCTAAATTTTCACCCATTTCACGTGTTACAACACGTTCATTTTTTTTATCAACTTTATTACCTACTAACATAATAATAACATCTGTTTGTGCGTATTCTTTTATTTCACTTAGCCAATCACGAACATGATTAAAACTTATTATTGATGATATATCATAGAGAAGTAAAAGAGCATGGGCATCACGATAATATGAATGAGCTATAGATCGAAAACGTTCTTGACCAGCCTAAAAATATAGAAACTATATTTTTTAAAGGAGATAAAATATAATCTTATTAATAGAGTTTCAGATTTATGAGATTATCTATTGTTTACATTCAATAGGACTAGAACGTGTGTTTCTATTGCTTAGTAAAATAAATCTCTAAGCTTTAAAATCATTAGTTTCTCGTAATTCTCTAGTAATTGTTGTAGCCTTGTCGTTAAACGAGATTAGAAAAATATTAAAGCTTATCAGGTTTTTTTCTTTTCTAATCATTTCTTAGTTTGTTATTTTCGTTTTGTTTGAACAGCCATAGAAGTATAGATTTTACGTATTTAAGCAAAACAAATCCAAAGGAAATAAGCTTCCTTTGCCATCATTAAATGTCGTAGCTTGATTAGTTCTTATGCATTTATCTAAACCAATTATGTGTCTTTTTTTTTTGTTTTTTGTGGATCATATCTTAATTTTTTTCACAAAAGTAAAAATGAAATCAATTGTTGCTTCAAAATTTTATCTATTGTGTGTGATTTTCTGTAATAAATTCTCAAGTGTTATTTTAAGAGGAAGGCAAAAACTGAATAAAATTATTTTGAGTTTTATAATAAGAAAAAAATACGATCGAATATTTCATTTTTCATGATAGATAGAACAGGTTGATGGAAAATCATTCCTATTAATTACTTTAGAATGCTTGCAAACGTTTCCGAGAATGTGTGCTGCTGTCTTTTATCGATTGGAGAGAATGATAATAAAAATAAAATCACATTTTCTCATTTCCTTTCTTAACTTGAATAACGAAGAGTAAATATACATTGATCATTGTTAGAAGCTGTTGTTTCTTCTTGTTTACCGCTTTCTTAACTTACGAATTTTAATAACTACTAGTAATTATCAGCTGTAAGATTGCTTTTCCTAGTTCTATACATACTGTATCATAAATTTGTAATTTCACTTGTTTATTATTGATCACAATATTTTTGTTTCGAAAATCAATGCCGACAGTTGCAATAAAACTACCAGATGAAAATGTGTCATCTCTAAAACGTACTAATAAACATGTTTTGCCAACACCACTATCGCCCAATAGCATTATCTAATTGTAATAATGAAAATGACCTTTTAAGATTTTTTGACCTTTGGTTGCTATTGTTTTTCTTATGATGAAGAATAGGTCACATTTATATTTATTTACCTTAAATGTACTTTGCTGGGGGTAGCTGCTTGGATTCTGTTGATTATTGTTTGTTGTTGCAACTGGACGGTTCATATCTGAGTAAAAATCTGTTGTTTCTAATCAATCCAAAGATATATCTATAAGCTTTAGTTAACTATATCTATTACTTGTCAATGAAATATGTTTATATATATACCAGTATTAATAATAAGTAGAAAGAAGGCACGCGATTTTATTCTCTCTTGACATGGTAGTATTTTTTTTCTTTTGGCAAATTCGATTGTATTTTTTGTTTTCTTCTTTTCGTTCTTATTTTTTTACTACTCATTTTACCTGTTAAAAGTAATACTGCATGTATGTATGCATATATATGTATATATATATATATAAATATATTTATGGAGAGAGAGAGAGAGAGAGAGAGAGAGGCCAGCTAACAAAAAAAACACGTATAGACAATTGTTTGATGAAGTATTTATTCTCAGTAGATCCTTTTTTGGACGTCAAATGTCATACCATTCAATCAACTCTATTTCTCTACTATATAGACAAAAGAGAGCAAAGAAAAACAAGAAAGCAATAAGAATGTTAATGAGCTAGATTCACATTTCACCAGGAAATGACAATTTGTAATGAATCTCTCTTGTTTTCTTCACTTCTTTATTGTCGCTTCATTCTGTGATTGCTGTTATGACAACTAGAATGAACATTGTCTGTTGATAAACATTATGAATATGACAACCATATAAGACGAAATCGAAAGTTCAAGTTCTTACTTCATTCATATTCATTTGTGTGTAATACGCTCAGATGAGCAAATGAAATAGAAACGTGCTATGAAATGGACAACAATAGATGAAGCATGAAAACAACATGTTTGTAGCGAGCGCCAGCAGATAGTATGAAAAAAAGAAGAAGATGACAACAAAGAAGAAGTAGGAGAAGGCGACAAAGAAGAAAATAACAAAAGCAATAAGAGGAAATAATCGTTTTTCCAGATCTATGATGTTCCTAGTCTTTTGAGATAAAATAGCTTATTTTTTGTTTGTTTGAATACGCTCTACCTCTAGGTACTTTTTATTCGTATCTATCTAAGTCAGCCTTAGTACACTGTTGTTTTCCAACCACTCAAAGAATGATGAAGTACAACATGGACTAATTAATAAAGAGTGATTCTTCAGAAATCTAAGATGCCATCTTACCTTGCTTTCTTTCTTAGGATATAAACGATAATATATGATGTCAATTACCAATTCTAGTCAGTACTATAAGTATATATGCGATTTTCTCACTGCACAATTGAGCGATTCAAATTAGTATACATTGTATAAGGCGAGGAAAAAACAAAAACTATCGCAACTCAATAGAATGTTGAACAGATGAACAACGCACAGAGAAGAGATGAAGACGGATGCGGAGCCTGAGCGAATGAAGAGCAAGCAATGAACGGGTGGTTGGGATGAGGAATGAAAAACGGAGACTTCCTGTCGACAAGCCTTCTTGATGGTGTTTCCCTTCTTTTTTCCACCGCTGTTGCTACTACCGTTTCTACTCTACTGTGCTAAATGCATTTTGACAAATTGAATAATTCTCTCTCTCTCTCTCTCTCTCTCTCTTTCTATGTTTTTTCTCTTTGTATCTCGAGCAGCCCTTCACTTATAGATACATATGAATCTATCTATCTATATATATACTAGCCGAGCAATTATCATTTTAAGCCTATTCATTCATTGTTGGAGCCCTTCACTAAATGCTCATGTCGACTTCTAAATTGTGTGAAAGAAAAGAGTGCGAAACTAATTCGATTGTTATTTCCTAAAGACGTTCATCCACAATTTCCCATCGGCTCATATAAATAAATAAATGTATAGTATATATACGCGAATAAAGAAGCAAAAAAAGAGAAGAGCAAGAACGAAAACCTATTCAAAAATAACTACTTGCTAATAATAACTTGAAAAGAAACCTTGTTTTTCTTATTGTTGCTCATAAATGCGCTAAGATAGTCAACAATAACGATGATAAATGAAATATTTTATCCAACTTAACCATGCATTAAGCGCAAGAAGAAAAGATGAGCTCATGCGTGTTTATTTATTTCTGATCATTTTTCGAGTTCTCGTTTTTAGTTTTTATTTCTTTCATATGCTCTAGTTATTTCTTCATCGAGTATTTGGCTATCGAGGTGTGATTCTATTTTCTTGGCTTGCTCGAGTATTTGATCGATCTGATGAACGTTCAAATGCATCGTTGCCGTTGCCGTTGACAATAGCATCGAAGGCACATGCAAATGAAATCCGTGCACAATCAGTTACTTATTATCAAGTTTTGGTTGATGCACGTGACGTACCTCATATTAGAGCTCAAACAGGTTTTATATTAATAATTATTAAGTCAAAACTATTTATATTTTTTGTTTAGAATCTGTCACATTTTTGGGGAATCAAGAACAAGATCAAAATCTCTATGCTCTTCCTGGTCTTGATTATGTTGCACATGAAGATGTTATACCATATACAGTAAATATTGATTAAAATGACTTCTTATAGAAATAACATTAAAACTAAAGCGAAAATTAGAGAATTTACTTTAAAAAAAAAATATATATATATATATATATATATATATATAATTACAACTGAACGATTTGTGTATTTAGAGTACGGAACGAACACCTATTGAACATGAATTATTTGATAAATTTTTAATTTATGATCCTGAAGCAAGTATGTGAGATCGAATTTTCTATTTTTTATTCTATTATGAGTATATTGAAGCGCCGAACTTTGTAACAAGCGAGCATCTAAAATCTTGGCAAACACGACATCATCGTTGGCTTGAATTATCTGATGTATCAAAGGATGTTACACATCAAATTCGAGTTACTGTTATTCCATTTTACATGTATGGAAAATTCATTTTATTTATTTCTAATTAATAAATTTTATTCTCGAATCAGGGGTTCTCGTTTTTCTCACGGTACGCGCGTACATTGGTGGCGTTATACAATCCGAATTGAAAATTTAAATCCCCAGGAAGCTGTAACATTACGTGAACGTCATTGGCGTGTCTTTAGTGTCGCTGGTACATTAGAAACTGTTCGTGGTAAAGGAGTTGTTGGACAAGAACCGAAACTATCAAAAGAATATCCTGCTTTTCAATATTCATCACATGTTTCATTATCAGCAACAAGCGGTCATATGTGGGGGTAAGAATATTGCTGAAAATACGAAAGTCTAAAATTAGAATGCCTTTGGTTTTCTTTCGGTAGAACTTTCAAAATGGAAAAAGAAGATGGAACATTTGTTGAAGTTCGCATACCAGCATTTAATTTAGAATGTAAATCAGATTCAAATACTGGTGGAAAGTTATCAGTGTAGAATCATTTCTATTTTTATTTGCTATTACTATTTGGCGTGATAAAAAAAGTGAAGAGATGTGGGTTTTTTTTCTTGTATTTTTTCATGAAATGAATTTCTTACATAAGTATCATTATATCAGATTTCTATGCACGTAATTTAATATTTAATCATTTCAAGCGATTGTTGAAAACAAAACTCATATATATATATATATATAATTACATACAACTTGTATTAACATATATTCATTAAAGAATACAGTTCACTTTTGTTAGATCAGTATTTTAGAAATGTTGTATCCACATTATCGACCGATGACATAACGTCTTTTTTGTTTATATTTTAAAAAATTCAAATATTTTTATTTGTAAAATAATAATCATAATAAGAACAGGATATCGGACTTTGCCATTGGCAATATTGTCCATGTTTTTCTAAAGCAAAGCAACAAAACATAAATCTTCATATATTGTACTAGTTAGCATACATAGAAATTTTCGTTTGACCTAAGACTCATTTTTTCATGGAAAAATTTGTTGACATTGTTTATATGCAGACTCATGAATATACACATCTAAAAATATTCTCTCTAATAATATGAAAACACTCAAATAATAATGAATTTTTAACAATCAACAAAATTTTACTGAAGTTGGAAAAGAAATTTTTAGAACTCTTAAACAAATGCTCATTTCCAAAAGATTTATTTAAGGATAGCATATGAGTATATCCGGTTTATTGTTTCGATTAGAAGCGATACAAAAAAATACACATAGTTTCCTGATCCGTCTACATTTACGTCCTGTTAATGCATTCTTCTCCATACCTCGAGCTCAGATTTCCATTCTATACGTCTTCTTATGCGTTCATTTCTTTACATCCTTTTCTTCACGTCCTTTCCTACCCACAAAAAACATTTTCATTGAAAACCGCTTCAGAGCGAGGTTTTTCATACGGAGGTTCATAACGGTATTAGCAAATCGCGAAAGTCAGACCTTTTATTAGGTTTTTCAAAAACGTCGATAACCGCGGTTTTCAAAATTAGACGGTTAGCACCGGTTTCCAAAAACCGAATAAACGGTCTGACTTTCGCAGTGAAATGAAACCGCTGAGAGTCACGACTTCTTACAAAACGTGGTGTTTGCCGGTTAATATTTATCGAAGTCTTAAAGCAATTGCAACCTAATAACAATTTCCATTTTCGAGCACACATGGCGACCGAAATTCCCGCTCGCGCGGGTGTTCAGTTGCTACTTCGTGATAGTAACAGGCAAAGTGCTAAAAATACCCTCAGACGGGGTCATAACACATGTTACATATGCGATCTGTTCTCCCAGACACCGCTACTCGCCTCTCAAGCCTTCCACAAAGCACACACACTAATAGTTCACAAGGTTGTACTGGTGATTATTTTGTTGAACTTGAGCGATAATCTTAGCGCACGACATCATTTTTGTCTTTGCACATATAGTAACAAAGAACGGTACAGGAAGAAAGAAACCGTGGTTTTGATTGTACCTGATGCATCGCGGTACATTGAAGGAATTTTTCGAACTTTCTCTTTGTGTTACTGTGTGATTATTGACTCTAAAATATTAGTCGTATTAGCATCTGTCTGATAGATTTTTTATAAATTTTACGAATCAGCTGCATCTGTCTGTGAAATCAATCTCTTAGAATACAAGCCACCTCTAATAGCAAATCAATTTCAATCATTAAAACAGCCACTATATTCTCTTTCGCGTTAAAAATTTTCTATCTGTTATTGAAATAGCTTCATATAAAGCCAGCAGCATCTGTGATAGCCGTATTGAAAATATGTATGAAAAACATCAACAAATGAAAAACAATTCTGTTGTTTAGCTATAGTTGCTCAATATAAAGACTCCTTCTGAACTCATATTCACGTATGATACTGTTGTGGATGGTGTCTAGAGAGGGGCTTAGCACATGAAGGGTTTGCATAAGTTTCGCCGCCAACAATGTATCCTGCTAACACCGCGGTTTATGACATCAATGGTATAGATTGGTTACGTACGCCGCGACCCATGACACTTACAACGGGGTTTATCGAATGACTCGTTGTCTTAGGTTTCGCAGACCGCGGTTGATAATGCAAACATCGCGGCTTTCTGTGGCCGCAGGTACAGAAAACCGCTAGAAGACACGGTTTCCCAAAATCAACCGCGATATTTAATACGAATACCGCGGTGTGGTAGGAAAACCCCGGTACGAAGCGGTTTTGCTTGAATTAATTCCAAAGAAACACTGTTGGGTGTCATAGGAAGTTCAATGGGCTCCGACTAGTGGTTTCGACATCAATTCCTCGACTTGGAATCCTATAAGATTCTGTCGGATGGTAGGATACTATCAAATTCCTATCGGATTCGATGTGGGTTTTCTCGATCTGGATAGCAGATGTTCTGTACATTTTGTTTTTGCTTGGTACACTTGCCGTTGGAAACACTGATCCTCATGTGTGACATCGTTAGTTCCTAGTATAGATTGAGATTTTTCTATTGATTGAAAATAATAAATTTTTTCAATTAATTATTTTTTATCTTCTTTAGATTCTATCTCGATCACTTTTATATTGATAATCCCGGAATAAAGCGCCATCTATTTTTAATAGAATAAATAAATGATTCATGTTGGAAAAAAAGAAAAAGTTTTATTGGTTCTCGTTTTGAAAAACATATGCTTGCTTTATTTGACCTTTTCCCATTACGAGGAACATTTGGATGATCACGAAAGCAGTTGTTTTTTTCTTTATTTTCAGAATTTTATTTTAAATGGATACTTCCGAAACTGATCGAACCATTGCTGAACTTCTTGAAAAAGCTGAGAAAGGTTTGTAATTAAAAAAGAAAAGTATTACAAAGAAAACAAATTGTTTTGTTATTGTTTTTTTCATTTCTTAGATCGAGATTTTACTTTGAAAGAAAAGTTAAAAATACTGTTAGCTGACCGCAAGATTCCTTATATACCAATAACAACTAAAATCGAATCACTTTGCCCACTTGGCAATGGTGTTTTTGGCGTCGTTGAATTAATAAACTATCAAAAGAAGTTATATGCACATAAAAGAGCAAGACAAAAGACTAGGGAACAACGTAACAGTATTCTTGACGAAGGAATCAAATTATCTGATATAAATCAACGCCATCCAAATATTCAACGCTTAAATTTTATTAATCTTCACACCAATGGCATTGTTATTGACTATTGTAGTAATGGTTCGCTTGATGCATTTGTTCGGGGAACAAATTTGGATTATACATTGGTTAATGTTCTCCATTGGGGCTATCAATTAGCAGATGCATTAAGTTTTTTGCATTCAAATAATATCAGTGAGTTCGATATCTTCTCGTTGTGTTGATGAAAATAAAATAAAAATACATTTAATTGTAGTTCATCGAGATGTTAAAATGCAAAATATTCTGTTGAAAGATAATTATCAAACACTTGTTCTCACTGATTATGGTACAGCAACACAGTTGGGGAAAAGTTGGATGACAGACAATGTTGGTACACCAAGTAAGAATCTTATATAACAAAGTTCTACGTCATTTTAATGAATAGATGATTTAATGCTAATATAACTTGTCATAGGATTCTTTTGTAGAAAACTAATGTATGACTACAAACTGTGTAAAATGAGACAAAATAAATTTACTTTTCTCATCTAATAAGGAAATTATTAGCCTAGATATGTCTATCATATTTAAAAGTTAACGAGTATATTGCGATGAGTTTAATATGAAATATATGACATAATTGAGTATTGTTGCGTTTACACGTATATATATATATATATATATATGACAGAGCAGTTCTCATCAGAAAAATAAAGACAAATAGTTTAACCTTGTTTATTTGTGCTTTGTATTGGTTTCGTGTTTAACAGTGATTGGAGCGCACTCTACCGGTTTTAATATTTCACATAGGTTGTCGTTCTTTGTTTAGAGCAGTTTTATTTTTCCGTTGACAAATATTTACGTCGCAGTTTCATCTACTATTTTAGTAATCTTCGCCTAGAAAAACAGTAACAGACAAAAACATAACACAAAAAATGAGCATGAAAAATTTCCAAACGTAAAGATATTTCGAGGCTAGTTTGGTAGAATTATAATATGTAGTGTTTATAAATATTTACCGTGTGATGCTGTTTTATTTTAATTCCGAAAATCAGTTACGTATGCAACATGGCGGTACTTTGAAAATGAGGAATCGTTTGCATGCCGGTAATGAAAGTAACAATCTACTAAATCTAATTTAACGTATCTTGAAATGGATGAGAAAATTTTTCATACGAGTTCAACTTATGACAAATATTAACGTGAGACTGGTCCCTACGAAAGATAGTTATTTTTTGAGTAATAATTACCTTATTTGGTAAGTAAACGGGATCAATTTATAGAGCTTATATGAAAATATTCATTAACAAGAATAAGTTGTCAGAAATTTTGCTCATTAAGAATTCCGTATTATATGAGTACTGAAGGTTGAACTGTTCGAGCGATGATGATCAATTTTTCTTATTCATAGTTTTTTTTTGTTCTTATTATTTAACGGGCGCTGTTTAGTGACATTTTGTTGACAGTGCGCCATGTCTCATATCACTATCCATAGACGAACTGGAAAAAATCATTAATCAGTTTAGTGTTAGGGTAAGTGTCAGATGATACCAAACGAGAATAACCTAGGACCTGCTCCATCTTCGAATGATATGTAGTAGTCATGCTGTTCTTACCGTACACATAAAAATAACCTTATCCCCTAAAAATGTTTTGGAATCCTTTTGAAAAATGTCGTAGTGGTAAAGCTGCATTTACTTGGGTCTATCCCGTAAATTTGAATGGTATAATAATTTTAAATAGTATTTAATATAATTTAGTTACTATGGCACCTGAAGTATTTGCTTACAATCAATATGCTGAACAATGTGATACATATTCATGGTCAATCGTGTTCTGGCAATTAATCACAAAACAATTATTACCTTATGGAAATAATGGCAAAGGTTTGCTCGCATATAAATATACGTTATTTTAAAAATAATAATCTATAAATGAATAATTTCTATAGGATTTCTAATATCAGTTGTACGAGATAAACTTCGTCCTGATAGAATCAATCATTGTCCAGAATTGTTTCTTGCTTTGATGTATCGTGCATGGCATTCTGATCCAAATGAACGACCAAAATTATCGTTCATAAAAAAAGTTCTTCGATTAATATTAAACGAATTACCGCAGTCAAAACAAAACTATACAGATGAAATGGCCAATGATATTCAATATCGATGGCTACATACATATAAATTATTGAAAAAATATCTACCGCATAAACCACGTCCGGACGATCAAAAATCAATTAATCTCTATGAGGAACATCTAGCAGCAATGGAACGCATTATTAAGATTCAGCAAGATCTGTCTGAATTACAAGAACGAAAAGGAAAAATTGATGATTATGAACAAGTATTAAATGCAAATCAACAATTAGAAGAGACCATTAATGAATTACGATCAAAGATAGTTGATGCAAAAGGTAAATAATTTTTGTATACAGTGATAATACATGTGTTAAATGTTTTGTTTGAATCTATTTTTGTCCTCTTTGTTTTGTTTTTTTATTTTTATTATATATCTATTCTATTTTACTGTATAGTGTTTTTCTTTACCAAAGAAAAAAAAAAGAAATCGAGAAAGCTTCGTATATGGATCTTAAAAACTATAAACTATTGATTGTTCTTTTCCTTTCTTCTCTGTTTTAACGTGGTTATGGAAGAAAACAAAAGATTAAAATTAACAAGGTTCTTTTCTCTTACTTTCCTTTTTTGTTTTTTCTACTTTTATCCTTTCTAATTCAACGAATAATGGTTTGGGGGGGGTAAGATTGTTTATTTCAGAGATTCCAAAATGAAAACATTGTACAAGTATATTGGGTAAGATATTTTAAATGATATTTATAAGATATTTAACTATGAGCTTTTGTCTATTCAGATTGAAATTCAAAATGAAGGTTTTCTCTATCAAAAAATAAACTGTAAGTAATTTTATTACTATGGAGAAGTCCTAACGTTAAGCATGACTTCTACTTCGTTGAATACCATGCTGTTTTGATTCCACATTCAAATATTGTTCAATCGATGATTGAAAAAAGATTTGTAGATAAGAAAAACTCCAATAGAATAAATAGCGATGAAGGAATAATTTCGATGAGGATGATTGCATACTTACTAAAACAAAAAGCTGGAAAAAAAAACGTTGAATAGATATAGAAAATGAAATAAACTTGCCCACATAATTAATAATTCTCATAAGGCATAATGGATTTATTTAAAATACACCCTTATATATCGAGATATGATTAATATTCAAACGAGAAAAATAACCAACTGAATAAAATTTGTTTATCTATTTTAGCTTGTATTTACAACTACTGGTTATCTTTCGGTCAAATTGTTAATTTCATTTCAACTTATCGGTGTTCATATTTGTCAGTGAAATTTCAAGCTTCTTATTCATTTTTGTGCAAAAGACTGATCTGTTTTTCTTTTATTCTCGCGTAATTTTCATCAATATAGATTCAAGTCTATCATCTACATTTATGCTCTTCTGTGAGTATTCATCATTGATATAAATATGCATTTAACTAGATCGAGACGTGAAAAACTTGAGAACTAATGATGCAAATAATTCATTGCCAGATAATATTCTAAATAAGATTATTCTATTCTATCTGACGAGTATCGATCAAATAACAGAGAAAAAAAACATACTTTACTAATTATTATTTTTTTCTGTACTATGAAAATTTATTTCTAATTAAAAGATCTTCCGGAAAAATAGTAAACTTTAATGGTTCTATTTTATTTCTTGAGCACATTTTCTTTATAAATTCAGCGACTAATTCAAATTACATCAAAATATTAGAAAAAAAAAATAATGCTCGTGATGAAAAACAAACTTCCAACTGAATTGTTTTTATTCATATGCAACTTAGCCGCTAAGTTTATCCATCTATGCAAATGATAATACTAGAGTTCATTTTACATGATTTATACTGAAGCCTAGAGGCAAGTTTTGCTCATATCGATAAACATGCTCCTAAATATCGAGTACATTTTTGAATAGGATAAACACAATGCCTCGATATCTCGATGAGTGTTTTTATCTAGCGTGTGAGTGATGTCCTTCACGAGGAGAAAGTCTCGATAAAACAATGACCTTGAAAAAATTCGGCTAACCGCTGATGTGATTTAACGTCTAGTTTTCAACAAAATGAATTAATAAAATTTTGAATTAGGGTGTACACCTTTCTTCCGCTTTGTTTTACTGACTAAAAATGATCTTATTTTTTGAGACATTAAACAGACTTTGAACGACAAGATTGTCTATATAGAAAGGGCTAAATTCATATTTTCATCGAAAAAACTTAAGTTGTTTCTATTTTTCTTTAAATACGTCAATAAATCGACGTGCTTTTTTTGCTGTGAGAATTGACTGAAAACGAAATGTGTACTTGCTTTCGTTGAAACAAATTTTCTTCGGTAAAATTAACAACGTTTTGATAATACTGAGTGAACGAAACAATATGTTTCAAAACAACACAAAAACATACACCCGAAGTTAGTTTCGATTATCGTATGAAATATTCAATTTTATTTACACAGAAAAAATTAGACCATCTATGGTTCACATTTACCCTACATATCATGAACGAAAACTGTAAGCATAAGAAAAAAACTCGTTCGATCAAACCATGCTTAATAAGTTTGGGAGATACGGGAGATAACCATTTAATATAGCCTTCGAAAAACTCCCTCAAAGACAACGATGTATGTTCTGTTCCTGTGCGGATCAACATTATCAATTGAAATCAACTAAAATAAACTTGCTGCCAATTTGAATATTACATATAATAAGTTGCCATATAAAATATTTGATTTTTAGATTTTTCTAATTCATAATCAATTTGTTTTTTTTATTTCTCTCTTATTCAAGATAATATTTTTTTCTTATTTTGATTTGTCAATTTGTTCATCTTTCTAAAGGGAATAGTTGTATATTGGCCTAGAATTGAACTCATTTGAAATTATTTATTCGGGTGAATAAATGTAACTTTTTTTAAATCTTTTTTTTAAAATGCTTTGATTAATTCTAGTCATCCCCTATTCAAATCAAATAATTCATAAATAATGGCTGTAAAAGATGATTATCAAGATTTTAAAAATGCTCTAAATGATTTAAAAATAAATAGTAAACCATTAATCAATTTTTTAACAATACTTGCAGAAGAAAAAATACATAACGCACCGCAGATCGTACGTGCTATTGAAGAACGTATACTTGAAGTTCGTATTCATCGTTTATCGAAGATTTCAATATATTTTCTTTTCGATTTCAGACAAAAGGCGATTATGTTCTGCCTGTACTATATGTACTTGATTCCATAGTAAAAAATTTACGTTCAACAACTTATATACAATTGTTTGAAAATAAATTACCTGTTATTTTTGCAAGTGCTTTCAATAAGGTTTGTAATGAGAAAAATAAAATGCAGAACTTTTCATTTATTATCAATGATTAGGTTGATGAACGAACACGTTTAGCAATGTTTAAACTTCGTCAAACATGGCCACAATATTTTAGTGGTGGAACACTGCATAATCTCGATACTAGGACACATTATATTGATCCAGCTTGGCCAATAACAGCTCGGGTACCTGATCCATCTCCGTCTACACCTACTATTCATATCAATCCAGATTTCATTCAACGAGTATGTAGAATATGATGTGTTGTAGGAAAGTTTTATTGAAAAGATATTTGCACGATTTTGAAGTACGGATAAGTTAAAAGTTGTAATTTTCTATCAATATTTTGCATTCTTGTGAAAAGTAAGCTAAGAAGATTTTTCTCAAGTTTTGTTTGAGAACAAAGAAAATAATTTTTAAAGAATCTAAAAGTTATTTATAGCCGTACTTTGTTTTTCGAATTTTAATTATTATAATTCGAAAATAAAACTTGCAATCTTTGTTCATGTAACGCCTGTAGACAAGGAGCTAGACTACAAAATACCGCATCAAAAGCTCTTTCAACAAAACAATTTAATCTGCATGTTTTCCATGCTAAATATCACGTTTTGTAAAGAATCTTCTACTCCACCAATTTGTTATATGCTCAAAAAGTAAAACTTCTAGACTGAATGAAAATTTCTTGGCTCATCAATCTTCCACAGAATTAAAAACGCTATTGATATAAGATCATATTCACAAAGAGCCCAATTACTCATTATTTGACAGATAACAGTCTCTATTAAAAATTGATTTTTCTTCTCTTGTTCAAGAATAAACCAACGGCACCATTACCTGCCCATCAACCAAGACCACCGGCAAAACAAGAAGACAATGATCGAGCTGTAAAAAATTCTGATACATCATCGAGAGATGATGCATATCATATGATACCAATCGATCGAAAAGAACCAAATAGGCAAGAAATAGAACAAATGATCATTAAAGACAATGATGATGAGCAACAACAACAACAATCAAACAGAAAAAAAGAAAACGAAGGAAAATTTACTGCTAATAATAATAATCATGAGGCTTCACCGGAAGAAGTATCGAATAATAAATTATCTGCCGAGAAAACTGCTCCGGTTATGAATCATACTGCTCAAAATAATGAGTAAGCTTTACAAAAAAAACAAAAACAAATATGTTGTATATTTTGCCGGGAATTAACTTCATTTTTCTTTTTAATTTCTAGTGATGTGTTATTTGGTGGTGCTGATATAGATTATCGTGATACAGATGTAAATACACAACCAAAAGTAACAACAACAAGTCTTGATACAGATCGTTTGTTTGAATTAAATTCAAAATGTTTGTCATTGGCTGAGCAAAAGTTTAAATCAAAAGAACTTTCTTCAGAAGAATATCAAGCAACACTTAAATTACTTCAAAATATACTTCAAAATGAAGTTCAAAGACTTACTGTGCCATCAACGTTAGTAGTATTATATATTTGATTGTTTAGATAAGTAGAAGAAAACATATTATTAGAGTATAATTTTAAAATGAAGTTAATGCGATCATAAATAATCTCAACAGTGAATAAAAAGAAATTCATTGAACAAGTGTAATGCATTCATTGAAGTAATATTTCTAATTGAAACGTCTAACATAGAATATTTTCCATGACATATTTATTCATTTTACGACTACGAAAAGATAAAAAGGTAGACCCCGAAATTTTCGCCGTCAATAGAATCTTTGTGTTTGTTGAGAAGTGTTTGTGAAAATAAAACTTTTTATTACAATTCATACATGATAAAACAGAATTACAGAAAAAATTATTCACAATTATCTTTATCTTAATTTTTATTTCAGTACAACTCCATCATTAATCAATAATAGCACTCATTCAGTCGTAACGTCTCTAGCCAATACAATGCCATCGATTACATCGGCAGCATCGAATAATCCATTTCAACCATCTACTCTTCAGTTTTCGCAGCAGCCAACACCTCTTCAATTTCCTCAACAACATCCGTCAACAGCAACAACCTTATCGCTATCAGCATTTCCATTTGCTGGCTATGGCAATGATACTCAACGTCATGCAATGCAAATTTTAGCTGCTGTTGGTGCTCTATCGTCCTATGCACCAAATAATCCTCTTTTACCTTATATTCCACCATTACCTCCAGCTCCACCTCCATTTAATCTTGTTCCGAATAATTTTCCATCTCAAGTCCCATCGTCAACAGCGGGTCGTCTTAGTCCTTCAATAAAACGTCCACATGATGAAAATAGTAATAATCATTCTCATTCTGATGAAAAAAGTAAACGACCATGTTATGATGCATCAACAAATCATACAATACGCTCACATAATTTCGATGATGAAAGCATTGCATTAGTGCCATCACTTATTGATGCTAATATTAATACATTAAAAAAGTATGAAAATTTTTGTTTTCATCATAGAAGAATTTCTTTATCATAATTTCTTTATTATTCTATGAATAGGAAATATAGTGGTGTTATTCAACAATTATATTTTGGTAAATATCAATGTCGTTTATGTGGACTTCGTTTTACAGCTAAACAAAAACATTTATATACACATCATCTTGATTGGCACTATTGGGAAAATCGACAAGCGTCAACCCCAGCTGCACTATTAGACCGATGTAGAGATTGGTATCCATCTTTACAAGAATGGACTGTCTATGAAGAAAATATCGATGAACAAATACGAAATAGTCAATTGAAATTAACACAAAATCGTCAGCCTAAAGATACAAACAATAGAGCATCAGTATCATCGTTAGAATTTGTTTCTTGTCCAGCGCAAGCCAGTGGTGATACCAATGATGACGTATGTTTATAGCAGATTTTTTGTTCATTTGATAAGAGTATTTGATTGTATTTTTTTTGTAGCGTTGTTATGTTTGTCATGATCCATTTGAAAACTTCTTTGACGACAATCGAGAAGAATGGTGTTTAAAAGATGCTATGAGAGTTGATGGGAAAACTTATCATCCGATTTGTTATCAAGATGTTCAATATCAGGTAAAAACACATTTCTCATCCTCAAAAAGAGTTCGTAGTTTTGTCTCCGTTGTTGTGAATGTTCTGAAAATATCATAGCATTCGATCAAACTTTAGACTTGAATGAAGATTTTATTTTTAAAACTAATCTCGACGAGTACTACCTGCCTATGCTTAAAATGTACTCAGTTGCATACTAATTTCTTTATCTATAGCTCCACAATTACTCACTGTTAAAAATTCAACCTTTATACAGCCTATCAAAATATTCAAAATCTCAGTTACTTTTATTATTATGAGGTAGTATTTCATGATACTAAAAATACTTACTATCAGAAAATAGATCTTCTTTCCGACATGAAAGCATGTAATAGAAACTATGAGAGTAAAAAGAGAGTCCAATCTACAGGTATATTCTCACATTACCCATAACTATTTCCCGACAAGCAGTATAACCTTTATGAATTTTTTGTTGCTTTTTTTTATAAATAGGAAACACATGAGAACCGATTAGTATCATCTATTAATGATCGCTTTCCATTAAATGAACACATTACAGATGAAACTAGTAATAACTCGACAGATTCTCAAGTTTTTGACAATGCAATGGCTACTGTTGCTATTAAATCAGAAAATGACAACAAAATTATTAAAGATTTATTATCATCATTATCATCTGAAGACGAAGAAGAAGAAGATTCAACGAAACCGAAATATCTTTCATCGATGTCATTTGTTAGTCTTGTTGACACGATATTTGTTAAAAAAGAAGATCTTAAACCAATAGAAAATATTGAACCAGTAACAATTAATGTTAAAGAAGAACCATTAGATACAACAACAATGTCGGAAGAAATCCCATTTCTATCAATAACTTGAAAATGAACGTGAATTTTTAATTAATAAGAATTCAAATGGAATATGAACGGTTTCAGATTGAAATTTTCTTCATTTCTCCTTCGATTTCTACGAGTTTATTTTCGCCTATAATGTATGTGTGTTTCTTCATGTGCTCTTATTTTTAAAATTGTGCGTGGTATTTGTACGTACATAAGACTCAAAAATAAAGAATATATATGTATAAAAACAAAATAAAATGCGTATTGATTGAATGATAGTCACAAGAAGAATTTTTCCACAATGAATACTACTGAATATTGTTATAGGATATGTTTAAAAAATCTGAAAAAATATTTCCAATTTTATATCACGATGCTAAAGAATTAAGCGACGAGAAAACGTATGTGATGTACTACGATCTCAATATAGAATTAGTGAATCATGAATGTTTGCATGATCATGTATCAAGTTTTAGTTGTCCTTCTACAATTATTCAAAAAAGAATTGTCCGTATTGAATGCATGTTTCGAGTCTATTTTTAAATGTTCCAGTGCGTTTAAACTGAAAAAACCTTCAGTGAAATGTGTTCTTGTCTTACAATGAGTATACCAATTGATTTATACTAGAATTGTACACATGCAACGATGTGAACAGGAATCGTTCAATCTAGTATATTTATTAGCTAGGTATCTTTTCGATCATCCTCTATCGGAATTAATCAGGATTGGTGCGCGTTCCATAATTGACGGAGGCTCGTTTATTGTGGTGTCGATTTAACTACTTAGTATACAGCATTTGTTTGTCTCGTTCTATAATCATATCAATATTGTTAGACTGATTTCAATTCTATTCACCAAGAATATAGAAGATTAATTTCGCTTAGGTAATGTTGGTTTATTCTTCAAATTTTATTTGATGATATATATTAGTGCAGTGTTACAGTTTCCTTTTCTATTCTATCTGTGAAATCGCTTCTAGAAAAGAAAAGAATACATTTTTTTAATGCATATGAAAACATCGAAAAATGTATGTCGAAAAGTAAATGTTCACCTTTCAAATTTAAAAAAACTTATGATTTGAATCAGTATGAACCTTGGCTTTGTAATTCTTAGCGTTACAGATCCAATATATCTTCGACGATGTTTATTTATTGAATTTGTAAAACACAACATTCCGAATCAGTTGTCAGTAACTTTTGTTGAAATCAAGAAAAAAATCAAGAAAAACTTGTATCACTGGACATTATAGGGTCGAAAGAATTAAGTGCTGAAACTCCAAAAGTGCGTACTGGCATATCTAAAAGCAAAACCAAACATATAGAAGGCCGTAGAGCAATGCTGTCTGTTCTTTTGTAATTCCTATTTGTGCTATATTGTAGAATGTTCGTTCACAAAATTACTTATTGAGGAAAAATAGAAAATAAAACAAAATCAATATTGTTTAATGATGATATCTAACAATTTTCGATACGTTCGACATTTGTTTTTCGACATCTCGTTGTCGACATTTTCAATGCATACCAGATTACTATTAGTAATAAAAGATTTGTTTGATGTAAAACTTAATCTACAGAACGTGTTAATACAAAGCGCTTGTTGATGTATGTAGACATAACATGAGCTGTTTTATAGAAATTGATAAGCTCTATTTTGTTGATAGATTGACTCATTAATACTTTGTCGCTCCGAGTAATCTTTATTCGTTAAGACTTTCACAAAAATATTTCTTTTCTATCATAGTGTTTTAATCTTTTGTAAATATGGTTAATTTCAGCTCTATTTTGTTGATAGATTGACTCATTAATACTTTGTCGCTCCGAGTAATCTTTATTCGTTAAGACTTTCACAAAAATATTTCTTTTCTATCATAGTGTTTTATTCTTCTGAAAATATGGTGAATGTCAGCCATATGTTTGTTTTTAGAGTAAAATTAATTTTTATTTATAAACTACTGCGTCTGGGTCTTAGTCGAGTTTTACATAACTGTGAAGGAATATTTTTTTTTCGTCTCTAGCACATGCGGACCTATTGTCTAGACATTAGATTCACTATATACATTCTCTCCTGTGTACCATTAAATAGAGTGCATTTTATGGTACCTGTGATGTTGTTAGGAACGATTAAAACAGTGACTCGTCAGTGAAAATAAGGCACCAATGCATTTGGTATGTGTGTACATGAAAGTTGTTAGTAACAATTGTTTGTATAGTAACTTTTTAGTTTGAAAGTTAATAGCGTGCCTGTTTGTTTCTATAGTTCTGTAGACAATCGAATGTATTGAAGTCACTGACAACAAAACTTAGATTATTGTTATGAAAATATTTCGGTAGACTCATTCCGTATGATAATTAATGTTGCTAATAATTTCATGTGTGAATAATATTAAGAATATTATCTGCCATTGAAGCCAGCATAATCCTAACGATTGATAAGTGGGTATAGTAGAAAAATGGGGAAGTGAGTAGTTTTTTCAAACTGATTTATGACGAAAATATACTTCCTTCAGCCATGACATTCATACGGAATCCTATTCAATAATATGTTTGACTACTGCATATTTATTTGTTAGTCGCATATTTGCTCTACTACCACATTTTGATTTAATCAGAATTTCTCATGAGAAATATTTGCATATGAATATTTATGTATTCGTTTAATCGTCCTATATCTTGATTAGTATAAAATTCTTGAAATTTATTCAGAAATTATATAAAATAAGATCATGTAATCTCACAGAAATAACATTCCAATGAGAAGACACTATGATCTTTGTGTAATTGTTTTTTTTTGTGTACTCAAAAAGTGGTGAGTACACTAGATTTGGTCAGTGTGTCCGGTCGTTAACACGATAACTCTGGTAAGTCTCATTCAATTATTTTCATTAAAAACATATTTCAAAGCTAAGAACTCAAAATGTAAGAAATCATGTAGCATAGATATCGATTGAAAGACCATATTCTAAATAATATGATCATAAAGATTAAGATAATTAAGTCACACTTCTTTGTTCTCGTACACTACCGCGATATTGATTATCATCATATATGTGTCTCTTCGTATACAATTATGTTCAATAGGATATGGTGAGAAAATAGGTTGTGTTTATCATAAAATGTTATCAGTTAAGCCAAATCGTGCGAAACCCAAATATGTCTGTATCTATTCAATACCCTATAGTAATTAACGACGCAAGGTTATTATTGTATTTGAATACTAACCAACCACAACGAAGGTCTTGTATGATTTCTGTATGCGTGCGAAGACAGCGAATAAACATTCTTTTGTTTGTAAATCATCGTATTTCTTCATGCACAGTAGGACAACATACGATTGTGACTACTCACCCATGTATATCGTCCTATGCGTTCGTAGTCATAGTGCATTCTTATTAATAATGGTCATGAAATGTTGTCCTAGCGAAAGGTGAAATATAATGCATGTGTGTGTGTGTGTGCGTTGAACAGGCGATATACGATATTTTTTGCGGTCATGCATACATACTGTCTTGTTTGACTTGAATTAAAGTTGACATACGAGCAGCGATGACTATTTAATTCACGGCCAATAGGGGTTGTGGGACATTTCAAACTAGAGTTTGCCTATTTCTACGTTGTCTTTACGAGTATATGTATAATTAATTATTTTTGTTTTTTTTATCGTTTTTTGTTTGTTTTAGTAATTGATTTCATTAGAAAAAATAGATCAGCACTAGATAATTGATGTAACTACCTTTCTAGATTAGTATTATAAATTTTCTTGTCCAAAATAAGGAACTATCACTGAATAAAAGAAAATCTTGATCATATTTTATTGCCTTCAAATGATAAAGACCGTAAACATTCTTTCAGTGAATATAATTATTGAATAAAATCTCTTTAGTCTGTTTTTTTTTCATTGATTATTTGTCTGACATTCATCATTCATTGATACAAGGGAAAAACTACTAATATTTTAGTTATATACTGATAACGATACTTCAACGAGTAGATTATCAGACACATATTTCTAAATATAAACTTGTTTTTTCTATCATCTATTGTAAAGAAAAATTCTTATTCTTTTCTGCTTTTGCTAATCTTATCATAATAATAATCTGACTACTCTTGTTTCTTCATTATATCTCATGCATAGGCAATTTTTTTTATATGAAGAACATAGCATCGTTCGAATAATTCATTCGAGCAAGAATGCATTCTAGGATAGGTCACTGGAATTAAAGTTGATAATAACGAATACTTGAGCAGTTTTGATAAAAATAAAATTTGAATGTTATTCTTTCATTCGCGTGTTAAGAATAAGAGAGCATAGAATGAAAATAGTTACTACAGATTACTTTACATACTTTTAATAACATTCGTGCACTCATTCATGTAGTTGATTTCCTACATTTTTCTTTTGATGAATATGTATACGAGCGTGTCGTTTTGTAACCATAAACCACCTTGAGAATAAAAAATATGAATGAAAAGGATGACGCAATCAGACTATACTAATGAAGATTGTTGATGTCGTTGCATCATTCTATCCAGTGCCTAACCAAAAAAAGACACTTGAGTATAAAATGTATCGACGCGTCTATTTTTAGTTTACATTTATTCTAGATTTCAGCTCTGTCATGACGAAAACTAAAGAGGGCTACACCGTTAATGGTACTGAAGCAAAAGGTAAGAAGAAAAAGAATTAAAATTAAACAATATCAATATTTTGTTTTTTTGAACATTAGCTCCATTATTCTGCTCATTTCGTTTGCTATTGGCCTTTCTCGCATTTCTTGGTTTTTTTCTTTGCTATGCTCAACGCAATGGACTTTCGTATGATTTTATAATTAGAATATTGAATGAAATTTCAATTTTACTCATTTATTTTAGCGTAAGCATTGTCTGCATGGTTGATCCAAGTGCTGATAATTTGACTTCATCAGACAGCAACACGGATCCTGTAATTAGTCGTAATATTCCAGAATCATGTAAAAAACATACTGACCAAAACGATCGAACTGTGCGAATAATTCCTGTTTTTCTTTTAATTCATTGTTATAATCGCCATTTTATATCTAATAGGAAAGTCAAGTTCTGTTTTGGCCAAAAACAACACGCGGTACTATTCTAGGCTCGTTCTATTGGGGTTATGCTTTAACACAAATACCATCATCTGTTGCGGTTAATATACTTGGACCGAAACGCTTTCTTGCTATACTAATATTAGTATCATCAGCAGCTACGTTACTCGTACCACTTGTCTCAAATTTACATCCAGCTGCTGTTATTCTATTGAGAATTGTGGCTGGTGCCGCTCAGGTATGTATAAACATAATATACATTGAGATAAAAACTTCTAATATATGAGTTGTTTTTAGTAAAAATCAATATCATTCTTTGCTCTATATTTCTTTCTATTGACGTTTATATCCTGATATAATCATTCTGTTTTTGAATTTTTCAAGGGTGGTCTTTGGCCAACAATATTTCGTTTTTGGGCTACATGGGCTCCAGCATCGGAACGAACAACTCTCCTCTCATTTCCAAGTTCTGGTAAAGTTTTTCAATAAAACATCATTTAACCACATTCAACAAAACATTTCCATTCTCTTAGGACCATCAATGGGTACTATTGTTTCGTACATGATGGGTGGGTTTTTCTGTGAGTTTTCATTCAGCTCTGCAATGCCGTTCATATTGAGATTTGGTTGGACATACTTCTTCTATGTTCTCGGTAAACAGACTTGAATAATTTAAATATTCAAATAATTCATATACTAATTTAGGTGGTCTTGGCATACTTTGGTCAATATTTTGGCTTTTTCTTGCAAGTGATACACCAGTATTAAATAAACATATATCTGACAACGAAAGAGACTATATTCAAGCATGTAAAGCCGCCGAAAAAATTCAAGATACACGAACAGTAAGAGAAAAAGAAAATTCTATTGCACATAGGTTTAGTATGCATATTCATTTTTAGAAAACACCATGGGTACCGATGTTACGATCACAAGGCTTTTGGTGTATTGTTGTATCAATGTTTTTCTGTGATTTTGGTCTCTATGGTCTGTTTCGATTTGCTATATGAAAGAAGGAGACCATTGCTGGTTTATTTATTTTCATAGCTATTTGGACTGTTATACCACAATATATGGATGAAGTATTGTTATTTACAAACAAAGAAAATGGTATTTATTCAGCATTACCACAAATCGGTAGTTTTATTGTTGTTATGTTATCTGGCGGTTTAGCAGATTTGATAATTAAAAAGAAATATTTAAAACGTGTTAATACAAGAAAATTATTTCATGGTGTTGGAACATTAGCACCGGCAATATGTCTTTTATTAATGTCATTTCTTGATTGTGAAAGTCGCCGTTTAGCGGTTACTCTCTTATTTGTTGGCGTTGCCTTAAAGTAAGTTTCTATCCAAGAGAAGTTCGAGTAAATTTTCGGTGTACTCATGTGTAGTTTAATAGAGCTTGACAAATTAATCACTTTTTTGACTGTGAAAACTTAAATCTCTGAAAAACTATTCGAGAAATTCTTATAGAATTAAAAGCAAGTGAAACATGACAGAACTGATATCGTTCACGACACACGCACACAGATTGTTTCATTCTACTTATTAATTTTTTTGTCCCGCAATACAATAATCAGTTAGCTCACACATAGCAATGAGACATTGACAAATGATGCATGGAGGCTCGTGAGTATGGTCTACTACTGTCTTTGATTAACTTCGAGTTATGATCTTCGAGGAAGAGCGAGGTTAACATTTTCCATCGATCATGTTTCACAATGAAATGCTCTTGTCAATAATGAATTCATTTTTCTAGCAGAAACTTGCAAGCTTTAATAAATTTATTTTCTCGAATTTGATGACAATATTGTACTCTGATTCAATGTTTTCCATCGAATATAAAATGTTAGTTTTGATTCAAAGTAATAAATTTAAGAAAATCTGCTTCAATATACGTAGCTGCTGTAATCTCCATAGTATATATTTATGATAATTACTTTTAATCTATCTAGTTGCTTGTAACCATAAATACAAGTACGTGACTTGTCGCATTCACACTGTTTGTTCGTGAGCCATCAAGATACTTATTTAGTATTATCAAAAAAAGAAATAAAAAAATGCTACGTATTTAGCGTCATCTGTGATCATTATCAATGTAAAGAACAAAGCCAATATCATACTCCTAGAATCTTGCCGAAACTAATGAGAAATTTTCTAAGGATAGCAGATGTCTACGCCAGCGGAAACCGTTTCATTAAAATATATATAGTATAATTCAGCTCTTGACTATGATTCTGCACATGTTACCATAATTTTGAAGCGATTAAAATGAAAATCAATTCATAATTTCTTACTGTTTTATTTGAGCCTTTTATAATATTTTCAGTCAAATCTTGACTTGAATCAAATTAAAACTGTATCTGTGTGATTAGTTTCTCAAGCTCTACGAATTCACATCCAGATGAGAGAGACCGATAAAAGTTGACTCGGTCTTCACGTTAACGGTAGCCTTAGAAACTTTAAATTACTATTGTATCATTTTTTCAAAAAATGAATCTTTTAGCGGTTTTATGATGTCTGGTGGTTATGTTGTTAATGTTGGCGATTTCAGTGGTGTTCATTCAGGCGTTGTGTTTGGTGTTTGCAATACGATTTGTAAGCAATAATAGTTAATCATTAGAATCAATAAAATCAACTGTTTTATTTTAGCTAGTATTGGTGGCTTCTGTGCACCGTACATCACAGGTTTCATTACAAAAAATGTTTGTATTCAAGAAAAAAACAAGATAATGAGCCATTTTTATAATTGTGTCTTTTTGTAATTTAGAAAACAGCAGGTGAATGGAAACTTGCATTGATGTTATATGCTGCATCATTTCTTATATCGGCTGTCGCATTTTCACTCTTAGCTCGTGGAGAAACTGAACCATGGGCACGAGATGATGTTCACGACGAAAAAATCAATTACGATGTTGATGCTAACAAAGAATTAATGGAAATCAAGGCATCTACCGTTGTACCACAAAGCCAAGTTGCTTAATTGGACAAAACAAGGACTTTATAATTCGTAGTTTACACTGTTTCTTTTCCTTCTGTACTTGTTGTCAGATAAAATGCTAATCTATCTTGTTTTTTTCTTTCTATCTCTGGTATTACGATCTGATTTTATTTTATTCATTTTCTTGTCCTGCATCTCTCGCGCTTTTTAATAGCACAAAACATGAACAAAAGTGAAATAAAATATGATCGAGCATTTTATCAAAAAAAATTATAAATTTTTCAAAGAGCAAAAATAAAAAATTCGAATAATGAGTTGAAGACTCAAATCGATTTGCTTGAAATATGCTAATTAAATGAGCTAGAAGTATCACAATATTAACAAGCGTTCTATGTCGAATAATATGATTATGAAATTTCATCCTTCAACGGACGCAATGATTTCAACAATAATTCGATGAATTTTTTTCGCTCAATCGTGAAGCCCACAATAAGGAATTGGGTTCTTATGTATATCATTCTACTTCAACCTCATGTCTCTTTCGTTTTACTTTTGCTTCAACAAAACCTTCCGATGTTTTGAAAATTGAAATCGATTCTACTTTGTCTTGATGCGGATATTTTTTCTTAGTTTCATGTAATAATATGAATAGGTGTTTGATAGGCATCGATGATTTAAAAAAAGTTATAAACATGAGCTTTTAGACGAATTTAATCAAGTCATTACCAACTCAATCTACCGACTACTAAACTCTTTTTTCATTCGAGCCAAATTTCCTCCTATTAGTCATGGAGTAGCACTCAAACTCTTTTGTCAAAAGCTTCTTAGGACAGTCCATTCATGGCTTTAATATGGAAATCACGTCTTATTCAGCTTTATTCTACTAATAATCTAACCGAATTGAAAAACTCTTCAACAGAAGCGTATGGCTTTACCATAATAACTGATTGTCAAAGAACACTGTTGTATTTATCTTTTTTTTATTTTAAACAGATTCTTTTTCTTATTGCTATATGCTCGTTATGTTTTATAACTTATTACTATGACTCTATTTATCACTAATTGAACCGACAAATAAATTTTCTGCAGATCAACACTATATCTGCAGCAGTTCTAAGTATGCTATCCTCTATTTCAATGGTCCAAGAAAAATATTAATATGAAGTATTACAAAAAATTTAGAATCTAAGAAGTATAACAAAACAAATATGTCACCATCAAGATGAACTTTACAATAGTCTGAGCGTTCTTGCAAATAATATTTAATGCGTTAATCTATTTCTAAGCTGTACAGTGATGCATCATTCAGGCGATTGTTGTCTTTGGTTTCTATGAAAACTGAGATCATTTGAATCTTGATTTAGATTTAGAATTTTTATTCGAAGAATACAATGTGAGTTATCGTTTTAAACAAACTACTGAGTTCTTGATAAATAAATAGACGTCTTTTTAGTTCAAACAAACAAAACAAAAAGGCGCATTGAAAGGAAAATATATCGTGCACTCTTTCTAGCTCGGAAATATAGTTAAGCCACAGGATGTAATCAATTATTTTTTATGAAATTCAAATATGATGCATGTAGATCATATATATATATATGTATATCCTTGAAAGCTAATAAGCACGATGATTGTTCTTCAAAGAAAGCATCTTATACAACTAATCCCTCATTTTAGAATCTAAACGTAGTCGAAATCATTAAAAAAAGAATCCATGTATCGTAAATATGATGCTGCTCTTTGAAAAAGAAAAGAAAAAAAACAAAACTGACAACAGCAATTAACAACAACGAACGCACAAAAGAAAACAAATTCAGAAAAGTTAATACGTGTATATTTGTATTATATAAAGATCTATTTACAAAAGTCATTTATGATTATTTCATTTTGTCAAGACTGATTATACTAATCGGACAATATTATCTGCACATAATTAGAAAAAAAAACACAGCAAAGTCATTCCTGAGAAACCAGTTATTTCAAACGTGGAGCTGATCTATCTCTATTCAACGACGTTTTACGCAATTTAAAACCACGCTGAATTTCTTCGAGTAACGATGAAGGAGCTGTTGTTGTTGTTGTTGTCGTTATTCTTGTTGTCACCGTTGGTGATGATGACTGTTTCAAAGTATCATTAAGTAGAAATTCTGGTGGTGGTGGAAAGTCATCATCGGTAGTATGTGATTGTGCAACAATGGTTGTCATTGTTTTAGTTACTGTTGTCATCTTTTGCTGTTGTGAATTGATCTGATTAGCTTGATTGGCTATTTCTTCAGCACGTTTTAAACGAGCTTTAAGACGTGATTGTAATTCCATATAACCATTACTTAATTGTTGCTGTTGTTGATGGCAAGTAGTATTCATTGATGGTGTACGACGTATTGGTGGTGGTGGCGGTTTTTCATTTTGATTTAAAGCTATTGACATACCACGACGTAGTGTTTCATTTTTTGGTTGTGGTGGATTGGATGAATGAATACCTTAAATATTAATTATTTAAATAAAAATATATTAAAAAACACAAGAGATGATTACATACTTTTTGTTAAATAATCATACACTATAAAGAAAACAGAATGACTTATTAAATGAAAAAATCTTTTCAAGACAATTAACTTACTTTCATCGAGAGTTTCATCGGCTGATTCAAATGATGGCTTACCATAATAGGTTCCATATTGTGATGCAGAACTACCACCATTTTGACGTTGTCGTTCACGCCAAACTATTGTGCGTGCATCAGGTGTCTGAGTAGAAGAAAATGAGTTTAAGGATTTAATTATAATAAATGAAGAATTTCTTTTCTTACGATTGCTTCAGATGGTAATGTAGAACTGCGTAAGCGTTTATTAGTATCTTCTAAACAAATAAAGTCATTTTTATTTCACCAATCATGTAAATAAAGGACAACATTTCACTTCGTATTGTAAGAAAGCTACTATTTATAAACATCTCTCGTGATAACTAACTGAATTAATGTTGGAGTCAGCTAAGAATAACTCTCATGTAGATGCACCTTATAAATTTGATTATAATTGTCTTAAATGTAAGGAAAAAGATGTCTCTAATGCTAAAGAAATACGTCTATCCTTCGTTAGATTTGTAGTCATAGCAATTATATCAAGGAAGGAAGAGTATTTTGACCTTCAAACTACCTTCCGTTATATGATATTGCCTGTTAACATATTCGGTAGTCCCATTATGTTTTCTACAATTAATATCATCAGTACCTGTGGATAGGAAGTCAATTTGATAAAGAATCTTTGCATAGTTCATATATAAGAATATGTCTAATATGTAAAAATGTAAAAATGTAATCAGAAGTACGATGGAATGATTGATCCAAGACGTACAATAGCTTGTCTACAACCTTTTCCGTACAGTATATAATCGGTATTTATTATTGAACGACATAGTCGCTCAACAACTACACTTTCTAGAGCTCACATAACAAGATTTCTATACTAATTATGTAAAAATATTTTTATAGTAAAGATTGATAATTTAATTTAAAAAAAATGATTTAATCTACCTGGACTAAGTCGATTTCCAATTGTACCATAATAATCTGGTGGTACAGTTGGTGGTTGTGTAGGTTTAGCACGTCCATTAGAAATATTGCTTAACGTTGATTGATAATGTTGTTCGCGCATAGGCAAATATCTTTCTAAACTAAGATCACGTATACGACAACGACGAGATGGTACTGAATGTTGACGAGATAGAGCACCGTAAAGACCATCGTCAGATATCTATACAATATCAATAAACTCTTGAAATTTATTCTAATGCTATATTAAAAATACAGACTGTTGTAGTTCGATGATTTGTTTCTTCATAGATCTGCCAATTTGGTTTTTCAAATAGACTAGGTGATGGTGGATCAAATGTATGTGCTGTTATAGCTGGCCGACAATTTTTTACTGGTTCAGGTGCACCGGTTACTGTTGCCGGATGTTTACAATTCGAAGAGATTTCAGGGCGTTTTGCCCAAGCATTTAATGTTGAACAAACAACTAGTAATGGACTAGAACTACCATCAACTTCACGCTATACAAAAGAAAAATATATATTTCGGTTTATAATCAAAGTTATTTTCAAAAACCATTATAATTTACCTCTGCCTCTTCAAGTGGTGATGGCGGACGAGCGAAAAACTGTTCTTGAGATGTAAAACCAGAATCTTGAGATGATACACTTGATAAACGACTCACAGCAACATTAGACTAATAGATACAAAAAATATATAGATAAGTTACTTTATTTTATATGATTCAATTGCATGTTCTTACAGGTATGGATGATGATCGATTATTATTATTATTATTATTGTTATTATTCAAATGACTAAATTGATGTTGAATTGATATAGGCATTTGTGATTGTTGTTGTTGTTGTTGTTGTTGTTGTTGTTGTTGTAGTGGTTGTTGCGTTAGACTTTGTTTATGAGTTGGACTACGTGAATTATTTGTTGAATTTGATGATGAACTACTAATACTATTTATTGAACAAACACTTGATTTGCGTGAACTCAATGAGCCAGGTGACGATGGTGGGGTCTAGATCATTTAAAATTATAGATAAACTCAACAATAAAAAACAAATGATAGTACTTTAAATGCAACAATTGTACTGTAATCAATGCCTTTAATATCTTTAATAACTTGTTCGCTGGCTGTTGGTAATGTATGTGGATCAGTTGTATGTTTAGCTAAATATTGTACAAGATCTTCGATATGACTCATTTCAGATGCAAGTGAAATTTCAAGTTCCTATTAAAAAAAAGATGAGATATTTTTTACTTTAACGAAAAGTCAAGAAAGAAAAAGAGCAAAATTTCCGCAAGGAAATGACTTTGAATCGAGTCCAAAAAACATTCTTTCAAGTTTTTTCAGAATTCTATTTATATCCGGTCACCGGATATACTAATTTTGCTTTATTCTATTTACCATAACAGGTTTTAGTAAAGTAAATAATGTACAAAAACGACTTCGTTCTTCAATCATTGCTGAACGTAATGCTTGTTTTTCACGTTCTTCTAACATGCCATAATAATTTGATACTTCTTGTATTGCTGAATTAAGTTTATTATGTAATGCATCATGTTTTGGTACTAGAAGATAAATATTTGAAGAGAAAAATGATCTATTTATTTGCTAATCAATAAAAAAAAGTATTTTTACATTTGCGACATTTTTTTTGTAGTTTTGCTGTTTCTGTTGCTTTTTTACGCAGTTCATTGCGTAATTTTTTGTAATCTACATTTAATATAGATAGTACAAAAGAGATGAAAAGACTGAACAGAAATTTAATTAATAAATATATACCTTTGAGACCCTTTGCATGATCTTTATCTAATGTATTTGCTGATTTTTTCCATTCTTCAATACGTTCACTTAGTGGCTGAATAAATGTTTCCACCAATGAACTTGTAAAGCATTTTAATTTTTGTTCAATAGATTTATGACGTAAAATTAAACGTGTCAACGCAGTGCCAATTTCTCGTGTTGCACCTTTTGTATTTGTTGCTAAATCAGCGATACGTTGAAAAGCATCAAGAAATAGGCTGAAAGTAATTATTGTAGATCTAAACAAAAAAAGAAAAGACAATTGATATTTGACTTCGTCTTTGTCTTTGTCGTTTTCTCTTTTTTGATGAATGAGCATATATGTGTGAAAATAATAGTAATGATTGATCAAGTCACTTTCATCATATCATAAATTGTAAATAAAACAACGAGAAGAAATAAACTGACATTTCGTTAAACTATGAAATATACATTAAGAATTGTATACTCGAACTTGTGGTGTATATATTAATAATGAAAAAGATAAGACAAAATTAGTATGTAAATGTCACAATGATTATTTTCTCATACTCACGTTTGTCTACCTGACGTGTCAGCTAAGCTGAAAGACATACGTATAATACAGCGATCGAATTTATAATTTCTTTTCATTTATATTGACTAAAGCCATCGAGTTCGATAGTATTATTGAGCCGCATCGGCATCAGTTCAAGTGCTAATTATTTGAAAAGAAAATATTGTGACAGTTCTCCTCATCTTTTTCTCCATAGTAGCTGTTCATCAAATATTACATCTTTTGCGTGAGTCTGTATCATTTCATTATCGACAGCATCCATCAATGAAGGAATATATATATATATATACAAGACAGAGCATCGTCTATGATATAGACAAAAAAAAAGGAATCAACTCTTCAGAGGTTATTCCAATGGCATTTCTCTCAAACGATTTTCCTGTTGATTCGATCAGGCGAACGCGATGCATGTCTCGTGCATAGTTATACTCATTTTTTACTAAATAGTATTACTTGAACGCAATTTTCAAGGTTGATGAAACACAATTATAAGAAAGAGACTTACTTGAGTTGGATATGCATTTTGTTTGCCTTCGATGCCAAATCTTCCCATAACGATGAACTGTTCTAGAAATAGTAACAAGAAGAAAAGTTACATTTCTTTTCCACTTTTCTCTGTTGTAATGACATGTGAAAAAAAGTCAGATGACTATTAGAGTAATTCGATCGGCCTTCTTCTTTTTACGATAGTTTACCAATAATCACTTTAGATGTTTGCATTAGAGCTTGAAAAATCATTTTAACTTAAGATGCAGTAGTTCATCGTAAATGAAGAAGATGAAGATGAAGATGAAGATGATGAAATCCTTGGCATTTGAAGGCTTCTATACTTGTGTGTTCGATGAAACAGATGTGATATTTTTAGGATTTTCTTTTTTCTTATCTGATGAATATATGAATTAGAACTTATGATACATTGTTACTAACCTTCATTTCATTGACAATTCCTTGAAATAATGTGCCCAGTACGGCACATTCTTTTTCTGCATTTTCAATAAGATTCATCTTGTTTTCTTTTAATGTAGTAATAAATTGAAGTTTGCAATTAAGAATAAAAGAGAAAATCTACTCGTCATATATTAATCACAGATCATTATATGGACTGTGTCTATATTTATTAGTAAATTGTCGCGACAATAAAATATATTATTTAATTGATAATTGATGATTACTGTTGCCAATGGATAAAACGAAATGATATTATTGTGACATACTTATTTTATTTTAATTGACCAATTCAAAATATTTGCTCATAGCGTATGTTTAACGAAAAGAGACAATGTCATTATCAATTGTCGACTAAAGAATGTTGTTGTTATTATTTATGTTGCTGTTGTTCGATGTTTCACTTAAGACTATTTGGATCGTAAACCGCAGCTTGTTCGTGTTATTTGTTGTCGGAGGAGAAGCAATAGATGGAGCGGTGATGTTCTCTATGCACACGTCGGTCGATCTCTCTTTCTACTTCTCTTCTTTAACCACTACCATGAAACTTTTTTCCTCTCTTTCAGCATATTCTCTCGCGTTCATCTAGCACACATACATGTACGTCTCGTCGACAGCGACGGTCGACGGCGGGATTTTCCTCTTTTATTCTCTTTTCATATGTCAAGAGAAAAACGAGGGAGGAGGAGAAGAAAGAAAAAGCACAGCAGAAGAGCGTTGTTCATCAACGTTCGTCTCTTTCTCGATTGGTCAAAGGCACCACTAACTCTTTCTCCTGACCGACACTCAGCGTTCGATAATAGTTCCACTAGTACTAAACAAAAATATCCGTAAACTTTTGTATACAAAGGGATGCTCTTCTACACACACACACACACATACACATTCTCTCTCAGTGTGTTGATGGGTAAAAATCCATTAATGATGAGAGTGAGAAAGCAACTGTTGACAACAAAAGAAATGATTTTTGAGTAATTATTTCATAGTCACTAAACTCATTAGACATGCAAGGTTTATTTTTCTTCTTGACTTATTCAATGGTGAATTGTAAACGTGACTTTTTATATTATTTGTTCGCAAAATTCAATATTTGGAAGTGAATGATTTATTCACTTTTTGAATGTGATTCAATTCGATTTATTTTATATTAGTTTACTTGAGATTCGATCACAGATATCTAATTGATCGAAAAACTATATGTCCATGTGTGCTTCACTAAGCAATTGTAGCCTGCTAGAGTGACATTATTAGCCTTTGGGGTGAGGGAAGTATGGCGCTTGTATTCACTCCAGCATCTCTCGTAAAATCTTTATAATATAATGAATGAAAATGGAACTATTATGCAACAATCATACAATATATATATATATATATATATATATATATACATTGAACATAAGATAAGCAGTATCTTGTAATAGACACAATGGGAAATATATTTGATGTGTCTCTGTTGTCCATTGAAAAAGAAAGAAAGAAAGAAAGACATAAAGAATCTGATTCATTTTTGATATAGAACTTCTGTTTGTTAATGAACAATAAGATAATAGAGAAATTAACTTCGCAATAGACATATTTACATTATTGAACATTGCAGATAGAAAGAAATTATATTATGTTCTTTTTTGATGATGTGACTGCAAGAACTAAACTGTAGAAATACGACATCTGTATTATTTATTATAGTGATTCGTCTATTGTTACTAATCAATAAAATTGTAGTTCAAATTCCAATATCATATATTTATTTAACCGTACCCATAAATAGATAAAATTGACTAGTTGAATTGTGCATCCGCTTGTTTAGATACATAGAAACAGGTTCTAATGGCTTTACGCTGTTCATTTCAACAAGGTAGATGTATATTTTTATTATATTTTACGTCAATTACTAAAACAGACTTGTATACTTAACTACAGGTTTCATTCATTTACGTAACCATAATACCCATATTCTTCGTTCGTCCGTAACAAATGGATTAGCTTCCACAACTCAGAATCCAGGGCAATTAGGTGCTCAACAACAACGAACGTTAGCCACTGCCAATGATACAACTTCATCGAGCAAAACAAGTAAATCAAAGAGAAATAGCATAGACGCGTAAAACTAGTTTTTTTTTATTTCATTTTATAGAATCTACGAAAGGCATTGGTCGTGAAGTTGTATTTATTGATGGCGTTCGTACACCATTCTTACAGAGTTTTACTGCCTATAAAGATTTGATGGGTTATCAATTAGCTCGACATGCTCTTCTGTAAGGTTTTTGTTTTCTATTCTTATTAGAACGAAAATTAATTTAGTGGCCTCCTGAAACGAACAAATATCGATAAATCCGTGCCAGACTATTGTGTTATGGGTACAGTTATTCAAGAAGTTAGAACCTCGAATATTGCTCGAGAAGTATTAAAATTTATTATTAAAATTCTTAATTCACTGATGATATTCTTTTTTTTGCTAATAGGCTTTACTTAGCGCTGGCTTGTCAAATAAAATTCCTGCACATACAGTTACAATGGCGTGTATCTCATCAAATGTTGCTATGGCCACAGGTATTTAATAGAACATGATGAAATAGCTATACATATAATTAGAAGAAAGTTCTATAAATATAGATAAAATCTAAGTACTATATTTTAAAATTGATTTAAGAATCATTTGATTTTCATTCAATTGCCAAAGTTTTCCCTATATCTGTTCTTATGGATGGCCCATATCGCAATAGTCTTTGTACGTAATGCGGCAGTTTTTATTTTGTTTACATCCTATGATCAAAAATTTAGCTTGATAGATATTTTCCTCATTTTGATTTGTGAGCGATTCTATTAGTTTCTATAACATTCTTCATCTTGTAGTCGAGTTTCTTGTCTCTTTTTGCTTTTTTTTTTTTATAAATAAACCAAAATAACACTTCTCTCAAGTATAGAATGTGACCAGTATTCCAAATTGAATAATCGAAAACAGAAACCACTCGTTTATATATTTGAGTTTTACAACAGATATATACATAGATTTGTTTATTATTTAGCGGCCAAGGATATTGCTACTGGTCAAAATGATATCATCATTGCAGGTGGTGTTGATTTTATGTCTGATGTTCCCATACGTTATCCACGATCAATGCGAAAATTATTATTAAGTTTAAATCGAGCTAAATCAACGCCACAACGTTTAGGACTAGCTACAAAGATGTTATCATTCAAAAACTTTGTGCCTGAAGTAAAAAAATGAATTCTTTAGTCGAATCTGTTTTAAGAAACGGTGTTTCTGTATAGGCTCCAGCTATTGCTGAATTTTCTACAGGAGAAATTATGGGCCAATCAGCTGATCGTTTAGCAGCTGCGTTTAATGTTACACGCCGAGAACAAGATGAATATGCTATTCGTTCACATTTATTAGCTCAACAAGCAACAGATAAAGGATATCTTGATGATATTATACCAATGCATATTCCAGGTAAAATATCCCAAAAAAAAAACAAAACGAATTAAAATAAAATTTCTTTTCAGGAGCACCGGATGCTATTAGTCGTGATAATGGTATTCGAGTATCAACTATGGAACAAATGAATAAATTAAAACCAGCGTTTATTAAACCACATGGTACAGTCACGGCTGCTAGTTCATCATTTCTTACTGATGGTGCGTCAGCATCATTAATTACATCTGTTGATAAAGCCAAAGAACTTGGATTGAAACCAAAAGCTTATATTCGGTAAATGAAAAAATTATATTTCTCTAATAACTTTCGCGTCTCATTTTTCTTTAGACGATATGTATTTACATCACAAGATCCAAAAGATCAACTTTTACTTGGGTACGTTAGAAAGTATTTGAAATAGACAAATCATTTTGGTGTACTCAAAAAGTGAGTACACTAGATTTAGTCAGTGTGTCCGGCCGTTAACACGATAGCTCATGAAAGCCTCATCCAATTGTCTTGAAATTTTGTACACAGAATGATCTCATCAATATCTCAGTCGAGTTTGAAGATGAGAAGGATCTGCCAAGAAATGGCTGTCACCGAAAAAATTATTGACCAGACGATCTCTGAGGGGTGNCCACGACCGACCCCCCCCCCCCCCCCCCCCCCCCCCCCCCCCGCCCCCCCACAGGGACTTTTTCAAAAAAAAAACAATTTTTCTCAGAATTATTCAAAACATATAAATTGACTCAGTTCTGCGGTACACGTAACAATCAGATGCGAATCCGATGTTTCTTCATTTATTTAATGATATATATATATATATATTCGTAGGCCTACATACGCAACTGCTAAATTACTTGATCAATGTGGTTTAACATTAAATGATATTGATGTATTTGAATTTCATGAAGCTTTTGCAGTAAGAAGAAAAATCTAAAAGAAGCTTTCTTTTTTGTGAAACTCACATATATTTTCGAAGAAAATAGTGAGTGTAAGTTGAATTGTTAGGTTTTTGCGGCTCTCCTGTACCCCACCCCCCCCCTCTCCATTACAGACA